CACACCAGATCCCCAGCTTTTAGAATCTCCCCCTTTTTCCACTCTCCCCCCCCTTCTCCCACCCTTGTCCACCTCTGCCTCTGCACCCTCTCTCCAGGGGTACCTCTCCAAGCCAACAAAACCAGATCCTCAGTCAGGGCAAGTCAACGCCATTCTCACACTACCAACCTCTTTCACCCTCTTTTTCTGCACCCTCTCTCCCAGGGGTACCTCTCCAAGTCAACGCAACCAGACCCGCAGCCAGGGCAAGTCAACGCTGTTCTAGCACAGTCAATTCCAGGTCAGCTGCTGGGAACAGTCTTGTCTTGAGTGGCAAGTCAACACCATTCCACTCTTTGAACCCCACTCCACCCTCCACCCACTCCACCCTAAACACATTCATCAGCATTTCATACAGATACAGCATTTTTATCCTTTCCCTTTCTTTTCTTCCCCTGCCATGATGCAGATGACACGAGCACCTACTTTTTGGACTGTAAGGATGCGTTTCCTTAACGAGGATGGCCTTCTGCTTGAAGACCACTATGTCAGCGTAAGCCTTTATCTGTTGGACGGATTACATAACTATATGTATTAACTATCTCTGAACAACAGGAGCGCATAGACAAGTCGTACGGTGCTCGGCTGTTGAGGCGCCTCAAAAGTCGTATGGTGCTCGGCTGTGATGAATGAGTTGCCTGAAAATCTGCACACTGTAATGGAAAGTCTACGTAGTGCGGCGTGGTACAAAGGGTTGGACGGGTTAAATAGCACGCATCGCAATAGTTGACAGCTGTTCCTATCCGCTCTTCCACCTCGTCCCTCCTTGCTCTCATTCCTCCTCTCCCCCTCTCCTCTCCCCCTTTCCCCCTTTCTCGCCCTCGCACAGGACTCCTTCCAGCGCCTGCACCTGTCAGCAGCAGGCTACGGCGCATGGGCCAGATGCATCGCCCCGCAGGCCCAGGCCATGCTCGGGTAGGTCCAGCGCTTGGTTGTTTCCCACAGCTGCACTCAACTGTATCACCTTGAAGAATCCCCAGCAGCGACGCATGGGCCATATGCATCGCCACGCAGGGCCCAGGCCATGCTCGGGTAGGTCCAGCGCATGGTTGTTTCCCACAGCTGCACTCAACTGTATCACCTTGAAGAATCCCAGCAGCGATGTATGGGCCATATGCATCGCCACGCATGGCCCAGGCCATGCTCGGGTAGGTCCAGCGCTTGGCTGTTTCCCACAGCTGCACTCAACTGTATCACCTTGAATAATCCCAGCAGCGACGCATGGGCCATATGCATCGTCACGCAGGCCCAGGCCATGCTCGGGTAGGTCCAGCGCATGGTTGTTTCCCACAGCTGCACTCAACTGTATCACCTTGAAGAATCCCCAGCAGCGACGCATGGGCCATATGCATCGCCACGCAGGCCAGGCCATGCTCGGGTAGGTCCAGCGCATGGTTGTTTCCCACAGCTGCACTCAACTGTATCACATTGAAGAATCCCCAGCAGCGACGCATGGGCCAGATGCATCGCCCCGCAGGCCCAGGCCATCCTCGGGTAGGTCCCAGCGCTTGGTTGTTTCCCACAGCTGCACTCAACTGTATCACCTTGAAGAATCCCCAGCAGCGACGCATGGGCCAGATGCATCGCCCCGCAGGCCCAGGCCATCCTCGGGTAAGACCGTCCACTGTCTAGCATACGAGAAACGGGCTTCTAAACGATAACGAGTCAGCAGCAGGCTACAAAGCGTGGGCCAGATGCATCTCCCTGCAGGCTCAGGCTATCCTCGGGTAATTCCTCGTGTAAAGACTGGTATTGAAGAAAGGAAAAAGAAAGTGATGTGGCCTAGCCAGATGCATCGCCACACTGGCAGAGGCTATCCACAGGTAAGTCCTCGTGTAGAGATTGGCACCCTCTCTTTGCTTCATCCCTTCTCATCTGGTTGTTTCATCCCTCGATTCCTCCTCCTCTTCTCTACCGCCCTTCAGCGAGAAGCCTTTAGGCCTGCCTGTGGCATCATCTCCCGACCAGGGTGGCGGCAGCAGGTCGACAAGGCAATAGCAGCAGCCTCCCCATGTCTGTTTCTTCTCTGCTAGCCTCATTTTTTAGGCGCCTAAAAAAATCCGCGTGCGTTGAGACGATTTTTGAGGCGCCTAAAAAAATCCGCGTGCGTTGAGACGATTTTTGAGGCGCCTAAAAATCAAGGTAATAGCAGCAGCCTCACCATGTCTGTTCTTCTCAGCTAGCCTCATCTGAGTTTCTCGCCTTGCCTTCTTCCCTCCCCCCCTACTGCCCTTCAGGGAGAAGCCTGTAGGTCTGCCTGTGGCATCATCTCCCGACCAGGGTGGTGGCAGCAGCCTCAACGGCCCTTCTGGTGAATCTCCTCCTTCGCTCCCCTCCTCTTCTCCCTCCTCACCTCCTCTCCTTCATCCCCTTCATCTCCTTCCTCTCCCTCACCTTCTGACTCCTCTCCACCCTCTGCATCATCGCCTCCCTCATCCCCCTCACCTTCTTCTCCCTCCACTTCTCCTTCCTCTCCCTCCACTGCGCCCTCATCTCCCTCCACTTCTCCTCCCACCACCAATACCTCCTCCCCTGACCCTGCTTCCCCCCCCAAATCTCCTGACTCGGACAAGAAACCACCCACAACAACCGATCCCCTCCCCACACCCCCATCCCCCTCCACCAATCCCCCTGATCCCTCCAACTCAACTACCCCTAAAGAACCTTCCTCCCCTTCACCTCCTCCCAAAGAACCTTCCAAAGAACCTTCCAAAGGACCTTCCAAAGTGCCTTCCTCTCCTGCTCTCACCCCCAAAATAGCTCCTACCCGACTCTCCCAGGAGAAATACCCGCCACCCTCACGCCCATTCCTTCCTCCTCCTCTCCAACCCCCCCCACCTCCACCTCCGCTCCGATACCCCCCACCTCTGCTCCAACCCCCCCCACCTCCGTTCCAACCCCCTCCACCTCTGCTCCTCAAACCCCTGTTTTGGAAACAAACAATACCATGTCTCCTAAAAAAGAATCATCAACAGGGGGTGCTGATGGTGCTGGCTCTGGTGCTGGCGACTCAACAACGGGCAACGGTGCTGCTGGTTCTGCTGCTGCTGGTGCAGGTGCTGCTGGTGCTGCTGGTGCCGGTGCTGCTGGTGTTTGGGTCTGGTGTTGCTGCTGCTAGTGGTGGTTCGGCCATCCCTACAGGGCAAAGCCCAACAAAAGCAGCAGCAGGAGCTGTAGCTAGCAGGTGGCAGCTGCTGATTGGTTCCTTCCTGGGCCTCGCTTGTACTTTATTCTTGGGGGTGTGGTGATGGGCGGAACCAATGGAAGGCTGAGCAGCAGGAGCTGCAGCTAGCTTTGGCGGGGTTTTCCTCTAGGTGGCAACTGCTGACAGCTAGCACCCAGCTTAGACCCCCGGGGTTTTTCTCTAGGCCGTGCTCTCCCGTGTTGTGATGTGTTATATAGAAGGATTTAGTGCTGTGCAAGTTAGCTCCTTGGTGCATTGTAATGTAAGGCATTGTAAGTAATGAAGCCCCTTGTCTCTTGGCAAAAGCCGTGTTGTGTACTGAGTGGATATTCTCCTCATGCCCAAGGCCTGCAACTTGGAACAATGTTGGTGCCATTAGTGCTCATTTCTGTCTGATGATGGATCATAGTTGGAGGAGACTTGGTGTCATTTGAGGTGCTCAAAGTTGCTCCGCTGATAAGCTGACTCTACTAGTACGCTGTGTTAAGTTTAATTGAAACTAGAACAGTGGAGAAATGGTGGAATGGCTAGTATTTATGAATATGTTGAGGCTTCCAATCTCTGAAGTGAAGAGTTGACACGAATTTTTCCAAACTTAAAAGATGTCCGAATATCCTCCTTTCATGTGGATAATTATGGCATGATCGTAGGAGTTTCATATGGGCTGGTATGCATCAAGCACAAAGTTTTGAGTTGCGTGTAATTAGGCGAAGGTATCTCACCATTCATGAATGATACTACCTATCGGGGATACTCTCGAGGTTGAAATCTTGTCCCACGGGAAGCCCAAGGCCCGACGTGTAAATCCAGGCCGTGGATCCTACCTAGGGTTTCTCTCGAGCGAGGATGCTAGCCTCATTAGCTGGAAGTATTTTGGGTCAACTAACTTCGTTGTATTAGCACGCTACTATCTTCCGTTTTTCGTTAGCACGACCTTACGCCGACCTCGAAGCCTCCGTTTTCGAGTGCGAAGGAGGTTTATGCGCGATGCAGAGACGTTCCGCGTCACAGGTACGAGCGGTCTCGGTCAAGATTATCAACCTGTGATTGGCATCGTCAGGTTTTGTGTAAGCTTAGGATTTCAACGCAGCTGTCAATATTCACTCCATCTCGGGTTTCAGCGGCCTTGGTAGAGGTAAATCAAGTCTATGCCTGGCGTCGACGTTAAATGCGTTACGTTAAGAACTTGTCGCTGGTATCAACGGGTATCAGCAATATTTTTTTGCCTCTTCCTTGTCGTTGTCATTGCCAAGGCATCTTGAAATTATGTCACTGCTCCTCTTTTTTTTTTTTTTTACCCACCCTGGTTCATCAACCGGCCAGGATGATCGTCATTTCTCCTTCTCGTTGCCTCCCCCTTTTCTTCACCAGGATGACAATCACGTCGATCGGGACCGGTGGGATCGAGAGCGGGACCGGGACCGGGATTGGGACTGGGACAGGGAGCGCGATCGGGACCGAGACAGGGAGCGGGATAGGGATAGGGATAGAGATAGGGTAAGAGAAAGGGACCGAGACAAGGACTGGGAAGGGGACAAGGAGAGGGATCGTGGTGAGAGGGAACGAGATCGGGACTTGAGGGAGAGAGATTCAGACCGAGAGAGGGACAGGGAGACTAGCCGGGAGAGGGAAAGGGAGCGAGAAAGGGACAGAGATAATGACTGGGACAGGGACAGGGACAGGGACAGAGACAGGGAGAAGGATGGGGAGAGAGACGTTGGTGGGGTAGAGAAGAGCGAAAACAGGGATTCGGGTCAAGAAGGGGATAAGCAGCAGCAGTTGCCCCTTGATGAGTTCTTACAGTCCCAGCTAAAAGAGCAGCAGCAGCAGCAACGGCTGGAACGCGAGAGAGAGCTTGAGTTGGAGCGGCAGCAGCGGATGAAAACGGAAGGAGGTGGAGGGGGAGGGGGAAGAGGAGGGGGTGGAGGAGCGGTAGGAGGAGGGGAGGGAAGGGGAGGGGGAGGAGGGGGAGCGGGAGAAGCAGGGAAGAGCAAGGGGCCTCGAGAAGCGAGACAGCTGTGGGTGGGCAACGTGACTCAAGATGTTACCGAGCGCGAGTTGTCAGACGCGTTTGGCCGCTTCGGCCAGGTGGAAGGCCTCGCGATTCTCTACCAGAGGGAGTTTGCTTACGTGGACATGGCCACGTCAGCACAGGCCAAGCGAGGCGAGGCGGGTGCTGGCGGGAAGCCGCTGCGTCCGGGCCTGCTGCCGCTGAAAGTAGAATTCGCTTATGCCAAGGGGTCAACGGCGGGCGGAGGGGCACCACAAGTAAGTTGCCTCGGGTAATCTCAGTATACTCTGTGCTCGGGTCAACTGCACTGGTTGGAGGGCAATACAGCGGCAGCTGGGCCTGTTGGCTCTCTACTCGAGCTTATGTACATCCCTTTCCTTTGCTCCCCTGGCCTCGGCACTGCAGCCGCCACCACCAGCCAGTCAGCCCAAGGAGAAGGAGAGGTTGCGAGCAACGGGGGTGCGGAGGGTGGTGTGGGTGGGGTGGGGCCCGGCACACGTGGTCCCCGAGGAGATCGACGCGGAGTTCCTGCGCTTCGGGCCCATCGAGGACCTGCGCTTCCACCCCGACCGCGCCTGCCTGCTGCCTCTCTCGGACTGCCTTCTAAGGGACATGCACTGCACTGGCAGCTGGGGCTGTTGTACCATACTCAATCCTTGAGCTTCTTTTTTCTGCCTTCCCTTCACTGCTCTCTCCCCTGCAGCCGCCGCCAGCCAGCCAACCGAAGGAGAAGGAGCGGGAGCGGCCGAGGGGCCGGGGGTGCGGAGGGTGGTGTGGGTGGGGTGGGGGCCGGCGCACGTGGTCCCTGAGGAGATCGACGCGGAGTTCCGGCGCTTCGGCCCCATCGAGGACCTGCGCTTCCACCCCGACCGCGCCTGTGCGTTTGTCGACTACCGCTTTGAGGACGACGCCCAGGCCGCCGTGGCATCCATCAACAACGTCCGCACGCGCGACGGAGGGGTGTTTCGCGTGGAGTTTGCGAAATCGGGCCCTCATGCCGGGGGAGGAGGGGGTGGTGGCGGTGGCGGCGGCGGTGGTGGTGGTGGTAGAGGTGGTGGTGGTGGTGGTGGGGGGAGTGGGGACGGGTCTCCAAGCGAGATTCTCTGGGTGGGGTTTCCGAGCACGCTCACAGTCACAGAGGAGCGGCTTCACGCGGCCTTCTCCCAGCATGGGCAGATTCGGCGCATCAAGACGTTCCCGGGGCGCACGTACGCGTTTGTGGAGATGGGCACGTGCGAGCAGGCGACCAATGCGATCCGCGCATTGGACCACGTTCTGTTTAACGATGAGCGCGTGCACATCCGGTACTCGAAAAGCGAGTTCGCGTTCATGCATGCCGCAGACCCGCCCTTCTCCTCCCCTGCTGCTGCCGCTGCAGCAGGAGTTGCAGGTGGGGAGGCGGTTGGTGAGAGGGGCAGGCAGGGAGGCGGGCCGGGCGGGCCCGGCGGTGGGGGGGTGTCTGGTGGTCCGTACGAGGTGGACAGGGGGTTTGGGGGGGATAGGGAGTATGGGCGGGGGAGAGGGAGGGGGAAGGGGAAGGGGAGGGGGAGGGTGAGGGGGGGAAGAGGAGGGAGGGGTAGGGGAGAGTGGGAGGAGCGGGATGGTGATGGGGCTTGGGAGTCGCCTCCTCGTGGGCCAGACAGAGGGGGGAGAGGTGGGGGGAGAGGAGGGGGGCGAGGAGGGGGGCGAGGCTGGGCTGATAGGGATTGGGAGAGGGAGAGGGAGCAGGAGGAGTGGGATAGGGGTAGGGAGAGGGACTGGGAGAGAGACGATAGGGATTGGCGGGACGAGCGTGATGGGAGGGACGGGTGGGACGAGAGGGACGGGTGGGACGAGAGGGACGAGAGGGACGAGAGGGAGTGGCAGCGGGGGTATGACTCCAAGCGTCCACGAGTGGACGGCCAGTTTGACCCTGAGAACCACAGCCGCTACTACGATGAACGTGATGGGGGCCCTCTGCCACCTCCTCATGGTCCATCTCTTGATTCTTATCCTCCTCCGCATGACCCTCATGGGCCACATGGGCCTTCCAAACATGCCCCCCCCAGCCGCAGAAGCAGCGGCTGGGATGTTGTCGTGCCTCCAGCTGCCTCTCCTGCTGTTTCTGTTGGTTCCGCTGCCACCAGACCTCCCATCCCGGGCCGTCCGGGCTTGCCTGGTCTGGCCCCCGGCTCCGTAGCTCCTCCCGGACCTGGAGGACTGGCTCGGGCGGTTGGGGCTGCGGGTGGTCCGGGATCGCATTGGAAGGGGACGTTGGCCAAGGGGGGGATTCTCGTGTGCCATGCGCGGGCGATCCCCATCGGTCCCGGCATCTCTGCACCCATGTATGTGGTCAGCTCAGCACACACAGAAACCCGGCAAATTCGTGTGTTCTTGTTTTCCTCTTTTTTTTCTTTCTTTCTTTCTTTTTCTTTTTGCTATAATGTCCAAAAAACCCCGCCATCACGGCTGGTTTCTGCACTCTTGCTCCCTGACCCCAGGCCAGACGTGCTGAGCTGCTCGGCACGCACGGAGCTAGACACGCTAGCACCTCCCTTCCTTTCCTCCCCTCGCTCCCTCTTGTTCCCTCCCCTTTTTTCCTCTCCTTCCTCCTCCACCCACCCTCCCTACCCCCAGGCCGGACGTGCTGAACTGCTTGGCGCGCACGGAGCTAGACACACTAGCGAAGCACATGCGGGCAGCAGCGGATTTCGGAGTGGTGGCCATCATCCTCGAGGCACAGCCGGACGTGCCGCCCTATCACCACCTCGTGCAGTACCTGGGGGAGAAGCAAGCGCCCTCTCATCCTGCTCCGCTCACTCCCACTCTCTCTCCCCTCCTCCCTCCTACTCCAGGCCTGATGTGCTGAACTGCTCGGCGCGCACAGAATTGGACACTCTAGCAAAGCACGTGCGCGCAGCAGCGGATTTCGGAGTGGTGGCCATCATCCCCGAGGCACAGCCGGACGTCCCTCCTTACCACGACCTCGTGCAGTACCTGGGGGAGAAGCGCCGCGCGGGGGTAGCCAAGCTGCCTGCCGGCTCTACGCTCTTCCTCGTCCCGCCCTCCGACTTTGCCGTTTCTGTTCTCCAAGTGCCCAGAAACGACTCCCTCTTTGGCGTTTACCTCACCGTCGCTGCTCCTGCCGCTCCTGCTGCTCCTCCTCCCGCTCTTCCCGGTACTTCTGCTGTTCCCGGTGTTCTCGCTCCGCCTGCGCTTTCCTCCGGTCCTGCTCTGCCGGCAGGCGCTGCTGCTGCATCTGCAGCTGCTGGGATGTTGCCAGCTGGGATGTTGCAAGGTGCCCCACCAGGGCTGGTTTCTCCCGGTCCTCTTCCTCAGATGCCCCCGCTTCCTCTCCCGCACGCAGGGCTGATGCCCCAAGGGCAACCGGGGAGACCTCCTTTGCCTCCCAATCAACAGATACAGGGTCAGCAGCAGCAGCAGCTGCAAGCTGGAGCCTCGTCGTTTAGGTGGCAGCAGCAGCAGCAGCAGCAGCAGGGAGGGGGAGTAGGCGTGTCCACCCAGCCTCTTTCCCCTCCCCAGAGACCTTTGCAAGCACCAATGCACCCATCCGCGGTTCCTATGCCTCGTGCCCCTGGCGCTGGTCCTGGGTTACCGCCTGGTTACCAGCCTCCCTCCTTCACACCTCCGGCCCCTCCCAATGCCCGTGCTTCTACCTCCCCCATCCCACCTGCGGCTCTTCAGCTGATCCGCCCCCTGTGGGAGTTGGAAGCACTGAGGAAGCAGCAGCAGGGGCAGGGGCAGGGGCAGGGGCAGGGCAGGGTGCGACAGGAGCAGGCTTTTCTGGGGCGGGTTTACCTGCTGGGATCACCCCAGAGCTCCTGGCGTCTCTGTCGTCTCTTCTTCCCAAGCTGAACGTTCCGGCTGCCACTGGCAGCACTGCTGCCGCTCCTGGAAATGCCTCTGCTCCTGCCACTGCACCTGGTCCCGGCATGGGTATGGGTGTTCCCCCCACTGGCGCAGGCATGGGTGGGATGAAAAGGGATTTCTCAGCAACGCCCCCGCTCCCCCCTGCTCCTCCAACCGCGGGGCAGTTTAACCAGAGGCCTCCCGGCCCTCCTCTTCCACCCCTCCCTCCCCAGCAGCAGCAGCAGCGGCAGCAGCAGGTGGTGTCAACCCCTCAGTTCACCCCAGAGCAGCTGGCTCAGCTAAGTAAACTGCTGGGACAGCAGCAGCCACAGCCGCTGCCGCAGCAGCCTCCCCAATCTGTGCAGCAGCAGCAGCAGCAGCAGCAGCAGGCACCGCAGCAGCACATACCGCAAATACCACAGGACCAGCCGTCTGCGAGCCAGGGTGGTCAGTGGCAGGGCAATCGGCCTAGCAGGTGGAACCCCCCTCAAGACAGCCACACCCCACAGGGAAACCCTTCAGGTGCTTCTTCAGGTGCCGTTTCAGGTGCGCCCTCAGGGGTCCCTCTAACCCCATGTGCTCCTTCTGCACCCTTTCCTGGTGCCGGTTTCGCTGGGCCTGCACCCAGAGGGCCCTTTCAAGGACCGCCACTGCCCCCGCCACAACAGCAGCCACAGCAGCAGTGGCGGCAGCAGCAGCAGCAGATGCAGCAGCAACCACAGCAGCAGCAGCAGCAGCAGCAGCAGCAGGTGCAAGGACAGGTGGATGGTTCTGGCTATGGTGGTGGCATGAGGGGCCAGGGGTTTGGTGATCGCAGCAGCATGAGTGGGGGCGGTGGTCCTCCTGGTGGTGCTGCTGCTTGGGGTGGCATGACCTCCGCTGGAACTGGTTCTGGTGCTGGTGGTGGTGGTGGTGGTCCTTCAGGTTTTGGTAGTGGTGGTGGTGGCGCTGCTGGTGGTGCTGGTGGTGTTGCGGCCTCGTTTTCCCCTCAATGGGGTCAGCAGGGGCCTTCTGCACCTTTACCTCCTCAGCAACCTCTCTACCAGCAGCAGCAGGCAGCTGGTGGTTACGGACCAGGTTCAGGGGTTTTTTCAGGTGGTTTCTCAGGTGGTCCTGGTGGCTCAGGTGGCAGCATGGGAGTTCCAGCAACAGCAGCAGCCGTGGCAGCAGTAACAGCAGCAGCAGGTGGAGGAGGGGGAGGGGGAGCAGGTGGAGGAGGGGGAGGAGGAGGTGGTGGTGGTGGAGTGGCAGGGGGAGGTATTGACATGCAGGATGAGAGGTTCAAGGCGACTCTGCAGCTTGCATCACAACTGCTGCAGCAGATGAAACAGCAGCAGCAGCAGCAGCAATAGTGGCCTTCCTGCCGCATCCATTCATTCAATCATTGCTGCTGGTAAGTCGATTGTCTGTTCGCCGTCCTGTGTTCTTCTGCTTATGCACTTCTTTACCCCACCTTTTCCCTAGCTCGTCCATTCTCTCTCTTCAATCCCTCTTGCCCTTTGCTGCTCTTCTCAACATCCCCCAGTCAGTTATCGAAGCAGTGTCCTGGAGTGAAGTATGCTTGAGTCCTTGGTTTCCCGTGCAGCCGGGTGCACATGCAAGCCCAGGTGCTGAGTAGTTGCGGCAAGCAGTGATGTGGGCTGTTGTTGTGTGTCCACATGCAAGCGTGCATGTGTGCGAGCATACGCGCCTGTGTGTGTGTGTGTGTGTGTGTGTGTGTGTGTGTGTGTGTGTGTGTGTGTGTGTGTGTGTTCCTGTGTGTGTGTGCTTGCGTGTGTGTGCCTGCGTGTGTGTACCTGTGTGTGTGTTTGTGCCTGTGTGTGTGTGTGTGTGCCTGTGTGTGTGTGCCTGTGTGTGTGTGTATGTGTGTGTGTGCCTATGTGTGTGTGTGTCTGTGTGTGTGTGTCTGTGTGTGTGTGTCTGTGTCTGTGCCTCTGTGTGTGTGTGTGTGTGTGTGTGCATGTGTGTGTGTGTGTGGTATCCATGTGTGTGTGTGTGCCTGTGTGTGTGTGTGTGTGTGTGTGTGTCTGTGTCTGTGGTATCCATGTGTGTGTGTGTGTATGCTTGTCAGTGCGCCTCGCTTCTCTTGCACATGCAGACCCCTGCTTATGTGCAGAGTGGCGGGGAGTGATGTGAGGAGCGGGATTAAAGGCAAAGTGAGGAGGGTGAGAGAGTGAGTGTTTGAGAGCGAAAGAGGGAGAGAAAGAGAGATTGAGTGAGAGAGAGGGAGCGATGGAGGGAGAGGGAGTGAGGAAGAGAGAGAGGTGAGAGGTGAGATAAAGGAGTAGGAGAGAGTGAGAGAGAGTGAGTGAGCGAGGGGTGTGGGTGACGAGATGGAGGGGCTGGAGAAACAAAAGCTTACCACCAGGTAACAGCAAGCTAGGCAGCCCATCAGATTAGAGAGGCAGCTTACAGGGGCGGTTGCCACTGCAGCTGCAAAGCACGGCATGCACGCGCAGGCATTGGCATGGGCCGTGTGACACAGGCAATCAAAGGCACAGTAGCCAGTAGGTAAATAGCCCTGCAGCTGTGGCTTGGGATGCAAGCACATGCTCATAAGGCTCTGCAACCCACCTGCTTACCCTAAGCTCAGTTGAGACTCAAACCGGCCAGGATGCTCGTGGGTTCCGTCCAGTCCCATGCACCACTCGAGCAGGGTTGTGAATCCTCAAGTGGCAGGCTGCTCTGCATGGGAGTTTCGGGGCGTCTCAAAGTATTGTGCTGCACTTGAAGCAGCTTTGGCGGCACTGCTTAAGCCACTCTGCGTTGGCTCCTGCTCAGGCTGAGACATCTCCACAGCCACACCGCACCAGTCGTCACCTGCATCGCCTACTGACCAGGCCAGCTGCGTGCCAGTGCACCTGCATTTTATGCCACTCGCGGCGAGTCACCTGCATCTCAGTGCCCTGCCCACTGCACTAACTGCACTACTGCAAGACCTGCCACACCCTATATCCGTGCCTCGTTGCATCTCCTCCAAGCCTCGTGCGCCTCAGTGTTTCCCTGCCTCGGTGCCGCAGCAGATTCTTAGAGCTGCAGCCTTCCACACAGCCTGCCCGGTGCCTGCCACAGCCCTGCTCCACGTGCGTGCGACTCGTCCTGATCTGATCCACACGTCCTCACGCACTCACTGGCATGCACCGCGATCCAGTCTGACAGAGCGCACGTTCCGACAGAGCGCACATGATGCAGGCGAAGCTGCGCCCACCTGACGATGGCATGTGATACACCATGTCTGCCCCTCCTGACCATTTCCTGATCTCCCAGGCATTCAGTCGATCCGCAGCAAGTCAACAGCAGCAGGAGTGCTGCTATAGTTCAGCAGCAGTAGCGTGCACAGTGTGCAATGTATGCACTCAACCCATACATCCATTCGGCAGCATACGGGACGCATAGTGCAGCAGCGGGAGACGTTTCAGTGCATAGGCGCTAGGAAAACAGGGTTACAGGGTTACACACAACAGGGCAGCTGGCCTCGCTGCACAAACACAGGGCTAATGAGCAAAACAGGGTGGAGCTGAACTGAGCTGCTGCGTCAGGGAAATCCTCCGGAGCATATTTTATGGGAAGCCTTTTGGAAGCAGTTTCAAGTCTGGGTGCCTGGGCAGAAGGATAGATTCGAGGTGCTGCTAAGGGATGGCTTTTAACGGACACAGCTTGCGGCTTCTGGCTCCCATGGCTGTTATTTGTGGGAGGGATGACCTGGCTTGCTCCTCCGGGCTGGTCTCTTCTAGACAGCAGGACATTCCTCGCTGGCCGCTCACGCTCAAGACGGAAGCTTAGGCACGATGCAGTGCAGTGTTATCCCTGCTCCTTGCACATCTTGTGAAGCGAGTTAGGTGATGCAAGTGAAGCTAAGCAGCAGGATGAATTGGGGACTGCATTATATGGTGCGAGAGAGTGATGAAAGAAGGGAAGAAGGATAAGAGTTTCTTTCTCTTCACCACCTTTGTGTGCTTCTTTATGCAGGTCAATAAACAGGGTCAATTCGGAGTGGCGTTTTGGGAGGAGTAAACCTTCCATGCCAGACGCACTTGGGAGTGGTGGTGTTCAAGGCTTCGGACAAGACATGAACAGCTGAGAGCATTTTTTCATTATCGGGGCGCGCTTGCGTTCTGCAGTCCTTTTACCACATGATGAGGCCTGCCCATTACAGAATCATTAGGCTGAAAAGGTAGACAAATAACTAACTATTACATGTAACGAATCCAAAATGCTGGAATTTTGGAGTCATCAAAACCATAGAAACTAGCTCGATGTACCTGCATATAGTGTCTGGTTTTTATCGAAGCAGGCGCAAGATCGACCAATGAACGTGGGAGCTTTACGAGTATCTGGGAACACAAATCGGCGACTGCACGATCATGCTTCGACACATCTGAACCGTTGGAATCTTACATTTGACGAATCAGTATGCGTGTCAGGCCTCGGTGGAAAGCGGTAACAGAAGCATGCAGCGCGGCAATTTCAAGAATGGCAATGGCGAATTTCAGGGATGACAGGAATCTGGCCAGCACATAAAAGCCTGCTGTCTTTTATCCAGCTCAGTAGAGCGACGCGTCTTGCTCAACGCTACTTCTCATCAGTGCTTTGATGGGTCGCCCTGGGGCGAGGCGCCTAATTGAGCTGCTGTCAGCTTAATCGTTTTTCGCGAATAAGTGACAATGTTTCGCGGAAAAAAGCTCCAAGCAGATTATGGCTCACTTCGATTGCACGCTGAGAGCGTGATGAGAGGATTTTCAGGGTTGCTTTCGGTTTTCCAATCTTAGTGTCACATAGTAGTTTTATTAGTGGATCCGGATTGCGCAGGGCTAACTCGTTACCTTTGCCTTTTTTACCGCCACGTTACTACGCGTCCAAGCAGCCTTAGCTGAGGATGACATTCATCTTCATCATCGCCTGAATCATCTCCGTTTTAATACATTTGAGTTGTCTTCCTTAAGTAAGCGTCTGTAGGCGCATCATTAGATCAGCTACTGGATGATGATGTGAGCCTCCATACTCGCTATTATCATAACCGCCAGGATGGCACTGGACTCTTATATCGCGAAACTTCTCCGTCAGAAGCTATGTGAGCTTCTCCCGTTGCAGCCAATCCGTCCAGATGCCGTCCGAGCGAGCATCCTCAACGGTTCAGTGCACCTGTCCGAAGCCCTGGCCTGTCCAGATTCATTGAACCGGGAGTGGCTGGGGGAGGATAGTTCCCTGCTCGTGTCCGCTGCACATGTTGGGTCGGTGAGGCTGGAGATTCGGCTGCTGGGCTTGGCGCACGTCAGACTGATCGTCAGCGGCCTCCATGTCTCCCTAGTGCCTAGGTCAGTGCCTTCTCACACGTGAGTAAATTCCATCCACTTTGGCCCATTTCGGCTGCTGGGCTCGGCGCACGTCAGACTGATCGTCAGCCGCCTCCATGTCTCCTTAGAGCCGAGGTCAGTGCCTTCTCACACGTGACTAAATTCCATCCACTTTGGCTCATGAAGGGGAGACGTGGCTGCTGGAACCTTCGCCCGTCAGATTCATGGTCAGCGGCCTTCGTGTCTCCTTAGTGCGGATATGAGTGCCTTGTATGTGTTCATGCCTCATACGAAACTGCTCGTCCTGTCGTCTCATCCTACGCCAAGCCATCCTCCTTGCCCCTTCCCCCACCTCCCTGCAACTGCATCAGGCCCGTTTGCAAGACACAGGTAGATGGCAGGAAAGCACATGAGCAACAGAAAGCGGCAGTGGCGGGTATGGAGAAGGCAGAGAATGTGGAATCCAGTGGGGATGCATCATTGGATCAGCAGGTCGCTGTACTGGACCCTGAGGTAAGTTGGGCTTTATTTGCAACGAATTGCACGAGCTGCAGGAGGTTGCGGTGGGTGCGGAAATAGTAGAGGATGGGGCACGCAGTGGGGATGTATCAGTGGATCAGCAGGTCGTTCTGCTGGACCCCCTAAGGTAAGTCGGGCTTTGTTTGCAAGCTGAGTTGACTTTTGAGTCGACTCATAAGTCAACTTGTATCAGTGGACCAGCAGGTCATTCTGCTGGACCCCCTAAGGTAAGTCGGGCTTTGTTTGCAAGCTGCGCATCTGATTTTGAGATGCCTCTGCTTTCACTCCCAGCCCAGGCAACCATGTTCTTCCCCTCTGGTCCTCTTACCACTCTGCCATCCCTTACTCCATACCTGCATGCATCCATGTGTCCATTTCAAAGGTCATCCCTTCATGCTTCTTCCGTCCTCCTTTCCTCTCTCACGCTTCTTCCTTCCTCCTTTCCTCTCTCACGCTTCTTCCGTCCTCCTTTCCTCTCTCACGCTTCTTCCGTCCTCCTTTCCTCTCTCACGCTTCTTCCGTCCTCCTTTCCTCTCTCACGCTTCTTCCGTCCTCCTTTCCTCTCTCACGCTTCTTCCGTCCTCCTTTCCTCTCTCACGCTTCTTTCTTCCTCTTCAGGGAGCAAGCCTGCACGAGGCCATCAAGCGCCACGTGGCGCAGCGCCATTCGCCCTTCTCGTTCTCCCATTGGCTGGGCCAACAGCTGGCGTCGTGGGTGCGTGTGGAGCTCCACGACGTGTGCCTGCGCCTGCACCTGCACGCACAAATGCCACCCACACCCTCATACCACCAGTGCACGTGCCGTTCCTGCTGTAAGGGCAAGCGCGTTCAGCCAATGGAGGAGGCGAGCGATGACGAGAGCAGAAAGGAAGAGACGGAGCAGTGTGTGAAAAGGGAGGGATATGGAGGGGGTCACGGGCAGAGGATACAGGGCATGGGCCAGCATGGAATGAGAGGTGGCACTGGTGCTGCCGCTCCTTGTGTGACTGTGACTGGTGAGACTGCTGCTGCACCTGCTGCCTGCTGCCTTGGCCTTGAAAGGTTGGTGCTGTCGTGTCAACAGTCCTGCTCTGCAGGTGACAGGAGGCATTCAGTAGAGGGTGAGGCAGTCCCAGGTGGTTGGGCAGGCGCAGGCACGGCAGTTGATGCAGGGGTTGAGGTGGGCGCAGGGAGAGACGCTGGTGGAAGGGAGGCGGACGGGCACAGCACTTGGGGCGATGGGGGTGCAAGTGGAAACAGTAGCAGCAGTGCCAGTGGGGTTACAGTTGGGAGAGGCAAGCGGGCGTGGGGCGGGATGTGGGAAAAAGCACACTGGAGGTCTGTGCTTGTGTGGTTTTTGGTAGGGTTTTGTGTGCTTCTTGGGGTGTCTGGTTTCCTATTTGGAATTCAGCTACCAGATGTGACTGGTATGGGAAATCTGCTGCAACCGCGGCTGTTGCCCTTGACACAGCAGAGGAGTTGCTCCTCTAAGGGCTACTTTTGGAAGCCATTGGTGCAGACTCGGTGGGTGGAAGCAGCAGCAGAGACCGGGTCAAGAGGGAGCAAAGCAGATGTTGCAGCAGCAGCAGCAGAAAGCGCATTGCAGGGAAGTGCAGCAGAGGCAGCGTTTTTGGGGAGCACTGTGGGGACAGCAGAAGCAGCAGCAGCAGCAGAAGCAGCAGCAGCAGCAGAAGCAGCAGCAGCAGCAGAAGCAGCCGCAGCAGCAGAAGCAGCTGCAGCAGCAGAAGCAGCCGCAGCAGCAGACCTATCAAACCAATGGAAGGGCTCGGTCCAGCAGTCTGTGCTGCTGTGCTGGGCATTGGGCTCTGCCACCCTCGTCTGCCTCCTGGCGTTTCACCTGATGCGTGCCGCCAGAGCCACAGCTGCTCGCGCTGAAGCTGTAGGTAGGTGGTTGAAAGCAGGTGCAGAGCGGTTGAGAGCGGTGGCAGTGTGGGTGGTGGCAGCGGCTGTGTGGGTGTGGAAAACGGTGAGCTTGATCGTGGGTGTGAGACTGGGGGCGGAGAGAGGAGGGGAGGTTTGGAGGGAGGGTGGGTTGGAGCAGCGGTGGGAGGTGGGTGGGCTGGCGTTGTGGCTGGAAAGGGGTGTGGGAGAGAAGGTGGGAGGTAAGCGTCATGAGGTGGGAGGGAAGTGGGAGGTAGAGGGAGAGGAGAGGGAAGGTGTGGAAGATGAGGGTTTGGCTTATGGGGTTATGAGGGGAAAGGGAAATTTTGACGTGGAGAGTGGCGAAGGGACGGGTGGGAAGGGAGGGGAGGGTGAGGACGAGGATGGGGAGGATGAGGAGGAAGAGAATGAGGAGGAAGAGGATGAGGTGGAGGAGGTTGGGAAGGAGGAGGAGCAAGGGGGGGATAAAGGGGGAGAAGTAGAGGACGTAGAGGAGGAAGGTGGTGAAGGGAGGGAGGAGACAGGGGAAGACAAGAAGCCAAAACGGCCCCTTTTAGAAGCAACCAGGCCGGCCAACAACTCGTTCCGGTCCACATCATCCCCGCTCCCTTCCTCCTCCAATCACCCCCGTTCCTTCCGAACAACCACCAAGGTCTTCCCCGATAAGCGCGCCTTGATCGACCCATTCAGAGGGTCCGTAGTGCTGCAGTATTCCCAGGACTGGGCTGTGAAGCACACAGCAGTGTGCCTCCATCAGTCAGTCATGGTCCGTGTGAGAGGCCTGCCGGACCTCCTCCCCTTGGCGTCTGCTGCTGCTGTGCTCCTCCAACCCTCTCCTCCTGCTCCCTCTCCGCCTACTCCGTTCCTGCCTGCTTTGCCTGCTGCTCCTGCCCCCGCAGCCACCCCTTCTCTTCTTTCTCCAAGCCTTCCATCCTCAAACCCATCAGCACCACGACCCGCACCATCAGCAGCAGCACCACCAGCATCACCACCAGCAGCACCATCAGCAGCACCACCAGCAGCACCACCATCAGCACCAACAGCAGTACCACCAGCACCACCACCAGCACCACCACCAACACCACCAGCAGCACCACCGTCGCCTGCACCATCGTGCTCCACAGCAGCAACCGATGGGGTGCTTTCTATGGATCGTGTATTGCTACCTAATGGGAGTGGGAGTGTGAGTGGGAGTGGAGATGGGGATGGGGGTAAGGATGGGGTTGGGACTGGCAGCAGCAGTGGCAGTGGGACTTTGGGACAGATTATCACAGCCCAACATTCAAGCACACAAACCCAGAGAGCAAATTCAGCACATGCCAGGTGGCAGCACGCAGTTGGCCTTGTAGTGCAGCAGGTTCAGCAGAGCAAGCAGCTAAGACTAGATGGAGCTGTAGACGCAGTGGCACTCAGGAAAAAATACGCCACTCTCTACTCTGATTGGCTGCTGGCAGCCACTGGAAAGGTTTTGCCTGCCCGGCGGAGGCAGGGCAGTATTTCCAGGCGATCGTCTCTGGCGTTTTGGAGGAGGGAGGGGGTGAGAGCGCAGCAGAGAAAGGTAGTTTCTGCCTTGGAAGGCGAGCTGGCTGAGCTTGAGAACAGGCTCGGATCCACTGGAGTGGTTCTAGCTCGGCGCTTGGCTCGGAAGCAGGCTCGGGTAATGTTTGAGAAGCAGGGTTGGAAGCAGGCTCGGAAACAGGCCCACTGGAGTGATTCCTGGGGCGAGCTGCAGGAGATCAAGGGTGGATGGGCGAGGGCAGAGCAGGGAGCGGGGATGGGTTGGGATGGGTTCGAGGGAAGCAGAAGTGGTGGGTGGGAGGTAAGAGCAGTAGGGTTAGACATGGTGGTGGGACTGGTAGGAGCGATGGGAGCAGTGGGAGCAGTGGGAGTGGGGATGCCTTCTGTGGTTCTTGACTCCTGTGGCAAAGGAGACTGTGATGCTGCTGGTAGGGCCCCTGCTGGTGGTGATGATGAGGCGGGATGGGGTGATGCAGATGCAGATGCAGACGCACTGCATGTGTCGGTGTCAGGAGTGCGAGCAGCCATGTTGTCGCTGCCATCAGGTGGTTTCCAGTGCAACGCTGAGGTGCATACAGTGCATGGCTGCATGTGCTCTTCCTCACACACGCGCTCTGCCCCACATGCATCCTCCAACTCACACAAGAGCATGGTGCCTTTCTTGAGCCTGTCTGCCCGGGAAGGACTGAGAGCGATGGGTGCTGAGATGAAGGGCAATGATGGTAACGAGGAGGGTGGAGGAGGAGGGGCAGACACAGGGGCTGATTCAGCTACGGAGGAGAAACCAAGAAGCCTCCGTAGCTTGGTCTTCTATCTTATTCGCTGCCTCCTGCTCACTCCACTGCCTCGCTTTTTGCACCTGCGCCAGTCAAATGAAGACGAAGCTTCCAGAGGTGGGATTGAGGCAGAGGCAAAACCACTGGAAGCAGCAACTGGTACACATGTTGGTGCCAGCAACTCTGCTGTTCTCGAAAACACCGGGATCGGAAGTGCAGCCAATCAGGAGCCGTTTCTGTCGTTTCAGATGGCCGCCCCTGCTCCTGCCTCCACGAGACCGGACAGGCCAGTGCAGGTCCACGTGGCAGCTGGTGATTCACTCCTGGCTTTGAGTCCCGATCTGATTGGCGCATTCGCGGCGTTGGGAAAGCTACTCGAGCAGGTGTTCGAGATGAGTAGAGGCAAAGGGAGTGGTTGCGAGGGAAGTTGCAGTGGGGGGAGCAGCAGCGAGGGGAGCAGCAGTGGGGGAAGTGCGGGAAAGGATGCAAGCAAGGGTAGCGACAGGAGCAGCAGAGATAGCAGTATAGGCCCAGTGGAAGGCAAAGATGCAGTTAGTGTGAAGCACCTGACTACTGATGATTTTCCCACGGGTGTTGCACATACCAGTAATGACAGACACATCAGGCTCCCTGCTTGCTGTAACCATCCTAGTAGCTTGGACAGCTTGTTTGCAGCTCTGCGGTTGGCTCTAGACGGACTCATCCCGAGTGCATCGTGGCATGTGGACGCGACAAGTGGCAGGCTGTGGTTGGCGGTTGGGGCTCAGGCTGACGTGGCAGCGGTGGCAGCAGCTGCAGCTGTTTCTGGGTTGACCTGTAGCAGCAGCAAGGAGGAAAGCACTGGTGGCCGGGAAGAAATGTCTGGTGGCTTACCCCTAAGGGGGGATGGCGTGTCAGGTGTGAGAGGGGGTATGGATGCAGAGGTCTCCACAGAGGGGGTGTTTCTGACCAGAGCTGTAGTGGGAAGAGAAGTGCTAGAGGCAGTGAGAGAAACTGTAGGAGGAGCAGCAGAGGGAGCAGCAGAGGCAGCAGAGACACCGCAGGAAGGTCGCGTGACTGTAATGAGCGGAGCAGATGTGATAGTGGCTGAGATTGCTTCTCTTGCAATCAGGTTGCGGCCCAAACCGCCGTACAACTTATGCACGGGTCCCATTGGTAACTTTGATAATAGCCCTGCAGCAGTAAATGCCGGGCAAGCAGAAAAAAGGGGTCAAGTGCAAGGAGAGGAGGAGGTGCAGGAGGATAGCGGCACGAAGGTAAAGAGAAAGAGAAGAAAAGAGAGGGGGAGAGGGAGAGGAGAGGAGAGGAAGATGGGGAGTGGACGTGCTTATATGGAAGAGGAGGAAGGTGAGAAGACGAGCGCAGTTTGGGAGAGGTTGGAGCAGGCTGTTTGGAACGGACGGCCGAGATCCTCCTGCAGGGGGAGAGAGTGCAATCCGATATTGGGAGACAGTGGGAAACAAAGCAAGGATGGGGCAGTGGGGTATGGGGCAGTGGATGTGCATCAGGTGTGGCACAATAGTGATGTGACTATAACGGGGCTCAGCATCCAGGCAGTGGGTGTGGGTGCAGAAAGGGATGAGGTAGCAGTTGATGAGATTAATGGGTTGCAATCACATGGGAGTAGACAGAGGCAGAGGGGACCGTGGAAGAGGAAGAGTGGGGAGTGTGATGCGGTGACGAGGAGTGTCTCTGTGTGGACAGTGGTGCTAGCTCCAACTCAACTCAGCGTGCTTGCCTCCTTGTACCGATGCCAGACCACCACTTTAATCACGTCAAATACAATCACATCTGCAGCTGCTCTGATCCGAGTCCCTGTGGTAGCAGCTTCGGTGCCAGCCACCATCATTCACGCACTTCCACAGGTGAGAGTTGAAAAGCGGTGTGCAAAACCCGAAACTCCTTTCTTGAAGCGCCTCAAAATCAAATCTGTGTGGTGGCCACTTCGGTGCCAGCCACCATCATCCATGGACTTCAACAGGTGAGAGTTGAGAAGCGGCGTGCAAACTCCTTTCTTGAGGCGCCTCAAAATCAAATCTCTGTGGTGGCCGTATTTTGAGTCGACTAAAAAAATGGTGGCCGCTTCGGTGCCAGCCGCCATCATCCATGCACTTCCACAGGTGAGAGTGTGAGAGTTGAGAAGCGGTGTGCAAAACCCGGAACTCCTTTCTTGAAGCGCCGCATAATCAAATCTGTGTGGTGGCCGCTTCCGCTTCGGTGCCAGTCGCCATCATCCACGCACTTCCACAGGTGAGAGTTTGATTCTTGGGGCGCCTTCAAAAAGGATTTGCAGGCTGCTCTGATCCGAGTCCCTGTGGTGGCCGTTTCGGTGCCAGCCACTATCATTCACGCACTTCCACAGGTGAGAAAATGAGCAAGCTGTTTTGAGTGAGAACGGAGATTGCTGTATTACCACACTTTTCGACATCGATCAGGCAATTACATGCACGATGTACGTAAAACGCACTCCTCTCGCCATAAGAGAGGGCTTACGTCCCGGTTCTCCTTCTTTCCTGTGCCTGTTTCCCTGCTTCAACCTGCCGGGAGTGACTTGTCCTTTTTGCTTCCTCCCCTGGCAGGTGTTACAAGCCATTCTCGATGCCATGCCTGCTACTGGCACGTCCCAGGATACCCCCACCACAAGCAGAGCAACGCAGCCCGCAGCAGCAACAGCAGCAGCAGCTGTACATAGGTCAAGCGCTGTAAATATAGCTCCCAGTCATGCAGACTCCCCAAGCACATTGCACATGCCATCTGATCCTTCGTCCTCAGATCCCTCCGCTTCCACTTCTGCTCCGTCCTCTTCCTCCTCTTCTTCCTCCTCCTCCTCTTCTTCCTCCTCCTCCTCATCCTTCTCACTGTCCCTCGGTCTCGAGATCGCCTCTCTTTCTGCTGCTCTCTGCGCCACAGTACCCTTCACTGTCGTGTCTGTGCCAGCTAGGATGCTTCCTGACGTGCTGAGCTGTCCAATGACACGTGGCACAGGGGAGGAGGAAGGGGGAGCAGCAGAGAAGCATGAGGGGGAGGTGCAGTCCGGGCAGGAGGACAATGAAAAGGAACAGGAGAAAGAGGAAAAGAATAGTTGGTGGGGTGTGGGACGGGAGAGAGCAGAGGGATGGCGTGTGGGTGATGAAGTGCCGTTCAGCAGGAGCAGTAGAGTGCAGATGAGAGGTAAATGGGGAGCTATGGAGGGTGGTAGGGAGTCTAGAAAGAGGTGTGGTGAGGGGGATAGGCTCCCTGCGGAAGAAACGCGCTTGGAGTGGGGGAAGAAGCGGTCGGGGAAAGCTTTTGAGGCGCCTCAAAAGGAGTGGGGGAAAGCTGATGGGTTAGGAGGAGGTGTGCTTGTGAGGCAGCTTACACGAGACAGTGGCAGCATGCGGGGAGTGGGACCTGGGGAGGCAAGGGGAGAAGGGGGGGGCGGGGCAAGTGAGCTTGGGGTGAGGCAAGGGCGACTGCGTCGAACGACATCTGAACAGCCGTGGATGGTGCGAGGGAGAGGGCTTGCGGGTAAGGTGGTGCAGGTGGATGCTGGAGTGCAGAACGGTGTCGAGGAGTGGAGAGGTGAGGAGGAGGATGGCCGAGGAGAAGGGGATGATGGCGATGGTGGGTATGGGAGCTCCTCCGGGCATGGGGATGATGGGAGGCATGGGGAGGATGGGAGGGATGGGGAGGATGGGAGGCATGGGGAGGATGGGAGGCATGGGGAGGATGGGAGGGATGGGGAGGATGGGAGGCATGGGGAGGATGGGAGGCATGGGGAGGAGGATGGGAGGGATGGGGAGGAGGATGGGAGGGATGGGGAGGAGGATGGGAGGGATGGGGAGGAGGATGGGAGGGATGGGAAGGAGGATGGGAGGGATGGGAAGGAGGATGGGAGGGATGGGAAGGAGGATGGGAGGGATGGGAAGGAGGATGGGAGGGATGGGAAGGAGGATGGGAGGGATGGGAAGGAGGATGGGAGGGATGGGAAGGAGGATGGGAGGGATGGGAAGGATAGGAGGGCTGAGACACGCAGTGTGGGAGACATGTCAGAGCAGGGGAATCACATAAGGTGGAAGGGTTGGTGGAAAGCCCTGGGACTGATTCGAGGAGGGAAGAAAGATGGGGTGGAAAGAGGAAGGGTAGAGCAAGAGAAGGCGAGGCGAAGAAGGGCGAGGGATGGGAACACAGGCGATAAAGGTGAGGGGCGCAGGGGAGCAGTATGGGGTGGGGGTGAGCAACAGAGTGCAGCTGGAAAGAGTGCAGCGGACAGGCTGGGGCCAGCGGAGTCAGCTCCTCCAGCATGCGGTACGAGCACTGTCATGTGTGGAGGAAGGGGGCAGCAGGTGAGTTTTGAGTCGACTCAAGCAAGGGCCAGTACTCGAAATTCACCTGCGGAGTCAGCTCTTCCAACACGCGGTACGAGCACTGTCACGTGTGGAGGAAGGGAGCAGCAGGTGGCAGCAGCAGAGGCACGGAGCCTCTCTCTAGACATGCTTGTGAGTGATGACAGCGCAGAGCAGCAGGTGCTGCTGGGGTTCGAGCCTCTGCTGCTTTCCTGCCATTCCGATGCACCTGGTGTGGTCCGGCAGGTGGTCCGGCTGGTGAAGCAGCAGGAGAGGCAGCAGCGGAAGCAGAAGGAGAGGAGTTGTGGCAGGGAGAGAAGGAGTAGTGGTGGCAGGGATTGGATTAGCAGTGGTGGAAGAAAGGGGAGCAGCGGAGGTGGACTGTTGTTTGCTGCACTGCCTGTGCTGCATGCGTCAGTGGACGCAGTTCGAATGGACCATTTCTCTGCTCGGGTGGTGCAATCGAATGAACAAGGGGGTGGAGGGAGTAAAGCGGGTGAGTCAGCAGAAGAAGCAGCAGCAGCAGAGTGTTTGTGGTCTGTCCCTGCGTTGTCTAGTCGTGGTGGTGCAATGGAAAAGGGGCTGGAGGAGGAAAAGAGTCGGCAGACAATGCAGAAGCGCTTTCAGTCAACGCCAAGCTTTGTCGGGCCTCGAGAGAGGAGAAACAGCAGCAACAGCAGCAGCAGCAGCCACAGAAGCAGCAGCAGCCACAGCAGCAGCAGCAGCCACAGTAGCAGCAGCAGCAGCCACAGCAGCGGCAGGAGCAGCGGGAGGAGGATTGATGATGGATCGAGCTTACCAGCTGGATGTGCTTGCTACGAGGTGTGGCGGCTGTCAGCTTCTATGGGGCCCATCAAGGGTGGCAGCAGTGCCAGGCTCGACAGGCTCGGCACGCCTGACAGGTCCGGCGGCAGGACTGGCAGAGTGGGCGGGCTCAAGAGGAACGGTGGTGGCGGTGGCAGCGGCGGTCAACAGGAGCATCCGCGGCAGCAGCAGCGACGGCGGTGGCGTTCAGAAGCAGCCGACATGTCTATCGAGTACCGCTTTCCCTTAGCACCGATCGGCTCGGCCTCTGCTCTTGCATATCCACGAGACTTTTTTGCTCTGTCCTGGCAGGGAGGGCTCATTGCCCTAGATCCTGCTGCTCTCTCCCGCCTCTCCCTCTCTCTCTCAGCCCTCTCCCCTCTCTTCACGTTCAGTACACTGGGGCAGGTGGCCTTATCGTCTGCAAGCGCTGCACATGGAGCATCAGCAGAAGCAGCAGAGTCTGGGAGTCCAGAGTCGGGGGCTCCTTCTTACATGGAGAATCTCAGGCAGCTGTGTGCACATGCTCGGGTGGACGTAGATGGGTTTCGGTTGCTTCTGCTCCACCCGGACGCCAGGAAAGGTGGATTTCTCACGCTCCTGAGCGCGCTCTGTTCTTCTGAGATTGCCCCGTGTGGAGTAGACGAAGCGAATGCGGTAGGAGTGGATGCCGCTGTGGGTTCCGGCAGTGTCGGAACCATCAGTGGCAGTGGCAGCAGCAGCAGTATCAGATACCGGCAGAGCCGGAAGAGCGGGCAGAGCTGGCAGAGCAGCGAAAGCCGGCAGAACCTCAGCATCCATGCAGTGTCGTTTGACCTCAAGCGCCTGGCAGTGAAGAGCGTCAGAGGGGAAGGCTTAGAGCGGAGTCGCGGCTTCCATGAGGCTCATTCTACCTCTGATGCTTTTCGCACAGCTGCTGCTTCAGGTGACTCTGCCACCAGTGCTGCCACCACTGCTTCTTCTGCTGCTTCTTCTGCTTCTGCTGCTGCTGCTGCTTCTGCTGCTGCTGCTGCTGCTGCTGCTGCTGCTGCTGCTGCTGCTGCTGCTGCGGATGGCGCTCGTGCTGCTCCGGCTGCCACTGTTGAGGAGTGGGAGGAGGGCGAAGATGGGTGTGAGAACTTGGAGGATGAGCCTGGGGATAGCGATAGGAACAGTGGCAGAGGCAGAGGCAGTGATAGTGACGATGGTGGCTGTGACAACGAGAACTGTGAGGACAGGGAGTGTGAAGCTGATATGGATGCAGATAGCAGCATTCTCCCAGGACTTTCCGCTTGCCTGAGGCTGCAGCAGAGATTCATTCTTGGCCCCGACGGTGGTGTGCGTAGTAGTAGTAGTAGTAGTAGTGGTGGTGGTGGTGGTTCGACGTACATTGGTCCAGCTAGAAAGTGGTGGGATGCGGTGGAGGGGGGTGTGGATGTGCAGGGAGCTGATGTGGCGGTTACAGTGGCGGAGATACAGGTGAGAGGAACTGGCAGCGCAGCTGGTGGTGATGGTGAGATGTACTTTTGGCATAGAAACATAAAGCTAGAGGGGAAGAAGAAGAAGTTGCAACATGTATACAGACTGAAGGTATAGCCATCACCAGTATGCTAGAGCATGTATACAGGGGAAGAAAAGAAGAAGTTGCAACTGGTTGCAAGAAGTAGCCTGTATGCTAGAGCATGTGGCTCAACCAGACTGGATGAATAGCGCCTATGCTGTCATCATGTGACACGTCCTCTCGAACCCATGCTCCCTCCGTTCCCACAGATGTTACTGTCGCTCCTCTCCTCCATCTCGCCATCACCAGCAGCAGCAGCAGCAGCAGCGGCCGAAGCACAATCTGCTGAGTCGTTACCCACCTTCCAGCCAACCCACCGTGGTGCGCCTGCCAGTATCGCCACTGGGAGCGCAGGTGGTGAGGGCAGGCGGACTGGTGTTGCAGAAGCAGATGCTGCTGCTGCTCTCGCTGGTAGTGCTGGGTCACTTGTGAATCTTCAGCAAGGTAGACCGTTTCTTCTGGCACTGAAGTCCCCTTTTTTTTGTGCCTCTTATGCTTCTCATCGATACCATCACATCTCCCTCAGCATCCAGCCTCTTATGCTGTCCCTCGCATGCATCACATTTCTTCTCATCCCTCGCAATTTCTAAACCCACCACACTCTAAACAGGTTCTTTGGTGGCCATCCGGAATCTTGACACACGCCAGTACCTCACTTCGCTTCCCTCACATCCCACTTCCCTCAGATCTCCCTTCCCTCACACCCCCACCACACTCCAAACAGGGTCTTTGGTGGCCATCCGGAATCTTGACACACGCCAGTACCTCACAGTGGAAGACTCACCCAGCCTTCACACCCCTCTCACCATCCCTCTAAAGACTTCTGTCGATTTTTGAGTCGACTCAAAAATCGACTCACCCAGCCTTCACATCCCTCTCAGCATCCCTCTCAGCATCCCTCAGCATCCCTCTAAAGACTTCTATCCCGCTCATGCCTCGCATTCCTTCTCACCCTCACTTCGCTTCCCTCACATCCCACTTCCCTCACATCTTGCTTCCCTCAAACCCCCACCACTCCCCAAACAGGGTCTTTGGTGGCCATCCGGAATCTCGACACACGCCAGTACCTCACAGTCGAAGACTCACCCAGCCTTCCAGGAAGCTTCCGCCTGACGTCCGTGGCGCACTACAGTCTCGCAACGAGCGACCGGGCGGTGTTTCTTGTCCATTTCCCGGAGAGCCGCGGGTGGCGGGAAAAGCTCAAGCTGCCTCCCTTACCGTTCCTGCCGCACAATTGGGATTGGGGGGAGCGGTCAAGGGAAATGCGCAACGGGCAGGAGCAAGAGAGACAGCAAGGGAGGCAGCAGCAGCAGCATGAAGGGTTGTGTTGGGATGACACCCCCTTCTGGAGCATTGCTCGAGATGGTAAGGGTGCCGTTTCCCGCTGGTTCTGCCTTCATTCTCCTTACACTGCTGATAATCCAGACTCAGAGGCAGGCACAGGGGCAGGACGAGAGGCAGGCACTAGCGCAGGTGCTGCAGGCACAGGCAGGGGCGGCAGTACAGGGCCAGATGCAGACAGAAGCAGGGAATCAGGCATGCAAGAGCAAGATGCTGTGCAGGCTCCAGTTCGCCGCCCGCTTTGCGTGCACTACGAGCCAAACTCGCCTGGTGGGCGCATTGCGGTGCAGAACAGTAACGAGGGGTCGTGGGAGCAGTGGCGGCTGGTGGCAGAGGTGGTGAGGGGTGCAGAGGAGGAGGATGAGGGGGATGGGGAGGAAGAGGAGGAGGGGAGGGAGAGAAAGGCGTGGGAAGGGGAGGAAGGGGGTGGAATTGGAGAGGAGGAGGAAGAGGGTGGGAGGGAGGAGGCAGTGGGGGCAGATGGGGGGGTTACTGGTACTGGTGGTAGGAGAGAGGGTGGGAGAGGGGGAGGGGGGATGGGAGGGGGGGCGGGAAGGGAGAAATCTGGGAGGATGGGAGGACGGCGGGGGAGGGGGAGAGGGGATAAGCGGAGATGGGTGATTCGCATGCAGAACCGCAAGACAGGGTCTGACTTGGCGTTTGTGAGAGGGCTGCCTGTGCTGCTGCCGGGTGGGCAGGGCCATGCGGTGCAGATGAGGGTGCTTGTAACGAGGGGCGAGCTTGAGAGGAGGCGGGGAGACGTGCTGAGGAGAAGGCGGGAAGGGCAAGGATCAGGCGAGGAAGTCGAGGAGGAGGAGGAAGAGGAGGAGGAAGAGCAGCAGCAGCTGCTGCGGCAGCAGGGTTTGTTGCAATTGCAAGCTTTGGGTTTACACAAGCGTGCCTCATTGATCCCATCGCTGCGTGTCTCCATCAGCAATATTTTCTTCACCGTCCTTTTTGAGGAAGAAACCAGCACCTGGAGCAGCAGCAGAAGCCCTGGCTTCGCCAATTCCGCACCCGACCGCAGGAGAACAGCGGCTTCCCTTGGGGGTGCCTCAGAGCACAAGGGATTCAGCAGCAGCAGCAGCAGCAGCAGTGCAAGGGGGATTTCTTTTGAGGGGCCTCAAAAGTCCTCCCTTGGGGGTGCCTCAGAGCACAAGGGATTCAGCAGCATCAGCAGCAGCGGCAGCATCAACAGCAGCAGCAGCAGCAGTGCAAGGGGGATTTCTAGACGTGGAAGAGAAGCGAAAGGCTTTATCTGGGATGGTGTGCAGCACAGCCTGCCTGTGCTGCCGCTGGTTCGGGTGCATGTGGGGGAGGTGGCATCTGTGGTTCAGCTGGGCTCGCACAAGACTCGCCTGTTTGGTTCCTGTCGCATTCAAGTGACCACCTACGATGGCCAGAGGAGCCGATGGTGAGGGCCTTTAGGGTTAGGGCATATGGAAGTGTTTGGGTTTGCAGATTTGAATTTCAGGGTTCAGGGTTTTCGGTTTTAGGGATGGTAGCAAGGATTCAGGGTTTTCGGTTTCCCTCCTCCACTTTCCCCCCACGCAACCCGATCAGGACCAGCCTCCTGACGTCAAGTCCAACGGACCTCTTCTGGCGCTCCCGTACACTCTGTACCCCTTATAAGCCTGGAACGTTGGCGCTGGTGAGGGTGCAGCAGGTGCGGGTGGTGGTGGAGGAGGAGTCTTTGGACGCGCTGCTGCTGCTGGTGGGACTGCTGGGACTGGCTGGGCCGTATACAGTGCGCCACTCTCCCATCCTCGCCAACCGATGCATGGTATGCTGCTGAGGCATAGGGGTTTGGGTGCTCAGAGTTTAGGGTGTGGTGTTCAGGGTTAGGAGTCTCTGGACGCGCTGCTGCTGCTGGTGGGACTGCTGGGACTGGCTGGGCCCTACACTGTCCGCCACTCACCCATCCTCGCCAACCGATGCATGGTACACTGAGAAATAGGGTTTACTGCTCAGGGTCTGGGATTCAGGGTTAGGGGGCTAGCAGGGCTAGCAGGGCTGGCAGGGCTGGCAGGGCTGGCAGGGCTAGCAGGGCTGGCAGGGCTGGCAGGGCTGGCAGGGCTAGCAGGGCTGGCAGGGCTGGCAGGGCTGGCAGGGCTGGCAGGGCTGGCAGGGCTGGCAGGGCTGGCAGGGCTGGCAGGGCTGGCAGGGTTGGCAGGGCTGGCAGGGCTGGCAGGGCTGGCAGGGCTGGCAGGGCTGGCAGGGCTGGCAGGGCTGGCAGGGCTGGCAGGGCTGGCAGGGCTGGCAGGGCTGGCAGGGCTGCTGTGTACGGAGAGAGTTGGGGGAGTTGATTGAAGTCGCCTTGCAAGCTTTTCCTCTATCCCCTCCCCCTCCCCCTCCCCCTCCCCCCTCCCCCCTCGCACCCAGGTGACCAACAACACGACTCTCCGCCTCGCCTGTTCCTTCTTCAACCACGCCTCTGATAGTTCCCCTGCTGCTAGTGGGAGTTCGCTTGCTGATATAGGCCACTCGGTGGTGATGCCGAAGCAGGGAGTGAAAGAACCAGCGGCAGCAGCAGCATGGGGAAGCGGAGGAGGAAGGGGCGTATCTGAGGCAGTGATTGGGTGCAGAGGCACAGGGACGTTTCTTGTGCGGTGAGTGTGAAGGGAGTATGCGGTGAGTGTGAAGGGAGTATGCGGTGAGTGTGAAGGGAGTATGCGGTGAGTGTGAAGGGAGTATGCGGTGAGTGTGAAGGGAGTATGCGGTGAGTGTGAAGGGAGTATGTGGCAGTAGAGGCGGTAGAGGCGGTAGAGGCGGTGGAGGCGGTGCCTGGGATGATTCGATTTTTGAGTTGACTAAAAAATCGTTTCTTGTGTGGTGAGTGTGAAGAAGAGGGAGTATGAGGCAGTAGAGTGCCTGGGATGATTTTATCTGAACCAAGCTGTCTGGGGGGTTGGCGTGGCGAGGCAACCTGACTTCACGATTGTTTTGTGTCTTCTGTTTGTTCAAGTTTGAGTGGTTTCATGTGGACCGCTCATGTCTATTGCCTGAGGCGCCTCACAATTCTCAACGTGTGGTGGTGAGTTCCCGAGTGATTCTCACTCACCCGTGAGCCATAAAATGACACCCATTTGTGAGCTGTGATTTTTTCCTTCATCCCCCCGTCTCTCGCTTCCTCTTTCCCGTTTTCTCGTTCCTCTGACTCCTTGTTCCACTATCTGCCATTCCCCGTGCAGACACTTCCTGTCCCGCAGGAACCTCTCCAACGCACGCGAGTCATCTCTCGCTTTCCTGCGTCTCTTGCCACCACCGCTGCCCAAGACGCAGCACCGCACGGAACAGCACCGAACAGAGCGGCAGCAAGCAGAGCAGCAGTGGAAGCAGCAGGAGGGGCAGTGGCAGAAGGGGAAGCAGCACGTACAGGAGCAGGAGCCAGCAGCAGCAGCAGCAGCAGCAGAGCAGGGGTGGGTGCTGCCTCTCTCCATGTCCATCGCCAGAGAGGGCTCTCTGGCTGTCCGCACACGCATACTCCAACTCCAAGGTGAGACCCTCTCTCTAAAGCGCCAGAGCGTGCAAGGTCAGTTCACCTCTCTGAACCTCCAAGCAACCCTCTCAAATATCTTCTCTGGTTGTATCTCACTCGAAATTGGCCGAGCCTTTCCACAAGAGCATGTTAGATTCACCCGGCAGCGGCGGCAGGAAAAATGGTTTCTAGGTGACTTCTGAGTCGACTCAAAAGATTCACCCGGCAGCGGCAGCGGCGGCAGGAAGAAAGGTTTTATTCACTTTTGGTGAGGCACCCTCAATGAAGCACCCTCAATGAAGCACCCTCAATGAAGCACCCTCAATGAAGCACCCTCAATGAAGCACCCTCAATGAAGCACCCTCAATGAAGCACCCTCAATGAAGCACCCTCAATGAAGCACCCTCAATGAAGCACCCTCAATGAAGCACCCTCAATGAAGCACCCTCAATGAAGCACCCTCAATGAAGCACCCTCAATGAAGCACCCTCAATGAAGCACCCTCAATGAAGCACCCTCAATGAAGCACCCTCAATGAAGCACCCTCAATGAAGCACCCTCAATGAAGCACCCTCAATGAAGCACCCTCAATGAAGCACCCTCAATGAAGCACCCTCAATGAAGCACCCTCAATGAAGCACCCTCAATGAAGCACCCTCAATGAAGCACCCTCAATGAAGCACCCTCAATGAAGCACCCTCAATGAAGCACCCTCAATGAAGCACCCTCAATGAAGCACCCTCAATGAAGCACCCTCAATGAAGCACCCTCAATGAAGCACCCTCAATGAAGCACCCTCAATGAAGCACCCTCAATGAAGCACCCTCAATGAAGTCCTCTCTCTCTCTTGTACCCTTTGCGCAGGTTCCCAGCAGGCCGGTGCCTCACTGCCAGGCCCAATGGTGGTGCTGCACGTGTCCAAGCGCACACCAGAAGGCGTGCGTCTCTCCATCTCCCCGTTTCTCTCTGTCCGCAACAACACCGGCTGCCCTTTGCAAATCTGCCTGCGCCGTCGCCCTGCTCCCTCCGGACAAGCAGCAACAGCAGCAGCAGCTGGTGGTGGCGCTGCTGCTGCTGCTGCTGGAGAAGCAACAGGAGAGGAAGCAGTGGTGGGAGGGGTGGGGCAAGCAGGAGTGGCAGTGGCTGAGCAGCAGGATGAAGTGGGGGTGGTGCAGCAAGCAAGCCCAGGAGTCGATTACCAGGGGGGGATTGAGGTGGTGGAGGAACTGCAGCAGGGGCAAGCTTTGGATGATGCTGCTCTCTGTTTCCGCTTCGCTGCTTCTGCAGGCGAACAGCGCCGCCTGGTCAACGACCTTGCAGCAGGTACGTACGACTTTGGCTGGCACCATGGTTGGTGGTAGTACGACCCAGGAGACTTGTGAGTCGACTCAAAAGTCACCTCACCTGGTCAACGGCCTTGCAGCAGGTACGTTCGACTTTGGCTGGCACCATGGTTGGTGGTAGTACGGCCCAGGAGGACATTGTTTCAATGTACTGTCTGTGTGTGGCCGTATCCTGATCCGCTCTTCTTTTTTTTTCTTTTCAGTTTGATGCATTCCTCCTGTTCGAAACTTCTCCCATGCCTGCGTGCCAATCTGCCTGCCTGCCAATCTGCCTGCTTGCCAATCTGCCCGTCTGCATGTGCCTTTTCCAGGCAATTACCTGCTGTCGTTCCGGCCACTTGCTGCCACAAGCATGTTGCCTGGCCAGGGATCTCCTGCCAGAGGCACTGCCACCACGGCTTGGAATCTCTCCCAGCAGCAGCAGGAGACTCGGCAGGAGCAACAGCAGCAACAGCGTGGACAGGAGCAGCAGGAGAAGGAGTGGGAGCAGGAGCAGCTGTGCTTTGATTGGTCGGAGGAGATCTCGGGATCTCAGGCAGTAAGAGACAAGAGCTGGCTGGACGGCATACAGCGGCAGATGAAGACAAAAATGGGCCGCATGCTACAGATCAGCCAAATGTTGCATCTGAGCGGTGCCCTCAATTCGTCCTTTTCCACCCTCACTTGCCGGCTAAAAGGCTGCTCTGGAGGGTCTAGAAATCCTGAACCTGAACAGCAGGCTTGGGAGAGTGCTGGACTAGCTGGGCCAGGAGATGGCGCAGGTTCTGCTGTCAGGGCCGAGATTCGGCATTTTCTGGTGAAGGTGGGAACTGAGGAGGTTCATCTGGGGGCATTGAAAGACGGTCAAGTGGTGAGTGACTTGCGAGGGGGAGGGAGGAGAGGGGAGGTGGGCGGGAGTGAGAGGGAGGGGGGAGAGGGGAGAGGGGTGGCATGGGTGCGGCCAATGCAGGTAGAGGTGCTGCCCACTGCACGAGTGCGCTGCTGGCTTCCCTTTGATATAGTGGTGGGTATCTCACCAACAAAGAGGGAAGCCGGTGCTGCTTCAGCGGTTATTGTTGCTGCTACTGCTGCTACTGATGGTGGTGGTGCTGTGGCTGCTGCCACTGCCAGTGCTGCTGTGCCTGCAGGTCATGTCTCCGTTCTTCACATCCCTGCCGCCTCTTCGGCCTGGCTCTCTCTCTTTGCCGACCCCTCCTGGTGCTACCTCACTCTCCTCCACACCCCCCCTGCATCACCTGAGAAAACACCTGAACGAAGACGTCAGGAAGCGCCTGCAGCGGCACCTGAAGCAGCACCTGAAGAGTCGCACAGCGCAAACCTTTACAGCACAGGGACTAGGGAAGGCATTCAAATGGGTGTGACTGCAACGAGTAGCAGTGTGACTGTAGCGAGCAGCATGTGGAGCAGCGCCCCTGTCCATGTGCCCTGTGCTGGTAACATGCTGGCACTGCTGACCCGTGATGTGCTGCCACCTGTCAAGGGCGCAGTGGCTCTTGCCCACCTGGGAGGGTTGCCGTCTTCTGGTGGGAACGAGGTCCAGGTGAAACTGAATCAGGTGAATTTCCAGGAGGGGCAGCAGCAGCAGCAGTTGGTGGGCCCGCCTCAGGTGAATCCTCAGGAGCAGCAGCGGCAGCAGCAGCGGCAGCAGCAGCAGCAGCAGCAGCAGCAGCAGCAGCAGCAGCAGCAGCAGCAGCAGCAGCAGCAGCAGCAGCAGCAGCAGCAGCAGCAGCAGCAGCAGCAGCAGCAGCAGCAGCAGCAGCAGCAGCAGCAGCAGCAGCAGCAGCAGCAGCAGCAGCAGCAGCAGCAGCAGCAGCAGCAGCAGCAGCAGCAGCAGCAGCAGCAGGGTGGTGTCTCAATGAGGAGGAGTGCGTGTGAGATGGCAGTGCAGTTGCGGACCCGATACAGCGACAAGGATGCAGTGCCTGAGGTGAGACTCTATTCAGTCCACCGAGTCACTTGTCTGACTACTAACTCTATACCTTGTCTGACAATACTCTGGCAGTTTTGTATACCACTGGTATAATTCCAGTAGCACAGCCATTCGAGAAAGAAGTTCCCAAGCTAGAACAGCCATTCTCCTCCTGTTTTCCCTTGCATTAGTCCCCCTGCACCTGTTCTTGCACCTGTCATTGCACCTGTTCTTCCAAGAAACCAAGGGCGTGTTGTGGCCATTCCAATTGCCTCGTGGCCCCTCCTGTTCAAATGCAGTTTGAGATAATCCCGGCATTGACCATCCGCGATTCCACTGGCACGCCGTTTGCTTTCTTCCTGGCCACAAGCCCACACTATCCCATCCATATGCAAAATCTGCATCCTCATTTTCTCTCTCCTCACCCCCCCTTCCCACTCATCCATTCCCGTGCAGTTTGAGATCTTTCCTGCATGGACCATCCACAATGCCACTAACACGCCGCTGTTTTGCTCCGTGGCGGGAAACCCAGTGGAATCATCTTGGGCGCCAGATGGCAGGGGGAGGAGAGGGAGCCGCGCACAGCAGCAATCACAGACATCTTCACCGCACTCCACCGCGTCTCTCCTTCTGAACCCCAGCGCCGCCAAGCCGTGGCTTGCTGTGTGAGTGCATGAAGATTGTTTGCTCCCACAGTGGATCAAGGGGAAAAAATCGTCAGTGGCTTGCTGTGTGAGTGCATGAAGATTGTTTGCTCCCACAGTGGATCAAGGGAAAAAAATCGTCAGTGGCTTGCTGTGTGAGTGCATGAAGATTGTTTGCTCCCTTGATCCTCTCCTCCTTTGCTCCTCTGCTCCACTTTTTGTGGTGATTTCTCATTCTTGTGCTTGTTATTTAAGAAAACCCTGCTGTTATAGCCTGCTGCTCTCGCGATTGTGTTGCAGCTGACAAAGCAAACATGGCAGGCCATGTAAAGCACCCTCTTTCCCTCTGCCCTCGCGTGTTTTCTCGCAGTGGCACGTCGGTCTGCATCTCCATCGCACAGGCACAGGAGGGCACAAGTCAATTTGTTGGGAGAGGCAAAGCCAGCCAGCAGGCCATATAAAGCACCCTCTTGCCCTCTAATCTCCTCCCTGTTCTCGCAGTGGCACGTCGGTCTGCATCTCCATCGCACAGGCACAGGAGGGCACAAGTCGACTGGGAGTGGGGAGAGGTAACAACCGCGAGAGAGGCAACAAGGGAAGCAGCAGTGTTGCGGGAAGAGGGTCCATCATTGATCTCTCTTCCATCTGCCGCACCACAGAAATCCAGCTTGTGCAGTATGTACCCGTTATAAGGGACAGGGAGGCCACTGTAAGAGAACGGGGGATGTCTATAAGGGGTACAGGAAGTAGAGTGCAGGAGCAGCAGAGGGGAAGGGAGAGGCGGCAGCTAGAGACGGTGATGGAAGGTGGGGAGGAAGGAGAGGAAGGGGAGGAAAGGGAGGAAGGGGAGGAAGGGGAAGGAAGAGAAGAAGGGGAAGAAGGGGATGTGGAGGGGGGTTTCCTTGCTGCTACTGCTGAGTCAGCGTGTGATTGGTCGCTGCGATGCTTCCAGTTTGCCGTCCGCCTGTGCCTGTCAGCGAGTGGCAGTCCCTCCCGTGTGGTTGAGATTTGTCCGAGATACGTCGTGCGCAACCGCTTCCCCGTGCCGCTTCTTGTGTGCCAGGAAGGACTAGAGGTGGGTTTGAAGAGGGAGGTTTGATAGTGTAAGAATGTTCACAGGGGAAGGAATGCTCTGTCGAAGGGCTTCGTAGGTATGTTGTGGGCGGTGCTTGCTTGTGGCCGGTGCTTGCTTGCGGGTGGGTACGAGGAGGAATGCTGTGGGTCGAGTAGAAGAATCAATTTTTGAGTCGACTCAAAAATCGACTCATCACTTGCGGGTGGGTACAAGGAGGAATGTTGTGGGTCGAGGAGAAGAATGTCCTTATTGCCTGCGCTGAGACTGGCAGCGGCCGCACTCCTTCTGTGCATGTGAGTGCTTCTGTGGAGCTATGGACGATCTTTCGAGACTCGTGAAGGAGTGTTGATATGCCTGCCTTTCCCATGCTCCCCTGCGTGCGTCTCCCATGTGCAGTACTTCCCTGAGCTCTGGACCACCATCCAACCAGGCGAGTATGCACCCATCCACGCCCAATCACCCTCGCACATCTGGTCTTCCCATTCCTCCCTCGCCCTATCCTCCTCCTCCTCCTCTCCCTACTCTCCTCCGGCTTCCTCCTCTCACGATTCTGTGCTGGAAGAGGGCGGCATCATTCGTCCTTTCCTGCGTTTCCGCCCGCTGGATTCGTCCGATCCGTTCTCGCCTGCTCCATCTCCTCGAGGCCAATCACAGCCTGCCACATGGCATTGGTCCGGGCCGTTTGGGGCGGCATCTCTCGGCTCGTTCTGCCTCAAGATGCGCTCTCACAGCAACAGCAGCAACAATGGGGGTGCTGGTTACCCACTAGGAGGAACCATCCAGGAAACTCCCCCATCCCCGTCCCCATCATCCCCATCATCAAAATCACCAGCAGCATCACCGTCAGCAGCAGCAGCAGCAGACCTCCAGCGCCAGCTGTCAATGTCGGTTGTAGCGGCAGGTGGCGTGCGCGTGCTACAGCCGGTGCTCTTCGCCGTTGCTGACGTGGCAGAGGGAGGAGGAGGAGGCGGGGGAGGAACCACGGGAGGCTCAGCAGAAGGCGCACATGATTTGAGGTTGAACACATCAGCAGGGAAAGCAGGGGGGCCGGAAGGAGTGGGAATGGGGCCTGGCGATGGATCATCAGGTGCTGATGCAGCAGGGCAGAATGAACCCTCGGGGATATCACAGTCAGCAGCACTGGGAGCAGTGTCCGCAGGGGCAGCAGTGGGCGGCACGTGGGTGGCGGAGATTCGTCCAGTGGACGGCATGAGGGAGGCGCCGTACCGCATTGAAAACACTCTCTCTGGATTGGCCGTCTCTGTCGCCCAGAAAGTGAGTACTAGCCTTTTAAACAGCTGTATACTTTTTCTTCTTCTTCTTTTTCTTCTTTTTCTTTTCTTTTCCTTGAAAGGACCAACGAGTGGCTGTAGCACAGAAGGTGAGAGTAGGAGGCTGAGGCTTTAGCACTGATTGGCTTGGCGCTGTGCCTTTTTTCAGAAGCAACCAGACCAGATGGGACTGGAAGAGTGTACAATTGGAGTGACTGTATGCTGTGTGACGATATGCCGTGTGGCTGTGACTGCGTGTTGCATTGTGCAGGGTTCAGAGGGGTGGGAGGTGGTGGAAGCAGGCGAGTCTGTTCCTTTCACCTGGGAAGACTGGCGCTTACCTAAAAGACTGCTACTCACTGCTCCGGGTACGCTCCATTCGTATACTCCATAAGTCTTGTTTTATTGATCAGATTTTCACCACTCAAACACGCACCTCACACGTCTTGCTCCAACAAAATCCTTTGCTTACCGCTTCACTGTCCACTTTCTCCGTCCAGGCTGCACGCCCCAGCAGGAGGTGAGTCCCGACAAGGTCAAGCCGTGTCGCCGCCTGCACTTTCAGAGCTGACTCAACAGTTACCCCCTGCTCAACAGTTACCCCCTGCTCAACAGTTACCCCCTGCTCAACAGTTACCCCCTGCTCAACTCCCGTAACACCCTAAGCCATTGTTCAACCCCCACTCCCCGCCCTCCCTCCAGGCTGCTCGCCCCAGCAGGAGGTGAGTCCCGACAAGGTCAAGCCGTGGCGCCGCCTGCGCCTCTCCCACTCCGCCTTCCCCTCCCTGCTGCCCTTCCACCTGCCTTTCCACCTGCGCCAGTGGAAAGGGGGGGAGGAGGGGGTGGAGGAGGAGGAGGAAGAGGATTTTGATGATGATGCTTACAAGTATGAGGATGAGGAGGCGGGGCAAGAGGAGGGAGAAGGTGCTGGGGAGGGCGCTACTGAGGAAGGTAGAGCTGTCAGTGGAAGGGGCGGGGGTAGAGGCAGCAGGGGTGCAGCAGGTGCTTCAGCAAGGCAGCAAGCGGCGCGGGAGCAGGCAGCAAGGCAGCAGGTGGTGGGAGTGGAGGTGTATGCGGATGGGCCGATACGGGTGGTGCGTGTGTGCACGAGGGAGGGTGCCAAGGACCGGGAGGGCTCTGGCAGAAAGGGTGCCGCATGGGGGACTGGTGTGGGCGGTGGCGCTACGAGTGGTGGTGCAAGTGGTGCTATCGCTGTGACCAGTGGTGGGAGTGCTGGGGTTTTGACTGGTGGTGGGACGGAAGGGGGTGGCAGGGAGGCAGGGGATGTGAGGGAGATGGAAGGGATGGTGGAAGTGGAAGGGATCGACATCAAGCTGCTGCAGGTAAGGCGATTGGTGAGGGAATGGGGGGGCATGGTATTGGTGGATGTGAGGGAATGGAAGGGCATGGGATTGGTGGATGTGAGGAAGATGGAAGGCATGTGGAGGTGGGAGGGATTGACATCAAGCTGCTGCAGGTGAGAGAGCTCACCTCACCTTCCCTCAGCCTTGAGAATTCTCAACTGTGGCCTCACTCATGTCGAGAATTCTCAACCGTGGCTTCACTCATGTCGAGAATTCTCAACCGTGGCCTCACTCATGTCGAGAATTCTCAACCGTGGCCTCACTCATGTCTCCATGTGATTGCTTATGGATCTACTTAATGGAACTCCAGCGTGTTTTTTAGAATTCTCAAGAACATACCCCAGCGTGTTTTTGAGAATTCTCAAGAACTCCATGTGATTGCTTATGGATCTTCTCAATGAAACTCCAGCCTGGCCCGCACCATGATTATTGTGTGGCTTATGGTCGCACTAGTGGGTCTGTTCAACAGGAAGATTCCCCGTCCTCCCTACGTACAAGCATTTACCTTGGAAATCCGATTTGCATATGTTTTTGCATATATGCATATGCACATGTATGTATGTATTGTATGCGACTGTGTTTTCCACCCTCCGAATCTGTCCTCACTGACTTACACCAGTCCGGTAGCTCCTCCGAGTTGAGTGCAAAGGAGGAGGCAGCAGCACCAACAGGGAAGGGTAGGGAGAGGAGAGAGGGGAAAGAGCCGGAGGGAGAGGAAGGGAGAGGGGAGGAGGAAGAGGAAGAGGAGAGGGAGGAGGAGAGAGAGGAGGAGATGGATCGCCGGGTGTTGCTGCACGGGCGGACGGACGGCCTGTGGGCGTCCTTGTCTCTTTCTCAAAGAGACCTGGCTCTTGAGGCTGTGCTGTGTGTGAGTTGATATGAGACGTCATTCACTCGCCCTTCAGTTATTTGTTCATGCTGTTATTGCAATAACAGCCTCCTTGTGGGCTCCCTTGTCCTCTTGCCCATGCACATGTCAATGCCGATGCTGATGCCTATTCCAATATCCATCCCCATGCCCATGCCCGTCCCCATGCCCATGCCCATGCCCATGCCCATGCCCATGCCCATGCCCATGCCCGTCCCCATGCCCATGCCCATGCCCATGCCCGTCCCCATGCCCATGCCCATGCCCGTCCCCATGCCCATGCCCATCCTAAAAGCAGCATCCACGCCCCCATCCACTCCTCACATCGTAGATGCTCAACATGTATATCGTTTGACATCTTCCAGTGAGCAGCAATGCTAAGGTTGACATGCTACGAGAATCAGTGCACAATGTGAGGAGTGGATGCTCAACATGTATATGATATACAGTATATCTGCCCAGTTTCCGCATTTCCTTTTCCATCCACTCCCCCAACCACTCTTCAACTTTATAACCTCCCTGCATACACAACCTCTACCCTGAAACCTTCCACCACCTCCCCCTGTTCCCCCTTGTCCACCCCCTCTACCCTCTCTCTCCCCTTGTCCACTCACACAGAATGCCGGTATCGACTCTCGTTCCCCATCCCTCAAGCCCCCACCGCTCCCCATCTCTCTCAGCCACTCCACCTCCAGCACCACCGCACAGCACCCCATCCTCTCCTCAGCCGTGGTTCTCCGCTCCCTCAACCCGTCTCCAGCCATGGGTGCTGCGGCTACCAGTGGCACCATGATAGGACGCACCTTGAGGGATTGGCGGGTGGGGAGGGAGGGCGTGGGAGGGGTGGGAGGAGGGAGAGGAGTAGGAGGAGGCGGAGGAGGAGGAGGAGGAGGAGGAGGAGGGGAGGGGGCACCGTTGTGTTCAATGGCAGTGGTGGTGAATCGGCTGGCTTCGCGGCCACAGCACATTCCCTCCGCATCCTTCCTGCTGCAGGTGAGCTTTCTTTTGAGGCGCCTCAAAAGCCTGCTGCAGGTGAGCTCACGCAGAATGAATCATTCTTCTGCTGCGGCCTTCTTGCTGCAGATTTGTCCAGTCAGAATGCTTGGTGGGGTGGTTCACATATCCTTAGGAATCTCAAAATAGGCTTGAGGATCGAAAAGAACCGCCTTTGTGCTGCTGTGAGGATGCAATGTGATGGAAATAAGACCTCCGCATCCCACCTGTCCTCTCTTGACAAAACCTCAAACTAGGCTTGAGGATTGAAAAGAACCGGCTTTGTGCTGCTGCGAGGATGCAATGCTGTTGATGCCTTTGACGCCCCCATCCCACCCAACCCAACCCCACCCCACCCCATTCCAACCCATTCCATCGCACCAGGCAGTGGAGGTGAACATAGATGAGAGCACGTTGCTGCGCCTCGTGCCATTCTACCGAAGCAAGGACCCCAGCGTGCCCGTTTGATTGATGCCCTTCCACCACGCTCCCATCCCATCCCACTCACGCACCCCACCCCACTTCACCCCACTCCACCCTTTTCAACCCATTCCACCACACCAGGCAGTGGAGGTGAACATAGATGAGAGCACGTTGCTGCGCCTCGTGCCCTTCTATCGCAGCAAGGATCCCAGCGTGCCCGTGCGCGACTGGAGCACCACGCCCATCTACATCGAATACCTCGAGATTCATCCCATCAAGGTGGGATGGGATTATGAGCATGTGTTTCGTTCTGTGCTGTGTTGTGCTGTGCTATGCTGTGCTGTGCTGTGCTGTGCTGTGCTGTGCTGTGCTGTGCTGTGCTGTGCTGTGCTGTGCTGTGCTGTGCTGTGCTGTGCTGTGCTGTGCGCTGTGCGGTGCTATGCTGTGCTGTGCTGTGCTGTGCTGTGCTGTGCTGTGCTGTGCTGTGCTGTGCTGTGCTGTGCTGTGCTGTGCGGTGCTGTGCTGTGCTGTGCTGTGCTGTGCTGTGCTGTGCTGTGCTGTGCTGTGCTGTGCTGTGCTGTGCTGTGCTGTGCTGTGCTGTGCTGTGCTGTGCTGTGCTGTGCTGTGCGGTGCTGTGCTGTGCTGTGCTGTGCTGTGCTGTGCTGTGAGGTAGGCCCATTGCAAAGCACGCTCTCAACTTTTGAGACGTCTCAAAAGACCAAGAGCACCATGGTTTAGGCTTTAGGAAAAGGGATTCTCACATGAAATGCTTTGAAATGGACGCGTTATGATGTAGCTTGGCCTAACTACGTTGCTTGGATCCATCCCCCCCCATCCCCCATCCCCCATCCTCCATCTCCCATCCCTCACACCCCATTCCCCATCCCCTCGTCCCCTTCCCCCCATTCCGCCATCCCCCCAATCCGCCATCTCCCCATCCCGCCATTTCCCCCTCCCCCTTCCCTCAGGTGGTGGCGAGTTTCCTCCCCAGTGCACCGGGTGCCATCGACTACTCGTCAGCACAGGAGGCGCTGAGGGAGATGCTGCACCCCACGGGATGATTCAAGTGCTCTAGGCAATCTGCCTCACCAGTACCCAATGTCTATCCCCCCATCCCCCACCCCTTCCCTCAGGTGGTGGCGAGTTTCTTCCCTAGTGCCCCAGGTGCCATATACTACTCGTCAGCACAGGAAGCGCCGATGGGGATTCTGCACACCATTACCCAATGTGTATCCCCATCCCACATCCCTCATCCTTGTCCCTCGTCCCCCGCCCATCGTCCTTCACTCCCCCACTTTCAGGTGGTGGCGAGTTTTCTCCCCAGTGCACCGGGTGCCATTGACTACTCGTCAGCACAGGAGGCGCTGCGGGGGATTCTGCACTCGGTGATTCAAGTGCCGGCAGTGCAGCGCACACCCATCCACCTGCACGGGCTGCTGCTGACGCATGCCCTCACCTCCTCCAAGCAGATGGTTGCTAAGCTTACAAGGCACTATTCATGGTGAGCTCGTTGCCAACAGACCTTGAGACATGTTGAATCGTGCCTTTCCACTCAGTCATCCAAGTGCCGGCAGTGCAGCGCACACCCATCCACCTGCACGGGCTGCTGCTCACCCATGCTCTCACCTCATCCAAACAGATGGTTGCCAAGCTCACCCGGCACTACTCTTGGTGAGTCTGGTCGCTTGGTGCTCTCAGGTGCTGCTTCACTGTGACCTGCAAGTGATCCAAGTGCCGGCAGTGCAGCGCACACCCATCCACCTGCATGGGCTGCTGCTCACGCTTGTTTGATGTTGTCCAAGCAGATGGCTGCTAAGCTTACAAGGCACTACTCGTGGTGAGTTTGACTGCTTGGAACTGCCTCCCTGCGGGTCAGTCATCCAAGTGCCAGCAGTGCAGCGCACGCCCATCCACCTGCATGGGCTGCTGTTGACGCATGCCCTCACCTCCTCCAAGCAGATGGTTGCCAAGTTGACCCGACACTAGTCATGGTGCGTACAGGCAGGCAGTGTGGTACGTGCTTAGTGCGCAGAGGGGCACTAAGCGGTGTGTGACCCGGCACTACTCATGGTGTGTTACGGGCTGGCTGGCGCTGCTTTGTTTGTGTAAGGGGGCTAACCTGACGCATCCACTCACAACCACTTCACCTTCTCTTTTTCATCTCCCGTTCTCGCCATCTGCTATCCCCATCCTTCCCCAATCCACACGCAGGTACGTCCTAAGAGCAGTGTACATAGCGCGGGGCCTGCCGCTGCTGCCACAGCCCTTCACGGCTCTCTTTGACGACTCCGCCTCATCAGCTCTGGATGCGTTCTTCGACCCCTCTCAGGGCCACATCGCCCTCGCCACTGCCACCACCAGAGGTACGGATGGGGTTATAGGCGCTACCTTGTGTGCTGCATAGGCCACCACAAGTCTACCACAGCCCATCACAGCCCTTCACGGCTCTCTTTGACGACTCTGCCTCGTCAGCTCTGGATGCGTTCTTCGACCCCTCACAGGGGCACATCGCCCTCGCCACCGCCACCACCAGAGGTACGGACAGTGTGTGGGATTGTAGCTTATAGGTGCTGCCTTGTGTGCTGCACAGACCACTTCTGGGCCACGGCCCTTCATGGCTGCCTCGTCAGCTCTGGATGATTTCTTCGACCCCTCACAGGGGCACATCGCCCTGGCCCCTGGCCACCGCCACCACCAGAGGTACGAAGAGTAGGATTATAGCCTATAGCCCATAGATGCTGCCTGCCTGTGTGCTGTATAGACCACCACCACCACCACAGGTCCACAGCCCTTCACGGCTCTCTTTGACGACTCTGCTTCGTCGGCTCTGGATGCGTTCTTCGACCCCTCACAGGGGCACATCGCCCTCGCCACCACCACCACCAGAGGTACAGACAGTGGGGTTGTAGCCTATAGCCCATAGGTGCTGCCTGCCTGTGTGCTGTATAGACCACCACCACCACAGGGCCACAGCCGTTCACGGCGCTCTTTGACTACTCTGCCTCATCAGCTCCCGACATCCATCCATCCATCAATTTATTCCCCTTACAGGAATATTTGATATTCTCCGCAAGGTGGTGAGGAGGCGAGATGCTGGTGGCGGTGGCAGCGCGTTTGGCATCTCACCCACTCTCTTCCTGGGGGACGTGGAGTCTACGGTGAGAACAGCCTTGACACTTATGGCGAGTACAGTCTCACGTTCTTGAGTTCGGATGTGCTTGGCATGACATCTCACCCAGTCTCTTCTTAAAGGAACGTGGAGTCTACAGTGAGTTCTAGAGTTCACCGTGAGGCTTATAGTGAGTAGCGCAACATGTCTATAGCGGGTACAGCATCACTTTTTCTGAGTTCAGATCTGCTCGTTTGGCATCTCACCCAAGCTCTTCCTTGGAGACATGGAATCCACAGTGAGTACTACAGTACACCATCAGGCTTGAAGTGAGTTAGGCATTTGGGTAGTACTCAGAATTTCCTATTCTGAGAGGGTCAATTCAGGATTTCGGTCTTTGGATTCGGGGTCTATAGATGGGACTGGACCCAGATTCCTTGCATGCTTTATTTTTTTACATGTGTCCTTTTTCTTGCATGCTTTACTCTTTTACGTGTCCTTTTTCTTGCATGCTTTATTTTTTTACGTGTCCTTTTTCTTGCATGCTTTCTTCATTGATCATCTCTCGTCCCTGTCTTTGCTGTCAACTCTGTCTCTTGCCATCACCACCGTTCTCCTTCCCATCAGGTGCGGGAGGCGGGCACAGGAGTGGTGCACGCAATGGTATCAGAGATCTCTGATTCCATGATGAAAGGGGTGGAGAGCGGTGGCCTGCCGGGCCTGGTGAGTCAAGTCCTTTCTCCCATCCCATGCGATCCATCCCACGTAAACCATTGCACCCCACCCCACCCCACCCCATCCATCCTGTATATTACCATGACTTTCATCGTGCCCCTCTAAATATTGTCACGGAGCCAAACAGACACCATGCTCACTTCGCTCCTCTACCCCTGAGGTGACTTTTGAGTCGACTCAAAAGCCAAACAGACACCATGCTCACTCCGCTCCTCTACCCCTGAGGTGACTTTTGAGTCGACTCAAAAGCCAAACAGACACCATGCTCACTCCGCTCCTCTACCCCTGAGGTGACTTTTGAGTCGACTCAAAAGCCAAACAGACACCATGCTCACTCCGCTCCTCTACCCCTGAGGTGACTTTTGAGTCGACTCAAAAGCCAAACAGACACCATGCTCACTCCGCTCCTCTACCCCTGAGGTGACTTTTGAGTCGACTCAAAAGCCCAACAGACACCATGCTCACTCCGCTCCTCTACCCCTGCGCTGCTCTTTTAACACGTTAACCAATCCCTTGTCGTACGATCTCCCATCCCATCCCATCCCATCCCATCCCATCCCATCCATCAGGCCAAGGGCTTTCAGCGTGCCATTGTCCGCATTGCCATGGAGCCGGACACCATGCTCGCGCCCCTGCTACACCCCTTCACTGCTCTTTCAATGCGTTGACCAAGTCTCTTGCTATGTACCCCGCACCATCCCATCCCATCCCATCCATCAGGCCAAGGGTTTCCATCGAGCCATCCTCCGCATTGCCATGGAGCCGGACACCATGCTCGCGCCCCTGCTACACCCCTTCACTGCTCTTTCAATGCGTTGACCAAGTCTCTTGCTATGTACCCCGCACCATCCCATCCCATCCCATCCATCAGGCCAAGGGTTTCCATCGAGCCATCCTCCGCATTGCCATGGAGCCAGACACCATGCTCTCTCCCCCTGCTCCACCCCTCTGCTAGTCTTTCGACACATTGACATATCCCTTCTTTTACCATCACCGCGTGCTTCCCCCCAGGCCAAGGGCTTCCATCGAGCCATCCTCCGCATTGCCATGGAGCCAGACACCATGCTCTCTCCCCCTGCTCCACCCCTCTGCTAGTCTTTCGACACATTGACATATCCCTTCTTTTACCATCACCGCGTGCTTCCCCCCAGGCCAAGGGCTTCCATCGAGCCATCCTCCGCATTGCCATGGAGCCAGACACCATGCTTTCTCCCCCTGCTCCACCCCTCTGCTCCTCTTTCGACACATTGACATATCCCTTCTTTTACCATCACCGCGTGCTTCCCCCCAGGCCAAGGGCTTCCATCGAGCCATCCTCCGCATTGCCATGGAGCCAGACACCATGCTCTCTCCCCCTGCTCCACCCCTCTGCTAGTCTTTCGACACATTGACATATCCCTTCTTTTACCATCACCGCGTGCTTCCCCCCAGGCCAAGGGCTTCCATCGAGCCATCCTCCGCATTGCCATGGAGCCAGACACCATGCTCTCTCCCCCTGCTCCACCCCTCTGCTAGTCTTTCGACACATTGACATATCCCTTCTTTTACCATCACCGCGTGCTTCCCCCCAGGCCAAGGGCTTCCATCGAGCCATCCTCCGCATTGCCATGGAGCCGGACACCATGCTCTCTCCCCCTGCTCCACCCCTCTGCTCCTCTTTCGACACATTGACATATCCCTTCTTTTACCATCACCGCGTGCTTCCCCCCAGGCCAAGGGCTTCCATCGAGCCATCCTCCGCATTGCCATGGAGCCAGACACCATGCTCTCTCCCCCTGCTCCACCCCTCTGCTAGTCTTTCGACACATTGACATATCCCTTCTTTTACCATCCCCGCGTGCTTCCCCCCAGGCCAAGGGCTTCCATCGAGCCATCCTCCGCATTGCCATGGAGCCGGACACCATGCTCGCGCCTCTCCTGCATCCCTTCGCACCCGGATTCACTGCCGCCCTCTCTTCTTCCTCCTCCTCCTCCTCCACTCGCCGCCGCTTCCTCTCCACCACCCGTATCCGCCTGCGCACCAGCCTGGGACTGCACGAGGTAAGCTTTCTAGGGTGTTTGTTGAGCGGTTTTTGCTTCTGAAACCCTCTTCTCCGCTTCTGAAACCCCTCGCATCCTCCTGCGCACCAGCCTCAGGCTGCACGAGGTAAGCTTTATAGGCTTCAAAGCTCAGCGTCTAAGGTTTAATGTTCAGAGATTCCTGTTCAGGGTTTGTGCTTCTGCAACCGTCTCTTCTGATTTCTCCTCATCCACTCGCCACCACGTACTGTCCTCTCCACTTACCCTCCTCTCCACTTCTCCCAACCTTGCCCCAGGCATGCACATAGGCCGACATACAAGCCATGGTGGAAGCACCACTCTCTCTGCATCCCCTTCCCAAACCGTTCTTCTTACTGCTTCCGGTTCTGCTCTCTCCTTACCCCAGGCATACGTCGAGGGCTGTCTGCAAGCCATGCTGGATACTCTATATCGCCAGGCCTAACCATTCCCCGTGCCCTTGACTACACCACTTTCTCAATCCTTTCCCCCAGGCGTACGTGGAGGGATACCTACAAGCCATGCTGGACACGCTATATCTTGCCCTGACCATACTCTCCATCTATTTTCCTGACGCTCAAATCAACGCACACCCTGTATTAAACCCTTGCTCTCTCCCATCAGGCGTATGTTGAGAGTTATCTGCAAGCCATGCTGGAGAAGAGACCCTAACCATGCCCGTTGCCCTCGACTTAATGTACTCCTGAACCCTGTTCCACACACTAGGCGTACGTGGAGGGATACCTACAAGCCATGCTTGACACGATATATCGCCAGCCCTATGTGACTGTCAAGATCGCCAACGACACAGTAAGCTCCCTGTTATCGCCCTGTGAATCACTTTTGAAAATACACAAGATTCAAGCCATGCTCGACACGATATATCGCCAGCCCTATGTGACTGTCAAGATCGCCAACGACACAGTAAGCTGAATTCCTAAGGCCCCTCAAAAAAAGACACAGTATTGTCCTTCTCTTGCTTTAGGCATTTCACAGTGAGTGACGAATCAAGGCCCTCAATGCAATCACACCAGTATGTCCTCTCACTCACTCTGTTACAGAGCACACGTACCAACGGGACCTTACCACACCTCTCACCATGCTCCCTTCATTTCGGCACAACGCTGCTGGTCATGTCATCCCCCTCCCACTCTCCCCCCACTCCCTCCCCACTCTACCCCGACCCACCTCCCCTTCCTCTCCAGGTCGTTCTGAAGAACCTACCCCCCAACACATCTCTCACCAATGAGATGGTGACATGCGTCACAGACTTCCTGGTCACAGAAGGGCTGTTGGAGCCTGAGAGGGGAGGCGGCAGGGATGGAGGCAGGGGAGGAGGAAGGGGAAGGATGGGGATGCCGGTTGCTGGTGGTGCTGGTATCGGTGGTGCTGCTGGTGGGGCCGGGGAGGTGTCTGCTTTCCGATCACTGCGGCGCATTCACGGGGAGCAGATGGTGAGTTTTGTGGGGAATGAGGTGGTGAGAGAGAGTCGTGTTTTGAGTCGACTCAAAACACGGCAGGGGAGGTGTCTGCTTTCCGATCACTGCGGCGCATTCATGGGGAGCCGTGTGTGGGATGAGGTGGTGAGAGAGAGGCGTGTTTTGAGTCGACTCAAAGCATGAGCCGTGTGCGGGATGAGGTGGTGAGAGAGAGGATGTGTGCGCTCACGTGTGATGAGATGTGAAGAAAGTGGATCGGTGAACTTAGGGCACGATAGGAAGAAGAAATATCCTTAGCAAGAAAATGGTACAAGTCTTAAAGACTAGAGCAAGGTCCTTGTCAAGGATAATCCCTAGTGAAGTGGGAAGCCACATATATGTGGCTGAACTCTTGAGGCTAGCTGCAGCACCTCAATGCTGAGGGCTAGGCTAGCCAACCTTGCCAAGCTAGCAAGTGAGGCCACATGTTGCACATGTGGGCCAAGCTGGAACAACAGCCCACATGACAGCATATGGCACACCATAGAGGCCAGCAAGGTGAGTGTGGGATGAGTGGACAGGTGGCAATGCCAGCTGTGACCACACTTCACTGTGGTGGAGTGTGGTAGAGTGTGGACATGTAATGTGGAGCATAATGAGAAGGGAACCTGCAGCTACTGAGAATTGAACCCACAACCTCTAAGACCACAGGTGAGAATCTACCCTTCGGGACATATTTGCTGCACAACACCCCCCCTCAAGGATGTCCCCGGGGTAGGGTTCTTCAAGCGGAGACATGGGTGAGACCGAGAAGACCACGGATGCGTAGAAAAGGGTCACGGGGCAAAGGTTTGGTGCCAATGTCAGCGAGGTTGTCTTGAGTAGGAACATAGTGAAGGGTGACGGAGTGGTCGGCGACATGATCACGAATGAAATGGTGCTTGATGTCGATGTGTTTGGCCTTGGGATGAAAGACGCCGTCGTCCTTGGCCAGAATGATGGCGGCGCTGTTGTCACACGAGATGCGGGTGGGGCCGGGTGGGGGAAGTCCAAGTGCAGTAAGGAGGGATCGAAGCCATAAGGCCTCATGCACCGCGGCGCCCAGAGAATAGTATTCAGCTTCACATGAGGAGGTAGCGACGACAGCTTGACGTTTGGACTGCCAAGAGATGAGTGACGGACCGAGGAAGAACAAGTAGCACGTAACGGAGCGTCGGAGCTCGCCCTCCGGTCCCCAAGAGGCGTCACACCACCCATGGAGTTCAAGGGTGTTGGGAATGCCGCCAAGGAGAAGCCCGAGTGAGGTAGTCCCTTTCAAGTAGCGAGCAACGCGTTTGGCAGCCGAGACGTGAGGAGTAGACCAATCATGAAGGTGACGAGCAAGAACTCCAGCGCTATATGCGAGGTCGGGACGGGAACCCACCATGGCATACATGATGGATCCGACAAACGAGGTGTAAGGAAAGGAGGAGGAGTGTGGTGAGGAAGTCACGGGCGGCTGAAACTTGGTGTCCATGGGGGTGGCAGCAGGGTTAAGTGGTGTGAATGAGTAGGTGTCTAAGATGGAGGTGATGAATTTGGATTGATGAAGGTGGAGAGTGCGTGAGGTCCGATCACGAGTGATGTGAAAGCCAAGGTAGTAGGAAAGAGGACCGAGGTCACGAAGCTTGAAGCGAGATGAAAGGGCACGCTTGAATGAGGAGAGAAGAGAAGAGGAGGAAAGAATGATGAGGTCGTCAACATAGACGAGAAGCATGAAGAAAGATGCAGCTGTAGGCCGATAAGGAGATTGTGGAGTAGCAATGAAGAGGCCGGGGTCCGCACGGGCAGCAAAAAGGTGAAATGCAGCAAGCTCTTCACGAAGTTTGCGGTACCAGCACCGCGGCGCTTGCTTCAACCCGTACAACGGTTTGTGCAAGAGACAAACTTGCTCAACACCATGGACCGCCGGAAGCTCATAACCGGGAGGCTGCATCATGTAGAGAATTTCATCAGGAGTGCCGTTGAGGAAGGCGTTGGAAATGTCCAGCTGATGGACTTCCAGGTCGAAAGCGGCAGCAATAGTGAGGAAGAGGCGGAGGGTGGCGAAGCGAACGGTAGGAGCAAAGGTGTCATGGAAATCAACACCGTCGCGTTGTTTGAAACCTTTGACAACAAGGCGGGCTTTGCGGCGTTCAATAGAACCATCAGCATGCTCCTTGACCTTAAAAATCCATTTGCATGGAATCAGTTTGCACTTGGGTGGTCGAGGAACAACGCTGTAAGTGTCATTAGCGTGCAGGGCAGCGAGTTCCGCATCAGCAGCCTTGATCCATTCAGCAGCATCAGGGCCGGTGCGGGCCTCATGAATGTTTTGAGGTTCGTAATGATGATGAAGGGCGGCATTAGCAGAGGGCTCGGAAAGAGGAGGAAGGGTGAAGTCAATGGGTTCAGAAGGAGAGGGTAGGACCTTGAGTAGTGAGAAAAGTGAAGGATTGGAAGGAGCTGAAGGGGATGGTGGTGAGGAACTAGAGGTGCAAGGGGGAGGACGAGCTGAAGAAGGAGAGGAGAGGGATGGAAGGCGGAAGTCTTGCGGCGTCGAGGGCAGAGGAAGATTGGAAAACAAAGGAGGAGGAGAAGAGGTTGCTGGTGCTGGCAGATTTGGAGATGGGGGGAGGAGGGTGGTGGAAGAGGTCATGGGAGGTGAACGAGAGGGAGGGGAGGTTGGGTTTGAGAGGGAAGGGGGTGGAGGAGGAGCCGGAGAGGATGATATGGGTGGTGGAGATGACGATGGAGGTTCTCGAGGGTCATCCGAAGGTGGCGAAGAGGGCTCCATGAAGATGACATCACGAGAAAATGTGACACGGTGCTGAGTTGGGATATAGATGCGATAAGCTTTGGTGCCGTCAAGATGACCATACCCAACCATGACGCCGGCCGTGCTTCGGTCGTCGAGTTTGGAGCGGCGTTGCGGAGGAACGAGGACTGAAACGGGTGAACCGAAGATGCAGAGGTGGGATACGTCCGGACGTGCACCGGTCCATAGTTCTATGGGAGTCTTGGAAGCTGAACCACCCCGACTAATAGCATGATTTCGGAGATAGGCAGCAGTGAGAGCGGCTTCACCCCACCATCCTCTGTCCATGTGTGCGTCATGAAGCATGGAACGGACCATCTCAAGTATAGTCCGATTGGCGCGTTCAGCAACTCCATTTTGTTCGGGTGTGTATGGCGTAGAGCGGTGTCGAGCGATGCCATGAGCATTAAGGAATGAAGTGAAGGCCTCGGAATTGAACTCCAAGGCACCATCGGAGCGAAACGCTTTGATGGTCCTTGGGGAATGCATATTGTGCACCCGAGTGACGTACGCTTTGAAGCACGACAATGCCTCTGAACGATGGCGAAGTAGATACACGGTAATGTGGCGGGAATAGTCGTCGATGAAGGTGAGAAGGTAGCGAGCGCCTCCAATGGTAGTTCCATATGAAAAGGGTCCAGCAATATCCGAATGAATGAGTTGGAGCGGTGCGGTGGTGCGAGAATGGGACACACCAAATGGTTGACGCGTTTGTTTCCCACGATAGCACGAGATGCATTGAGCAATTGAGGAGGAGGAGAGGTTAAGACCGGAGACCAGCTGCTGCCGATGAAGTGTTGACAAGTCCCACATGTTAAGATGCCCGAAACGGCGATGCCAAAGGTATGAGAAGGAGGTGGTGGAGACTGGACATGCCGATGGGTTGATGGGGGGGGCGGCACTCTTTCCATGATGCAGCTGAAGATAGAACAGATTGTTGCGGGTAAAGCCCTCGGCAATAAGAGCCTCATCAGTCTTGAGCTCAACCCGCCCAGTAATGGGGAAGGAAACGGCAATGCCGGCAGCTCCAAGTGCACGAACTGAGAGCAGATTGTGAACCGATGAAGGGAGAAACAGAACGTTGTCTAGCTGAATGGTGGTTTCCGAGGTTTGGGAACGAAGAGTAGCCACCACCGTGCCGACTCCCAAGACCTTGTAAGTCTCTCCGCCACCAAAGCGAACGATAATATCATCAGCTGGCTGCTGGAGAGATGAAAACAGCGAGCGATCGGAGCAGATATGGGAAGATGCGCCGCTGTCCACCAGCCAGGAAGACGTCCGGACCAGGTTTGATGAAGAGGCCGTGAATGGCGATGCATAGGGAGCACCATAAGGGAAGAGGAGGAGGAGGAGGAGGAGGAGGAGGAGGAGGAGGAGGAGGAGGAGGAGGAGGAGGAGGAGGAGGAGGAGGAGGAGGAGGAGGAGGAGGAGGAGGAGGAGGATGGTGAAGATGAAGAGAGTAGCGACGAGAGGAGTCCAGGTGGGGAGGATGGAGCCGTGGCTGGTGCTGAAAGCAATGTCAACGTAACGGGAATCAGGTACGGACTGAGAGGCTGATGGGGCAGTAGGTGTTGTGGAGGTCGAAGGGATGTCGGCGGAGGAGCTTGTTGACACATGCACCGAAGGCTGGATGACAGATTTCTCCCGTCGAGAGCTTTCTTCGATCTCTTTCTTCTTCTTCAACTTGAAGCATTCGTCAATAGTGTGTCCGGTTTTCTTGCAGTAGCGGCAAGTAGGGGACTGGCGGGAACCGGAGCAAATAGGGTGGGAGGGCTGGGAATGGAGGTTGTATGCACCTTCCATGTTGCGGCTTGTACCAGATTGTGACCGCTCCCAATCGGCATCGAGTAGACGTGACTGCAGGTATTCAACCGTCATAGACTTGATGTCTTTCACGGTGCAAATAGTTTCTGTGAGAGTCTTGAAGGAGTCCGGCAGATTGAGAATGATGGAGATTACCACCACCCAAGATGGTAACTCGAAGCCGGCAGATTTGAGTTGGTGCGTAAGATTTCCAACTCGATCGAAGTAGGAGCGAAGACTCATTGTTGGGTCCATCCGTGTAGTGATGAGATCTCGGAGGAGAGCCACTTGTGCATGGTTACCCATGCAGTCAAACCGCGCCATGATGCATCCCCACATGTCCTTCGTCGTGTTGGCTTGAGCAAGTGTGAGCGAGAGCTGAGGATGGATGGCTGACATGTGAAGATAGTACGCATGCTCCTCTTTTTCTTCATCCGGCAGCGACGCAATCGAGTGGGCTGTTTTAGGGGCTGCACCATTGTTGCCTTCAGTAGCATCTCCACTGCTGGTTGTGGAGGAGGAAATGGAAGGGCGGGAAGCAACCTTGGGATCTCCAAGAAAGGAGATCAGCCCAAGGACATTAAAGATGTAGCATATCTTTTTCTTCCATGGAATGAAGTTGGAACCATCCGGTTCCAAGATAGGAAGGGTGTGCCGACCGAGAGGCGTCTCAACTTGAGCCATCAAGTGTGCGACGTTCACAAAGCTAGAAGCCTAGCTCTGATAGCATGAAGAAAGTGGATCGGTGAACTTAGGGCACGATAGGAAGAAGAAATCTCCTTAGCAAGAAAATGGTACAAGTCTTAAAGACTAGAGCAAGGTCCTTGTCAAGGATAATCCCTAGTGAAGTGGGAAACCACATATATGTGACTGAACTCTTGAGGCTAGCTGCAGCACCTCAATGCTAAGGGCTAGGCTAGCCAACCTTGCCAAGCTAGCAAGTGAGGCCACATGTTGCACATGCGGGCCAGGCTGGAACAACAGCCCACATGACAGCATATGGCACACCATAGAGGCCAGCAAGGTGAGTGTGGGATGAGTGGACAGGTGGCAATGCCAGCTGTGACCACACTTCACTGTGGTGGAGTGTGGTAGAGTGTGGACATGTAATGTGGAGCATAATGAGAAGGGAACCTGCAGCTACTGAGAATTGAACCCACAACCTCTAAGACCACAGGTGAGAATCTACCCTCCGGGACATATTTGCTGCACAACAAGATGTGTTTTGAGTTGACTCAAACATGAGCCGTGTGCGGGATGAGGTGGTGAGAGAGAGGATGCGTGCGCTCACGTGTGATGAGATGTGTTTTGAGTCGACTCAAAGCATGAGCCGTGTGCGGGATGAGGTGGTGAAGGAGAGGATACGTGCGCTCACGTGTTGTGAGATGGTGACCAGTGTCACAATCTCATCACAAAAGAACTTCCTAGTCACAGAAGGGCTGCTGGGAGCCCGTCGCATCTGCACTCTCTCTCACACGCCACCAGACTGGGTAGGTTAGCAGCTACCATGCTTGCTTACCCACCCAATCCCCCTTTCCCCCATTCCTACCCCTCTTCTCCCTACCCCAGGGCCCCCACAACGCACGGGTGGCAGTGTGGGCGCTGCTAGAACAGCTAGCAGTCACTCTTCTCATCCGCACGCTCCGACACCAGACTGCCAGGTGGCTGCACGTCAAGCCGCCACCTGGCACCCAGGCAGACGAAGGGGCAGCACTTACCCCTCCTGCTACAGCCGCTGCTACAGGAGACGGTAGAGGGGAGGAAGGGCAAGGGGAAGGGAGGGCTGGTGGGGGAGCGAGGGAGAGGGTGGGAGGAGTAAGGGCAGGAGGGAGAGTGCGGGCGGCGGTGAGTCATGTGGTGGTGGCGAGTGTGGTGGCATATGTGGATGGCCGGCTGTGTCGCCACATCCCCAACGCGTTTCTGAGAAGGGTTGTGAGCGGCTTCCTGCTCAGCTTCGTGGACCTCTGACAGTATTTCTTCTGAAAACGTGGTGGTGGCGAGTGTGGTGGCATATGGATGGCCAGCTGTGTCGCGACATCCCCAATGCCTTTCTGAGTAGGGTTGTCAGCGGCTTCCTTCCTGCTCTGCTTCGTGGACCTCTGAAATGCCTGACTAGGTTTACTTTCAAGCGGATAAAACAATTACCAGGGTTTAGAGAGTGTCGCGTTATGAATCGCTGTATTGTTGTCACCGCGAACTAGCAGTGGAGTCTGGAACAAATATGAAAACGAAAACATAAAATGCACTTGATTTTAATAAAAATTTTGAGGAAACATTTACAGTGTCGTTATGCTGCTTCTTGCACAGCAGTGACTTTTTGTGAGGGGCCTGAAATGCCAATAACGAGTCATCCGCGGCTTCGCAGATTCTAGGCATGGCTAGTGGCGAGGCGAGCTTGTAAGGACAAGAGTATGTTTTCGATAGCCTCCTATTTAGGACAATCACAAGTTACTATCTAGGAATTGCGTGTCCGTCAGACCGCTCTGGACGGTTTGAAACTCGTTTCTGAAGGAGCAAGCGTTTCGCCATGGCTGTCGCTGTCTCAGCTCGATCGCACCAAGTCAGTAGCGGCTTTCCCGCTGATTCAGCTGCAGCCTCTAGCCTCTCGAATTTGTCAACATCGCAACCGCCCTATCCCGGCCGTTCGTTGCACGATGCCGCCTCCTCATTCGCGGATCTTGTTCTAGGCGCTTCCAGCAGTCGCACTGTAGCAGCAGCAGGACCTGACGGCCACTCCGCATCTCACGCCGCTTCTCACGCCGGGATTCCCGGACAATCCGCGGCTCGCGAAGCAGCCTCTCTCGAAGTTGACGTGTCAGCACAGCTGTCCGTCGCGGACCTGCTGACGTGTCTCTCGCGGATTGAAGAGCGGTCCGAGCAGGTAAAAGCGGAGATCATACAGGAGGTGGAAGGCCGACACGAGGAGCTTCGGCAGCTGATGTGGCATGCGTGCCAGGCTGGCGATGACGTGGCGGTTCTGCTAGCTGAGGTGGATGCCCTGGCTGCCAGTGTTTCACCAGCAGAAGCCACCGAATCCGATCCTAGCGGAAGGGAGGGAGGAGGGAATCATGAATTTGGCTCGGGACCAGCTTCGGCAACTGGCTCGGGAGCAGCACTAGGGTTCGTGGAGGAGGTGGTAAGGGCGACCAATGAGGTGCGAGCGTTGAATCAAGCAGCCAATGAGAAAGCAGAGATTCGGAAAGCAGTGGAGGAGATTGTTCAGCTCCAAAAGAAGCAAGCGGAGATGCAGCTACTGCTGGGGAGAGGAAGGCTCCTGGAAGCTGCGACTCTGGCTCGATGTCTTAAAGACTCCTTTGTGGAGGGTAGGGACGGGGAGGGAGAGGGGGGTAGGCAGGGCGAGGGAGAGGGGAAAGGTGGAGAGGAGGAGCAAGGAGAGGAGCCTGTGGTGGTGACGCTGCTGCGGCAGCAAGTGGACGGCAGCTGTAAGCAGGTGTGTGTGGCTCGGTGGCAATGGGTAACTGAATGTGTTGAAGTCATGTGGTAGTACTACCACATGACTCAAAGGGGAGGAGCCTGTGTGGTGGTGCCGCTGCTGCTGCAGCAAATGGACGCCGCCAGCTGTAAGCGGGTAGGGTAGGTCCACGTGGCTCAGATACGCCAAATCCTGACGTGTCTGGGGAGCCTCGTCTGGGTAGCCTCGTCTGGGTAGCCTCGTCTGGGCCGGTCCAGCCCAAGTGGAGGGAAGTGGAAAGCAATGAGAAAGTGTATCAATCCTGCCTCGTACATCAGCTGGAAGTATGTCAGAGGATCTACATCAGCTCAAGTACGTTTACTTCTTTGCTGATTGATACACTTCCTCATTGGTCTCCACTTCCCTCACATCCTCTCCACCCCTCTCCACCGCTCTCTACCCCGTTCCACCCCTTCAGCTGCAGCACAGCCTGGAGCAGCAGCTGTGGCAGATGCTGGTGATTGACCCGTCCAGCCACTCCATCCGTATAGTCACATCCGCTGCACTCACACCCGCCATCACCAGTGCTGCTGCTAGTACTGCTGCTTCCACTCCTATAGTGCACTTACCAGAGGTGCTGTCTGCCCTAGAAGTGCTGACGTCACCAGTACTCCCCCAACCATCAATACCATCTACATCAGCAGCAGCAGCAGCAGGAGCATCATCATCATCCTCACTGCCAGTAGCAGCAGGGCCGCTATGGTCGAGAATAGCAGCGTCCATCCATTCAGCCATCGTGCTGCCTCTTCTCTACTCCCCATCCGCCTCACTCATCGCCTCCCCACCTGCTGATGCCACCCCTGCTTCCCCAAGGGACGCTGCTTCTCCCCCTGCTGTTGCTCTCATCCATGTGCAATCCGAAACCTCCGCACCCGCATCAGCGACACATGAGCCATCAGCTGGAGAACCTTCAGATTTTTCAGCAGCAGCAGGAGCGGCAGCAGGAGCGGCAGCAGGAGCAGCAGCAGCAGCGGTGACGCCCTTCCATCTGTACCCGCTCCTGCTCGACCTCATCCGCTTTCTCAGCCGCCATCTCACCACCAGCAGTGGTGGCGGTGGCAGTGGCAGCACCATTCGACTGCAGCGTCTGGCAGCGGCCCTCTGGCCTCGAATGGCCGACAGCATCATTGAAAGGTGTTTGGCATTGGTAAGCTGCAAAATTTTTGCGAGTCAGTTGCCATCTCACATGGATGGGGGTAGGGTAAACGCCAACTCGTTGCAACTGACTCACGTCTGCAGCACATGCCATTAGCCTGGCTGCTGCCCTCGTTGCAGCGCCTGGCTGCTGCCCTCGTTGCAGTGCCTGGCTGCTGCCCTCGTTGCAGTGCCTGGCTGCTGCCCTCTGGCTTTGAATGGCCGACAGCATCATTGAGAGAGAGGTGCCTGGCATTGGTTCGCTGTTCCATTTCTCAGTGAGTCGGGTTTTACTGTGATCCTTTTGCTTCAGCGATTTCTTGATCCTTTTGCTTAAGCGATTTCTCTAGGTTTGCTGCTACTCCCAATATGAACCTCCTGGATCCTTGCATCATTGAGTGAGAGGTGCGTGGCATTGGTAAGCTGTTCATTTTGCTTTTGAGTCGACTCAAAAGCAGCATCATTGAGTGAGAGGTGCGTGGCATTGGTAAGCTGCTCATTTTGCTTTTGAGTCGACTCAAAAGCAGCATCATTGAGTGAGAGGTGCGTGGCATTGGTAAGCTGTTCATTTTGCTTTTGAGTCGACTCAAAAGCAGCATCATTGAGTGAGAGGTGCGTGGCATTGGTAAGCTGTTCATTTTGCTTTTGAGTCGACTCAAAAGCAGCATCATTGAGTGAGAGGTGCGTGGCATTGGTAAGCTGTTCATTTTGCTTTTGAGTCGACTCAAAAGCAGCATCATTGAGTGAGAGGTGCGTGGCATTGGTAAGCTGTTCATTTTCTCAGTGACTCGGCATGGCTCTGCTTCAGGCTCGCGTTCGTTCACAAGGAGAAGGCAGGAAGTCAGTTACATGGCCTCAGCACACAGTTTCTCCTCTCCATTTTTTCCCATCGCATGCCCCCCTCAGGCTGCGCTTCAGGAAACGAGCTGGCTCGGTTCCAGGAGGTGGTGAAGGTCACTCGGCTGTTCAGTCAACGTTCCAAAGCTGCTCTTCCAATGCCAAGCACAGGTTTCTGTTTTCTTCTTTTCTCTTCCCATCTCTCCCTCAGGCTGTTCCCCAGGAAACGAGGGAACTGGCTCGGTTCCAAGAGGTGGTGGAGGTCACTCGGGCGTTCGAAGCAGCTCTCAGAGCGCAGGGTTTTCTCGCCCCTCTCCCAAAAGGTATCTCCCTCTTGCCTTGGTTTTCAGGCGTCTCGCGCCACTGCCTAAAGGTATGCTGCTGTTTATGGTAGGCTGCTGGCACTGGTTACTCATATGCACGCATGAACCCACGCAAGGGTACAGCAGCTGCTGATGGCAAATGCTGCCGACATGTGCCCCCCATTCCTTCCACCACCTCCCCTCTTGCTTTCTTCTCCACCCAGCCTCTGCAGCACTCACGGACGTGAAGCTTCAAGCAGGAGGGGGAGGGAGGGGCACTGAAGCGACCACCAGCAGCAGGGGTGGGGGACAGGCTAATGGCATGTGCTGCAGACGTGGATATGGAATTCGCAGAGAAGAAACGAGTGACTGCTCTTACTGCTCTGGCGGCTGCTGCTCACATCACATGCGCTCCCCGTTCCTTCCATCTCCTCTCTCGCTGTCCACCCAGCTTCTGCAGCACTCAAGGGCGTGAAACTGCAGGCAGGGGGGACAGTGAAGAGAGCAGCAGCAGCGGTGGGGGACAGGCTGATGGCATATGCTGCTGACGTGGACGTGCATTTGTGCCGATTCCCCCGACTGTCTTATTCCGTGATTGCTCTTCCCGTTTTGCTGTCCGTCTGCCCAGCTTCTGCAACAGCCAGGGACATGAAGTTAAGGGCAGGGGTAGCAGTGAAGAAAGCAGCACCTGTGGGGGACAGGCTGATGGCGTATGCGGCCGACGTGGACGTGCATTTCGCAGAGAAGAAACGAGTGGCTGCTCTGGCGGCTGTGAGGCACCTGCTGCTCAAGGGAGATTTTTCGGTTTCACGGCTGGTGGTGAGTGGTTGCGCTGGTGGGTGTGCTGGCTGGTCATGTGTGAGACGATTGAAGAGAGAAGAAACGAGTGATTGTGCTGGCGGCTGCAAGGCAGGCACCTGCTTCTCCGTTTCATTTTTCGCGGTGAGTGCTTGTGATTGCACTGCTGGGTGTGACTCACACCCATACCACCGTTTCACACCCACGCCCACCCGCCCACTGCACCCCATTTCAAGCTCAGTCAGGCTCTATGCTGCTGCTGTGGAAGCGACATCAGATGTGCCCACTTGTTTGTCCTCATTTCCACTCGTTCAGTTCAGACCCTTAGTCCTCAGTACAGTACAGGACAGGATTCCTGCCCTGTGACCTGCCCTGTGGCATGCAGGCTGGAGTCTCTCATTCCCATTCTTTCCGACCCTTAGCCCCCACTGGATTCCTGCCCTGTGACCCGCAGGTCACTCCGGTGAGTCCAGACGTGAGCAACTTGTCGCTACAGCCCGCAGTGTTTGGGCAGCAGGTGCTGCAGCTGGTGGCGGGAGAGGCAGGCAGTGCTGCTGCTGATGTGACGTCTGACATGGTGAGCATCACCTCATTCGAGAGTCCTGTCACAAAAAAAAAAAAAAAACAAACAAAAAACAAAACAAAATACACACACACACACACACCCACACTCACACACACACACACACATACACACACACACACACACACACACACACACACACACACACACACAAAATAAAATAAAATATTGTAAAATTCTAGTCACTGACGAACTCTGTCCGTGTGGTGTCGCGTTGGCATTACTTGGTACGGTACAACTTGCTGTGTTCTATCTAACAAGAAATTGATCATCACGCAACCCATGCGTGTGCATGTCACGTCATCATCATCCTCTCTACAGGACAACTCGGTATTCTTCTGGGAGCCGTGCCACGTCAGCGAGCCTGTGTGCAAGATCCTCGAAATCGTTCACAACACCATGGAGGTACGGTTCTTCTTGTCGGTAAAAACACCATGGAGGTACGGTTCTTCTTGTCGGTAAAAACACCATGGAGGTACGGTTCTTCTTGTCGGTAAAAACACCATGGAGGTACGGTTCTTCTTGTCGGTAAAAACACCATGGAGGTACGGTTCTTCTTGTCGGTAAAAACACCATGGAGGTACGGTTCTTCTTGTCGGTAAAAACACCATGGAGGTACGGTTCTTCTTGTCGGTAAAAACACCATGGAGGTACGGTTCTTCTTGTCGGTAAAAACACCATGGAGGTATGGTTCTTCTTGTCGGTAAAAACACCATGGAGGTACGGTTCTTCTTGTCGGTAAAAACACCATGGAGGTACGGTTCTTCTTGTCGGTAAAAACACCATGGAGGTACGGTTCTTCTTGTCGGTAAAAACACCATGGAGGTACAATGTCTATTTGCCACAAGCGCTTATGCATTCATGTTATTTTATGCATTCATGTTATTTTATGCATTCATGTTATTTTATGCATTCATGTTATTTTATGCATTCATGTTATTTTATGCATGCATACAGCACAGGAACTTGCAAGCCTGTGTCGCACCATGTCACCTTGGTCTACCATTTGCATTTTGAGATGAGTCAAAGTACGTGTCCCATCGATTTTTCTGACTTATGTCCGATGCTCATTTTCTCGACCCGGCAGGCCTAAGCCGCATGGTCTGCAAATAAGTCCATCCGATCGGTATTTGCATTACGTGCTTTCCCTGTTCCACCTGCCTTCCAGGAAGCTTCCCAGTCCACGGATCGTACGGCCATGGAGCTCTATCGGGCTGCACGGGACATCTTCACCCTCTACCGCGCTCTGCCGTCCTCCGCTGTGAGATCTCTGAACCGCGTTGAACCGCTCTGCACCTTGTGCTGCTCTGCTGCCGAGCCTCTTAGGGCTCTCCTATGGCTCACATAAACACTGCTCCCCCTCATTCCTGTCGTTCTTTTGCCTGTGGACAAGTATCCACTGGCACAAGTATCCATGATAGCATAGCAGTCCACACATATGGGTCACCTCCTGCTGTGCGGAGTTTTTGAGAATTCTCAAAAACACATATGGGTCACCTCCTGCTGCGCGGCCACGTGTGCCTCCAATGGTTTGACCCAGCCCTGCCTCTCCTTCCTTCTCTCCCTCCTTCCCCGGTGTTCCCTCATTCTTGCTCATTCTTCTGTAAACAGCCTGTTGACGTGGCACAGCTGGCAATGATCGCAGTCAACGACCGCCTGCTGCTCAGCCACGTGTGCCTCTCCCTCGCGTTGCAGTACCGCGCGCGCCTGCCAGCTGGCGTGCGCCACGTGGCCACCTTTGCTGACGTGGCGCCGTTCCTGCGCCAGCTGGCGGAGGAGCAGATGCAGCGCGTGCTGGAGCGGCACCACGGGTATCTCATGGAGGCATTGGACGGAGCACAGGGGTTCAGGAACACAGACGAAGAGGAGGTGTACCGGTGTGCGTTGCGGGCTCTCAAGCAGGTGCGTGAGGTGTTGAATCCATTATCCACAGCACCCGTGGCACCACGGGTACCTGATGGAGTCTCTGGATGGGGCGCAAGGGTTCAGCGACACGGATGAAGAGGAGGTGTATCGCGGTGCACTGAGAGGGCTCTGAAGCAGGTACGCCAGCCGTTGGATGCGGTGCGGAGCGGTACATCCGTGGTTTGCTGCATCCACAGCACAGCACCACAGGTGCCTTGAAGAAGGTGCGCTCAGAGCAGATGCAGCGCGTGCTGGAGAGGCACCACGGGTACCCTCATGATTGAAGAAGTGTTTTGAGACGTCTCAAAACACTTCTTCAATCAGATGCAGCGCGTGCTGGAGCGGCACCACGGGTACCCTCATCAAGGCGTTGGACGGGGCACAGGGGTTCAGGAATACCGACGAGGAGGAGGTGTACCGGTGTGCTCTGCGGGCTCTGGAACGTTCCAACAGCAACAGCAACAGTAATATTGCTGTTGCTGCATTGAAGTGCTGCACGGGAGTGTTGAAGCTGCACGGGAGTGTTGAAGCTGCACGGGAGTGTTGAAGCTACACGGGAGTGTTGAAGCTACATGGGAGTGTTGAAGCTGCATGGGAGTGTTGAAGCTGCACAGGAGTGTTGAAGCTACATGGGAGTGTTGGAGTGTACCTGATGGATCCATTGGATGAGACAATGGGGAGCATGGCAGGGGTTCAGGAATACATACGGTACAGACAAGGAGGAGTTGTACCACCTGCGCACCCCCTTTCCCCCCTCGCCGCTGTGTGGCGGCCAGTCTCACCGCGCTCCCTCCCACTACCTCCCTCCACATGTCATATCGATCCCCCGTCTCCATTTCTCCCACCCAGGTCGTCCATCACCTGGCCCACCTCTCCTCTGTCTGGCGCCCAGTCTCACCGCCCTCGCGCTACCTCCGAGCCATGAGTCGTCTCGTCTCTGCTGTGCTCTCCCGCTGCTGTGCGCACGTGCTCGCCCTGCCAGACATATCCGTCGATGAAACCGAGCAGGTGGGTGCTCGAGAAGGTGAGTGCTGAAGCACTAGTAGGTGAGTGTGGCTGCCCTGTGTTAGCCTGGTACTGTGGTGTCGTAGCTCGTGATACCCCCCCTACCCTGTATCCGCCGTGCTCTCCCGCTGCTGTGCGCACGTACTCGCCCGCCCAGATATCTCCGTCGATGAAACAGAGCAGGTGGGCTGCGGAAAATTATGCTGTCCCTTCTGCATTCTTCTGCTGTACAATTTATACCTACTCCTTTCTTTTTTTCCCGCCCCTCCCTCCCCCCCTCCCTCTTCCCCTGCTCTCACGGTTCGTTCCTTTCCATTTCAACCTTGCTCCACTCATCCATTCAGGTTTCCCATCACCTTCACAAGCTTGATCCTCTGCCTCCTCTCATCCATCCCATCCCTCTTTTCCCCTCCCCCCTCGCAACCTTCCCCCTCCTCCCTCCATTATCAGCTGCACAAGCTCTTTGCAGGGATGTTGACTCGTCTGCCCCATCTCATCCCTCCCATTCTGTATCACCCCAATCACCTTTCGCCCTGCCCCTCCCTGCTGCTTCCCTCCTTCCCCACCCCCCTGTCAGCTCCGCAAGCTCTTTGCAGGGATGCTGACTCGTCTGCCTCCTCTATTCCACGTGGATCTCTCTGGAGCCACTGGCAGCGCCCATGGTGCCACGTCAGCATCTGTAGCTGCAGCTGCTGACCTGGATGCTGACGTGTCAGATGCTATGGCTGACACAGCAACACTTGAGTCACTTGTTCCTGTGTATCGCAAGCTGAGAAGACTAACAGGTAATTGTTGCCTCTGCTTCGTGTTTCTCCCCTGGTTGCCATATGAAGCTATTTGATGTCAAGCTTTTCCTTTCCAGACTTCTTTTCCGTTACCAATCTACACCACACCCCACCCCACATATATGAGAAGTGTTTTTTCCTCAATCCCCAACTGCCTTCCTGTTTCCTGTACCACCCCCACAGATTTGCTTGACATGCCACTAGTGGCAATCACACAGGCATGGGAGAGTGGGGACCTGTGCCGCTGTGGTTTCACCTCTGACGAGGTAACTCCAGAACTCCTGCGGTTTCCATGCTGTTCACCTGTGCTTCCTCCATGGTGACACTCCTTCGTCTCCATTGTTCCCTCTTCTCTAATTTCTTCTCGCAGGTCGCTGTCACGAAAGCATTATGAACTGAAAGTGACCTGTTTGTTTCCTGGCGTCATGCATAAACTGTCAGCTCTTCCATTCTGCTTCCCCCCAACTACCCCTACCCCAATGTCACCACCACCCACCCTCTGCCACTCTGCATTGCCTTCCTTCCATCCAGGTGCAACAAACCATTCGAGCTATATTCTCAGACACCCCTCTCCGGCGGAACTGCATTGCCAGGGTGGCAGCTACCATGCCTCCCACTGCTTTTAAATGAGTTCCGTGTTTAACAGCAGCGTAATCCGATCCCTCTACATCCAAGTCCATGGCACGTTAGCAGCAATTAGGGTTTACATTTCAGTGGTATGAGCAGTCACTATGGTGGCCTCAACAGAACCACACAGATCAAGCATTCTTTAACGTCTGCCCGCATGTTCAGTATTAACTCTGCAAATAATTGTACTACGGTACCTCTCACTGTGCTTCTATATTCACCCCACTAACCATGCGACTCACAACGCAAGGACGGGAGATGTTCAAACGAATTTCTGAAGCCCATGATACCAGATACTTGCCACCATGTACAAGCCTGAACAATGACCATAAACTACGCCTGCCGTTCACAAGCCCCGAAATTGGTGCATGGAGCTTCAATGGCTGCAAGAGACACTGATTCTCCACACAAAATTGAAATACACGAATCGGATCAAATCAGCCAAAAAGAACCCCGAGCCTAGCTAGAATTAGACATCTACGAGAAAAATAGTGTCTTATCCAAACAGATCACTTGGCGGAGGAATAACCGTAGAGCTTCCCGACAACGTGCAAGGCGGTGACGAATCCAATAAAGCAGAGGCTCATCACGAGAACGACGGTCGGAGTGATCTTAAGGCCTGGAGCGTCGTCCGTGTAAAATCGGAGCATGTTATTCGCAGCGCTTGAAGTTGCTGCCGCTGTTGGCCGTCTCCTGCGGAGACCTGCTGATCCTACTCCCTTAGGTGCTCCTCCAGCAGCCGCTCCTCTACTCACAGCACCACTTCCGCCGCGTGCAACGGATGTGGACGCCTGGCTGACTGAACCCTTAGCCATGGTGTCTAATGGAGAATATACTAGAATTAGTAGTAGAATGAACAGATCGTACCAACAGAAACGATGGATCTGGATCAAATGATATACGCTTGCTAAGGACGAAAGAAGGGAAGTGAGATTTGTCAACTAACTCGAGGGTTACGCAGATCCGAGATGATGAAAATGTGATGAGGGATGAAAGTGGTTCTTCAAACTGCAACATCGAGGTTGGGTCGATGCCTTCGGCGGTTGAATCCGTTTCAGATGGTTTCCTCTGGGTCGGTATGGGTAATATTACCTGGGTGTTTGTTGGAGTAGATCTGTGGTGCTGCCCTGGGACAGGCTCCGCGAGGGTCTGACAAACGCGAACCCAGAAATTGCCGACTGGTAACCACGCATATGTTTCGCCATCCCAGTTTGATGAACGCGAACCAGCATTCTCGGTTGTTTACGAGCATCTTTGATATATTTCAGGCGTAGAACTGCGTAAAAGATAAGTGAGGAAGTGAAATTGTGGTGTATAGTACATTAGCCTCGAAAATGCCACGCTGTGAAACACCGAAACCGTACTGAACCAAACAGAAGTAAGATCTGACAACACCCTCCAACAATCGATCAACTTTGTTCTGATGAATGGCACCTTCCCTTCTCATTGCTGATGAGACTTGTCGAGAATGACAGCCGATGTTGAATCACATTGAACTCAAGACACTGGCAAAGGAGGATCTCAATTCTAATACACAATGCAGCGTTGAATCCTTCTCGTCGAATGTCTCGCCAGCGTTTCCTCTCGAGTTCATCCTTTTTTAGCGCTAGAAACCGCAGCGCCGTTTTAGACAGAGGCGTAAGACTTGGGAGATAGTATTTCCTGCTGTTCTTCGTGGAACGTTAGGCCCTAAGCGGGACTAACTCTCGCTTACTTGTTTATCTCTAGAATACCGATATTCAACCATGCCAGATAGCGAAGAGGACGCATCGAAGGACACACCATGGCCAAACGCCATTCCCTACGTCCTCAAGCTTGGAAACTTCATGGAAACCTCATGGAAGCACTCAGTATCCGTCCAAGCCTCTACCTTCTACCTCACCATCTTGGTAGGCCCGTTCTGCCTCGCCGTATCCATCTTCCTCTGCCTCCTCCTCTCCCTCCTCCACCTCCAAGCGAACCACTCCGGCTTTCCCACCTCCCCCTCCTGCAACTTCCCAAGTCTCTCCTCCCTCGTCGCTTCAGTCTTCAATCAATGCTCTACGCTCCCTCCCACCCCGGAGCCATGGACCCCTGACGGCTTTCTCGATGATCCCGAGGTGGCCGCTAGGAGGCCGGAAATGGACTCAGCCTGTGATCTGTGGGAGGGGAAGTGGGTGTACGAGCCGGAAATGTATCCGTTGTGGAAGACAGGTTCCTGTCCATGGGTCGAGACTGGCTTTGAATGTGAAGCCCTGGGCCGACATGACACGGATTATATGAAATTCAGATGGCAACCACATGGTTGCAATCTACCAAGGTGAGTTCCAATGCTGGATTTCTTTCTCAGACCTCTCTGTCCGTGCTTCCGGTGCATTTTCGTCTTTCGACTGGTTTCCTGGTCTTCTCCATATGATGACCTTTGTACATGTCCAGGTTCAACGAATCTGGCTTTCCGGATGGTCTCCGCGTGTTATGTCCAGGTTCAATGCGTCGGACATCCGAATGCGGCTCAACGGGCGCCGGCTGGTATTTGTGGGGGACTCGCTGTGCCGCAACCAGTTCGAGAGCGCGCTGTGCCTCCTCGGCATTGATCTTCCCGATGTCTCTGCTGTTGTCGAGGTGCTGCTGCTGCTGCTCCTCCGCAGTGGAAAGTCATATCGTGCCAATCGTACCATATGGTTACAGCTCACTCTTCCTACGAAACACTCCCTTGAAACCTGCTCTTTTGCATGGCTTCTCAGCTAAGTCAAATCGATCCCAGTCTCTTGCACTCCTCTCACACTCTCTCTCTCCACTCTTGCACTCTACCTCACCGCACTGCAGCGCACGGGCAACAATCTGACCAGGAAGGTGGACACAATGGTGTATGACTTCACTCAGTTCAACTTCACTGTGGAGTACCACCTCTCGCACTTCCTCGTGGGCTTCCACCGTGCTCCTCCAGACGCGCCACGTCATGTGAGTGATTCACGCAGTGATCTTTCAGGTGCCTTGGGATGAAAACTGGCCAGGAAGGTGGACACGATGGCGTATGACTTCACTCAGTTCAACCTCACTGTCGAGTACCACCACTCGCACTTCCTCGTGGGCTTCCACCGTGCTCCCCCTGATGCGCCACCTCACGTGAGTGAGTCACAAGCAATGTTTAGGCGCCTGGGTATCCTGCTTGAGAAGGTAGATACGATGGTGTATGACTTCACTCAGTTCAACTTCTCTGTCGAGTACCACCTTTCGCACTTGTTGGCTTCCACCGTGCTCCCCCTGACGCACCACCTCACGTGAGTGAGTCATAAACAATCTATTAGGCTCCCTGAAATCCTGCTTGAGAAGGTGGACATGATGGTGTTGATGGTGTATGTTTTCACTAGGTTCAGCTTCAATGTGGAGTACCACCTCTCGCACTTCCTTGTTGGCTTCCACCGTGCTCCCTCTAGTGCACCAGGGCTTGTGTGTGCGTGTGGTTTGTTCGCGATTTATTTGAATTCCCAGAAGTTTGCTTTTTGCCGCAATGACCAGACTGCACATCATAATCCCGCACCAGCTCCCGTCAGGACATGCCAGTCCCCTTCCTCCACATACCCCTGGTTCGGATTACCTGGTTCGTGTGTGCGGATTGGGGCAGGGTCAAACTCAGACACAGTGGACCCTTTGACGGCTGGCCGGAGGGATCGATTCTCATGCCCAACGCAGGGTTCACTCATTTGCCCTCTTCCTCTTCCTATAACTTCCGCATTCCCGTGGCCACTGTTCTTGTCTGCAGATTCGAGCAGTGGTGAACACAGACGTGGTTGACCCTCTCTTTGCTCGGAGGCTCTTTGACGATCGGTCAGAGGGGCTGATACTCGTGCTCAATGCAGGCCACTGGTTCACCCCGTCTAAGATATCATCTCAGTGAGTTGGCTGTTTGGATTAGAGTATTATAAAGGCTAAGTAGCCTTGTTTTCTCTAATCGGCAAAATTTCGTCCTTGTTTTTCCGTTCTTGGTGAATTATGCATTTCTTCCCCTTCTCAGATCGGGTGTGAGGTGAAGTTGTGATCACACAGCAGAACTGAAAAATTCCCCTGATTTCTATCTGTTCTTATGCAGGAACGTTTCGTTCCTGGTGAACAACCAGACTCGTCCAGACATCGATGAGACCGAGGGGTTCCGCCTGGCCATGCTGCGAGTGTCAGACTGGCTCCAGCAGTGGCCGCCTCAGGCTGCCAACGCCACAGCTGTCTTCCGCACCTACGCTCCCGCCCACTTCGCGTAAGACTGGAGTATAACCTAGCTGTGTTTGGGTTCGCTCGTATATCTCTCACACGCGCTCTCTCTGCTGTCCGTCCATGCTGCAAGTCAGGAGGCTGACTCCAGCAGTGGCCGCCTCGGGCTGCCAATGCCACAGCTGTCTTCCGCACCTATGCACCCGCCCACTTTGTGTAAGACTGGAACTGTCCTGTTCGCGATTAGATTCTTTTGTCATTTTCCTTGCTCCTTAGTCCAATGTCCTCTGTTGTCTGACTGCTGGTGCTGCTTGCAAGAATGATAGCTGGTATGGCAGGGTGTGGTAGTTGCGAATCAGAAAGGCACGGGTGATAACCCAGAAACATATCATGCTCTCTTAATTCCAGCTTACCCGTTGGCCATCTTCAACTGTCTCCCTTCGTCACACTTCCCACATCCGTTGACTAGCGCTCGCAACTCAAGCACGTGAGTTATGACATTCTGGAATGATCCTGTCTCATCAAAATTTCCGCCTTCTCCTTGTCGTGTCTGCTGTCTGTACTGCAGTGGTGGCAGTTGGGATCATAGTGGTGGCTGCTCGGAAACACATCCCACGCTCTCTGTTGACCTGTCAATCCCAGATGATATCTCGCAAGATCCTTCAGAGTTATTTGCTCGATTAAGTCAAGAGGCAATGGCGCGGCCGGAGCTAGCCAGAAAACCAATAGTTAATTATATTACGAGAATGTCGTGTTCGAGGAGAGATGCGCACATTGCACGTCATTGGACTGGAGCGACTGGCTCAGACTGCAGGTGAGTCAGTGCTAAGTTATTTTGCCAGCCACATTTTCTGGTCAGTCTCGTATCCCAAACTCGTTAAAACTCTAGGGTCGTGAAGAATAACGTATGTGCTTCTTTTGGTGCAGCCACTGGTGTCTACCTGGAGTACCTGACACATGGAATGAGATGCTGTTTGCTTCTCTAGTAGCTAACTCTGTTATGTGAAGAGCATTGCGTTTCACATTCTAAAGAGATAAACCCCCCTGTGGAAGCTTTGTTCAAGGAAATAAATAACAATGGAAATGTGCATCGTCAGCCTGGATATTTGTGAGCTGGGACAGGGACACACGTACCGTAAGAAACTGGAGAGTACCTTAGATAGGTGGGCTGATGTGTTGTGTTAGCTTAGGAGTAGGAATGTAAATGTAACGAGTTGTTTTAGTGGTGCTCCGTTTGACAAGCCATATGTTTGCGATGGAAATCCCCGTTATGCCAGCTAACTGTGTGATTTGGATATTTGATGGGATCAATATTTTTTTTGGTCCATCCAGAGTGGAGTAGGGCTGCACCAATCGCGTTCACCACCTACATGCCGGATCCCTGGTCGTGACCGTCGTGGACTTTCGACCGTGCATCTCAGCCTCAGAACTTGGATGGGATTTGCAGCGTGAGACGTCTGGTTCACACCGAAGCGGGATTTCAGGGAAGATTATCCGACAGCCCTTTTGCCGCAAAATGGCGTCTACCTGCGCAATAGTCAAACCTCGTGGAGCCATTTGCCCTTTCGCAAACTGGAAGATGTAACCGCTTCTCCGCAACATACTGTACTGTATTCTTTGCCCCGAGGGAGCCCCGACACCTATGCAGAACAAATGACTCTTTTTTGGCGCAAAGGTTCTTACCTGACCTGACCGCATCTCCCCTCCCCCCCACCCCGCCCTCCTTGCTTGGATGAGGTGCAGTGCAGAAACAGTATGCAGTGGAGAAGCTGTAGGGAGGGAGGGACCTGTGTTGTGCGGTGCCGCCAGCTTCTGGGTTCTGGTTTGCGAATCGCCTATTACGAACACCTGAGAATTGTCTGGGGGAGTTCGATGAAAAAAGAAGGCGCCACTCGGGAATGTCTAACGGGACCAAGCACTCTTCCTCGAATTGTTTACATTTTGTTTCCGTCTCGGACTAAACATCATTAAATAAACAAAATCCCCCTCAACATTTTAATTTCTAAAGCTTTTCCCACTCCTCGGACTAGCCCTGGTTTCCGTCTCGGACTACTCCTCCCCGACCTCCACCTTTTCATTTACTTACGACTGTTAGTGTGTTCTCCCCCTACGCCTCCCCCTTCCCTCACGCCCTTTCGCTACAGATATTACGTGTTTTCCGTAAGTTCTCTCCAATGCGGCTAGCATAACCCCCCACCCGAACTGAACAACACTTCCAACTCCTAACAACTGAACTTGGCTGGCTGAAGGAACCGAATTCAGTTCACGCGTGGTTTCAATGGTGGAGGATGGATTCAGTTGAGCATATGGCGCAAGCAAGGGGTGGATGGAATTCGACGGTCACATGCGTGACGAGATTCAGGCTGACCTCATCAGCTTAGTCTCTTTTCATAACGTGAAGCTGCTGTCTTGGCGTGCAAATTGGGCGTCTGATTGTTTCGCCATTCAGTAGCCTCGTCACACCAGACAGTTCCAGTGAACGTAAAGTTAGGCCAGGCTCGACACTTTCGCAGTCGTTGCCTCTGACTTCAAGCTTAACACCGAAAAGTAAAAGCATGGACGGCTTAAAGCCCGCAGGCGCTAAGAAGATGGGACTCGCATCGTATGGTCGCAGCGTGAGTGCGAAAGAAAGCACGGGTATCCTTGCGCCGTCTGCGATAACCCCGCCGCCTGCGACAACTCCCACGAAAACTCCTCCCATGCGTCGGAATCATACTTACGGCGAACTGAACGACGCCTCTGCGACAACTTCTCCCATGCGTCGCAATCGTACTTACGGCGACCTGAACGACACCCCTGAGACAATCTCTCCCATGCGTCGCAATCGTAAATCCGGCGGTCTGAACGACGCGCCTGCGACAGCTCCTCAAATGCGTCGGACTCGCACTTTCAGCAACGTGAACGACGGCTCTGCGACATCTTCTACGATACGTCGCAACCATACCTTCGGCGACTTGAACGACGCTTCTGCGACAAATCCCACCATTCGTCGCAATCTTACCTTCAGCAACCTGAACGACGCATATGGCAGCGCGGCTCCGTCTGCCGCCGTCGACTTCCGAGCCTGGCTCGCGGACCAGGTTCGGTTCAGCGAGAGCCTACGCATCCCCGAGCCTCCACAGAAGGTTTGGTTGATCGACAAGCTGGGACCGCTCAAGGCTCTGGCACGCGTGGGGATGAAAAAAGCGACTTGTACATTTGCGATGCACGTTCACGGCGTCGACGATCTTCCGACAACTATGGAAGGGAAAGAGCTTATCGTGCAATGGCAACGACGGGGAATGTCTATCGGTAGTAGCTCCATGACTGTCCAACGCGGCGTGGCGAAACTGGAGCAGACGTTAACGATAAAGTCTTCCGTCTACTACACCGCCGGATCTCAGCAGTCCGTCAAGTTTCAGTCGAAGAAGTCGACGATCGCGGTTCAGCTGCTGAAGTCCGTCGGATTTGGATATGATGCTGAGATTGCGAGCCATTCTGTTAATCTGGCAAGTTTCCTGCCGTCTAAAATTCGTGCGGTGACGGAAGGGGAACCGCAGACGTTAACGTTTAAGCTTACCGGCCCGGCTGACGGAGCCGTATTGGTGGCGACGTTTGGGTATGAGTTGAATTTCGGGAAGGGACAAACGATTGTCGCACGGGTGGATACCAAATCGTTTCGCCAGTTCGCCGCTAGCGTCGCAGAGGCGTCGCCTGCTCCGAGCGTGGCGTTGTTCTCGAGCAGCCCGCCTGACAGCCCGTCGTCGTACGGTTCCAGCCCGTCGCACAGCTTCTCCGACGAATTTTCGCCACGACCGCGCGAAATCTCGCTGGCGTTACCGGATTCGCCCATGGGTCACGCGCGGAGCGCGAGTTACGGATACGGCTTTAAACCCACCACTCCGAGCACCATGCGACCGGTGATAGAAGAAGAATGCGAGGGAATCGAATCTAAAGAAGAGCCAAGTCCTGAAGACGCGGTGACAAACGGATACTTGGGAGAAAGTTTAAGTCAGTGGAACGTGGGGGATGGAGGAAAGGAAGGAGGGAATGGAGAGGCGGCCGAGGACGCGGAAGTGGAGGAGGAGGGGGAGGAGGAAGCGGAGGAGGAGGAGGAAGAGGAAGAGGAGGAAGAGGAGGAAGAGGAGGACGAAGAGGAGGAGGAGGCGGAGGAGCAAGTGAAAGAGGTGGTTACAATGGAGGGTGATAGTAGCGCGGGAGCGGCGCGACTGGGGTCGGTGATTGCCATTGGGGAAAGCGGAGAAGGGGCATGGGACGGCGGCGCGGGGAATGAGGGGGGAGGATACCTGTGGATGGCAGAGGATGGGAGGAGGGAAGAGGCTGGAGTTAATCTTGAAATTAGTGATGAGACGAGTGAGGAAATCGTGAGGGAGAGGGTGGAGGGGACAGAGGAGGAAGCGGGTGTGGAGGAAGGGAGCTCGGTGGTTGAGGGGAGTGGCTCTTGCAGTGGAAGGTCTGAGAGTGAGAAGGAATCTGAGAGTGCGAAGGAGCCTGAGAGTGAGGGGAGGTCTGAGAGTGAGGGGAGGTCTGAGGGTGAGGGGAGGTCCGAGAGTGAGGGGAGGTCCGAGAGTGAGAAGAAGGCTGGGAGCGAGGGGAGGCCTCGTAGCATTGGAGGTCTGTCGCGTATGGCGGAGGCGATTCTGGAGTTCGAGCGGACCATTAGCGAACAGGAGAAACAGCTCTTAGCGGAGCGAGAGGCAAGAGCGACCTTTGGATCAGTATTGGACGGTCGGATTGACTCCGATGAGGTGAGGATCAACGGTGCTGCATCGCCAGAGGAAATCCTCCTTGCAGCTGCGGCTCCTGCGAAGGAGCAAGCGACTGGAGATGCGGTTACCGGGTTGCCAGTCACAGCGACATCAGCAGCTGCTGTTCTGAACTCGCCTGCGTCGGTTCTTCTAGAGCCCCAAGACTCGGTATCAGGCAGCGATAGCGCCCGCAGCTTTGTGCTCGATGATACGAGTGTGGATGGGGGAGGGGAGAGGGAGGAATGCGGAGTTGAGAGGAGTGAAGGGAGCAGCGAGAGAGAGGAGGTTAGGGTGGGCAAGGAAGGGGAAGAGGAGGAAGAAGAGGAGGTGAGTAGTGAGCGGAGGGATGAGGAGGGAGTGGAGGAAGAGGGGGGTCGAGATGGGGCTGAAAGGGTATGTGGGGAGCGAAAGTGCGAGAGAGTGGTGGAGCGCGGTGGAGATGGGGAGGGAGTGGTTGCGGAGGAGGGAGAGGAAGAGGAAGGAGGTGTTGGGGGATGCGAGACATTGAATGAAGCAGAGGAGGAGGAAGAGGAGGAGGAAGATGAAGAAGAGGAAGAGGAAGAGGAGGAAGAGGAGGATCATTTAGATCACGCTAAGAGGGAAAGAGAGGAAGAGGAGAGGAGGGCGGAGGCGGAAAAGCGGAGGGCGGAGGTGGAGGAGAGGAGCAGGCGGAGGGCGCTTCAGTTGCAGGAGGAGGAGGAGGCAGAACTGCATAAGCACTTCTTGGGTAAACGATCCCACTTCGCGGACACTGCTCGTGCCTTTTCTGCTAATACCAAGAATGGTGTTTCGGCAACTGCTGCCACTGCTACCAATGCCACTGCTGCTGTGGCTGGTGCTGCTGGTGCTTCTGGTGCTGCTGCTGCCGCCCCTGCAGAAACCGCGTTGGCTCTTGTTGCTAGAGGAGGGCCTTCAGGGGCGCTAGCTGTTTCGAGGCCGGTCAGTGGAGCTGGCACAGCTGAAGGCGACTCAGAGGAAGACGACGAGCAGCTTCCACGAAAGCGCGCTTCCTTCAGCAGCAGCAGCAGTCCAGCGGTCACCGCTGCTGCTGCTGCTGCTGCTGCTGCGGTCGCTGCTGCCCGCGGGGAGGGGTTGGCTGAAGCAGCGGCGGCAGCAGCAAAGGGAGGCTTCAGCATGGGAGCAGCCGGAGGAGGAGCAACAGAAGGGGCCGTCGTAGCCTGTGGTCATCATCTCCATACCAGCTTGATTGCAGTGAGCAGCAGGCGACGAAGCAGCAGCAGCAACACTAGCAGCGGCAGGAAGGGAGGTGATGAGAGTGTGACGCGCATTGAGAGTCCTGTGGCGCGCATTCCCCAGTGCGTTCTGCGGGACTTGTCTCTTCCCGACAGCCTTGTCTTCTCTGCCATGCCTACTGCTGCTACTGCTGCTGCTGCTAGCGCCAAACCTGCTAGCGATTGCGCCATTGGCACATTCCAAAAGGGATCAGCTGCTGCAGTCACAACCATCAAAGCACCCCTCACCTTCCCTGCTGCTTCTCCTGCTGCTGCTGCTTCTGTTGCTCTACCCCCACTGGTACCATCTCCCGTTCCCCCTTTCGCCTCCTCGCTCCTAGCACCCGATTCCATCCCCCCTCCCATCCTACACCCCGCCACCATCCCACCCCACCTCCCACCCCGACCCACCCCCTCTCCCTCCCCCTTCCCCTCCCCTCTCGACCACCTCAAAGCCACGGACCCTCTGCTCCTCGCCCTCCCGAACTCCAACGCCCCTCCCCCGCTCCTGGACGGAATGGGGTCGGCTATAGCGCTGCAGGGCGGGGGGTTCTTAGCGTCGATGTCCGGGCAGCACTTTGGGGAGGGCGCCACGCGGCTCGTGATGCAATTCTCGCGCTCCATGGTCATCCCATCGGAACTAGCGTTGGGAGCATCGTCTGGAGAAGCCGCTTCTAAGCTGCTCCCTCTCCCTTCTGGTGGAAACGCACCTGGCGCTGCCGCTGCCGCTGCCGCTGCTGCTGCTGCTGCTGCTGCTGCTGCCGCTGATCCCTCTTCTGTCCTCCCGCTCTTGCAGCGGCTAGCAGCGGCCTCTGCTGCGGACCCGACCGCCCCTTCCCTCACAGACCAAGTCCTGGCGCTCATGCCCCTCCCCGACATCAGCGGCAAGCCTCTCGAGCAGATTGCAGCTGAGGGGATGGCTTATCTTGAAGGAGGTTGGAACTGGGACGGAGGAGTGGGAGGTTTGGGAGGTTCGGGAGGAGTTGGAGGATTGGCTGGAGGGGTTAGAGGGAGTTTGGAGGGGCAGGAGGGGGGAGCGGGAGGAGGGTATCTGCCAGGGAACCAGGGAGGCTTCCTAGAGGGACACCTGGGAGGATACCTGGAGGGCGGTTCAGGTGGTTCTTCAGGTGCTATCATCAGCCGTGGCAGCTCCTCTGCGGTCTCAGTCTCCCAATCTTCCTCTGCCCTCTCCTCCTCTGCCTCCTCTGCTCTGGCTGTGAGGCGGGCACAGGCAGCAGCAGCAGTGGCTCGCCTAAGGCGCAGGGGGCAGCACCTACTGGGGAGCAGCAGTGCCGGAGGAGGAGGAGAAGGGAAAAAAGATCAGTCGCTAGGGGAGACTGAAGAGGACGGGGAGATGGATAGGGAGCTTAGGCAGGCGCTTGCGTTGATGGGCAAGAGCGGAGGGAACATGGTTCTAGCTGGTACGGGTGATGCTGCAGGTAGGGCTCTAGCCATGGGCATGGGTGGTGCAGAAAGGAACATGGTTCCCGGAAAGGCTGGGATGGCAGGCAGAACTTTAGCTGGTGCCTTGGAGGCAGTGGGAGAGGATGAGGATGAGTATGTGGGTTTGGGTGAGCTGGGGGCGTTGGCTGTGGAGCAGATAGAAGCTCTGTTAGTGGAAGGGCTTAGAGTGCAGAATGATCAGAGTGAGTTGCACGCGCCAGGGGCTATTACCCTAGGGGAATCCGGGCAGTTGGGGTATTCCGCAGGTTACCCTGCGGGGTACATGACTGGCGGGTCGAGGGGTGTTCTGGGCGGGGCTGGTTACCAGGCTAGTGGTAACCAGATTGCTGGTAACCAGACTGGTGGTTACATTGGGGGAGGTGGGCCGAGAGGGTTGCTTGGGGCGGCGTTGACAGTGGAGGAGTGGCAGCAGCTGGATGCAGGGGTGTGGGATGCGGTGGAGTCCGATAGAGATGCTCAGGAGGTGCTGCGAGCGCACTGCAAGGCTCATGGGATAGCAGGGCTGCTGGAGGGGAGCGAGGGGGACGAGGGGAAACAGATGGTGCTGCGCGGTGCAGATGGGTTTGGAGGGCAGTTGGTGCCTGCAGGGAGTGGGGATTCAGACTCTATGACCATAGGAGGCTGGGACGGCGAGTCTAGGCAGATGGTGGGGGGATATGGAAGGGGAATGGGGTTAACAGCCGGCCAAGGGAACACTGTAACAGGTGGTATGCTTGGTACCAGTGCAACAGGGGGTGTGGTTGGTAACCCTGTAACAGGGGGAATGCTGGGCGACAGTGTGACAGTGGCCATGGTGGTTCAGCTGAGGGACCCTCTGCGGAACTTCGAGCCTGTGGGAGCACCCATGATGGCACTGCTGCAAGCTGAGAGAGCACCAGCGCCCGCACCTGCACCAACTGCTGCTGCTGGTATTGCTGGTCGTGTTGCAGGTGGTGTTTCTGGTCGTGTTACTGCTGGTTTGAGTGGATCTACCACTGCTGCTCTTGGCAGCACGGCCCAAGCGTGTATTGGAAGCCATCAGTGTCAGGGTCTATTGGAAGGCTACCATGCTGCTACCAACAATACCACGGCCCAGCTTGCCATTGAGTATTCTGAGGTTGATGCAGCTAGCCTGGCAGAAGCAGCGCTACAGCCGTGGCATGGCGCCAGCTCAGCGCAAGCGGCGCTACAGCCACGGGATGTCGCCACAGGCCGCCGTGGCCATATTACCGCAGCTGCCTCTCATCCCCCGCCCCCAACATTCCCCTCCACCGCCCCGCCCCGATTCAAGCTCAAAGCAGTGCACGTCGCAGGGCTTAAGGCAGAAGAGGCACCAGGGAGAGGGTGGGGGTCGCAGAAGCAAGCACAGGCGGGAGGGAGGTGGCTGGCGGCAAACGGCATGGGGAAGAAACATCAGGGGAAGGGCAGCGGTGGGAGTGGAATGTTTGGGAAGCATGCGAAGCCGGCAAAGGTGACGGTTCAGCCTGGGGATACGCTGTGGAGTCTTTCTCAGAAAGTTCATGGGAGTGGGATGAAGTGGACGGAAGTGGTGAAGCTGAACCCTCAGATCCGGAACCCGGACCTGATCCTGCCGAGCCAGAAGATTCGGATGAGGAAGTGATATGGAAAACGGACCTGACCTGATCCTGCCGAGTTAGAAGATCAGGATGCGGAAATGATTCGGAACCCGGACCTGATCCTGCCGAGCCAGAAGATTCGGATGAGGAAGTGATATGGAAAACGGACCTGACCTGATCCTGCCGAGTTAGAAGATCAGGATGAGGAAATGATTCGGAACCCGGACCTGATCCTGCCGAGCCAGAAGATTCGGATGCAGAGGTGATTTGGAGCCCGGACTTGGTTCTGCTGAGCCAGAAGGGCTGGCTCGGATGGGAGATGATCGGGGACCCAGACCTGATCCTGCCCCCCATATGTTTTGAGTTGTTATGTATGGGTAGCGTGTTATACTTTCTTGCGTGTTTGTTACTTCCATATTATCACCACCGCAGGCAGCTTAAGCTGCTTGATGCTTTATGTAGAGCTGCATACCGGCTTGTTGATCTCGTTTTGCGTGCACCGGTACAGTATGCATGTGTGTATAGCTGCTAGCATGATTGTTATTTTTGCTATGCTTCTCCGTTGCTGTTTTGTAGTTTAGTGATATAGTTCCAGGAAAACAATTTAGTGAGCACAATGGAAAACAGCATTGATAGAAGCAAGCACACAGCAAACACTTACACAAGAGTTGAAACAACTTATTACAATACCGTGCACTACACTACCTACTCATTTCAAATGCCCTTGCTCAACACCAGAGATCCACCGTTTCAACTTCCCCACTACAGTACCCCCTCCAGACCCCCCTCCCGCACTCCCTCCCCCCACCCCCTTCCCACTCATAGACCCCACATTGCTACTCGTCCTCCTCAACCCAGACCCACCTATATTGCTCCCTACACCACTCAACCCCTTTCCACCACTGCTGCTGCCGCCACTGCCACCAACGCCACCGCCACCCAAAGGGGAAGCAGTGCTGCTGGATCGGGAAAAGCCCCCTGCAACACCTGTAGACTTACCTCCCCCAAACCCGCCTCCACCAGCCAATCCTGCTTCCTTTGCCGCACTGCTGCTTGTCCGAACCAGCCCAAGCCCACCGCCACCACTGCTGCCACTACTGCTGATGCTAACAGCATTGCTGCTGGTTCTCATCAGCTCACCCAGCCCCATGCCCTTCATTCCTCCCCCGGCCCCAACCCCACCCCCACTTCCACCGCCACCACTGCTGCCCCCGCTGCTGCTGCTGCCGGCGTTGCTGCTGGTTCTCATCAGCCCCCCTAACCCCATGGCCTTCATCCCTCCCCCGCCCCCCCCTCCACCCGACGCTGCATTACTGCTTGTCCGCATCAGCCCTGCAAATCCCCCAGCCTTCTTCCTGCTCCCATCACCACCACCACCAGAGCCAGCACCCCCACCCGCACCACTGTCACTACCACCCTCACTGCCCGCTACTTTCCCGCCTCCTCCCTTCTCCGCCTTCCCAGCGCCACCTCCCCCAGATGCAGCCTTCTCTCCCACTGTAGTAGATACAATGTGCATGCCCAGGCGCGTCTGAGCCTCCAGCACCTCCTGTGCTGCCACCATGAGGCGAGTGCGAGCACTGCTCATCTCTAGCATCCCTTCTAATGAGCCAGGTTTCGCACTCGCTCCACCGGCAGTACCTGTGGTGAGCGTGGGAAGGCAGCAGCAAGAGGTGAAGGGGATGAGTCACCGTTGAGCCTCCAGCACCTCCTGAGCCGCCACCATGAGGCGCGTGCGAGCACTGGTCATTTCAAGCATCCCCTCCAATGAGCCGGGCTTAGCGTTGGCGGCACCAGATGCTCCTGAGAGGGAGGAGGGCGGTAGGGAGAGAGGGACAGAAGGAAGCGGGGAAAGATAGAGGAAAAATGTATTCTCTGAGCCTCCAGCACCTCCTGTGCCGCCACCATGAAGCACGTGCGAGCACTGCTCATCTCCAACATGCCATGGGAAGCGGCAAGCAGCGAGATGAATGAAGTTGTTATGACGCTTACCTTCCTCCCAGCCCCTCCTCCCTCAGGATACATCACTTTCCTCCTTTCTGGATTGAAGTACGAGAAGTCTTATAAAATCTCCAATCCAGCTTCTCAGGCAGCTGACATGCGCACACCGCCCCCTCTCTCCTTATCCCCTCACGACTCTCTCCTCATCCCCTCACGACTCTCTCCTCATCCCCTCACGACTCTCTCCTCATCCCCTCACGACTCTCTCCTCATCCCCTCACGACTCTCTCCTCATCCCCTCACAACTCTCTCCTCATCCCCTCACGACTCTCTCCTCATCCCCTCACGACTCTCTCCTCATCCCCTCACGACTCTCTCCTCATCCCCTCACGAATCTCTCCTCATCCCCTCACGACTCTCTCCTCATCCCCTCACGACTCTCTCCTCATCCCCTCACGACTCTCTCCTCATCCCCTCACGACTCTCTCCTCATCCCCTCACGACTCTCTCCTCATCCCCTCACGACTCTCTCCTCATCCCCTCACGACTCTCTCCTCATCCCCTCACGACTCTCTCCTCATCCCCTCACGACTCTCTCCTCATCCCCTCACGACTCTCTCCTCATCCCCTCACGACTCTCTCTTCATCCCCTCACGACTCTCTCCTCAAACCCCCATTCCCCTCTCTCCCCGCTGTCCTCTCATCCCCCTCACCTCCTCTCCCCCTTCCTATCCCTCTCCCTCCCCCTCGCTTTCTCCCTTTTGCTCTCCTTCTCCCTTGCTTTCTCTCACTCACCTGCGTCTTTCTTAGCACGAGGGCACGAGGATCGGTGAATCTCCTGCCCAGTAGCGCCATATAGCGCAATCAGCTTGCACGCAGAACAATCCGTCTCCCCTCCAAACCCGCGCCTGCCCGCCGCTCCCCCGCCCCCTCCTCCACCTCCCCCAGCGGATACCCCCCGTAGCTGCGCCACAACGTCACTGGTAGTGTGCATGCCCGCGTGCAACCCGCCCCCCGCCCGCCGCAGCCCCACACTCCCCTCCCTCCGCAATCCCCCCACCACCCCGCTTCCCTGCCTCCTCAACCCTCCTCCGCCCACTCCCTTTCCCTCGCCGAATCCTCTCATTACGCTCCCCTCACCCAGCCCCCCCGCGCCCATCCCGCTTCCGAATGCGCCCATTCCTAACCCTGCCTCTCCTGCTCCTCCTGCTCCTCCTCCGTTCAGTTCAAGGTCTGTCAATTCCGAATCTACCCCTGCTCCTCCTGCTTCTGCGGAAGCTCCTTCTCCTGCTTCTCCTGCTGCTCCTGCCGCTCCTGCTGCTAATGCTTCTGCTTCTTCTGCTTCCCCCGACGGTCCTGCGAGACCCACTGCTGCTGCAGCATTGTAGCTGCTGCCGGCGGCGCCGGTGTTCTCATTGCCGCTGATCGAATCAACACCGGACGCGCTACCGCCTGCTGCTCTTCCTCCTGATGCTGGCCCTTCCCTTGCGCCTTCCGCTGCTTCCCCTTCTGCCTCTCCTTTCCCTCCTTCCGCTCCTGCTGCTATTCCAGCTCCGCAGCCTGCTGACGCTCCTGTCCCAGCCACATTTCCCGCGTCTTCGAAAGTCGAGTTCGAAAGTCCTTCGCTACTGTCACGTCCGGCCTTGACGGAAACCCGATTAGTCAATATCCCCTCAGGCTCCGCAGAGGGGGGATCTGCGGAAGGAGCATCCGCCGATGGTGGAGCCGCGGAAAGTGTCGCGGAATGGGGAAAGGCGGAACTGGAGGATTTGCTGGAAATGCTGCGCGGAGGAAGGCTGGGGGAGCGCAAAGGGGAAGGCGCAAGGGGAGACCTATTCCCCGAGTCATGGAGATGCGGGGAGGGCGGAATTGGGGACCTCTCCCCGTGATTATAAAAAGGGGATCTTGATCCCTTCGAGGAAAGGGGACTTCTGATGCCTGGCGACAAAGGGGGTAAACTTGTTGATTTCTCAAAAACGTGGTCAGCTTCCGCGTTAACAGACGTCACGGTTTGACATCCAAAAATTTCGTTATTGCGACTCGAGTGCTCCTCAGACACCTCTTCAATTTCCGTGAGTCCCGGCGACATTGCGTGTTTCCAGGATCGAGGAGGCGTGCGGTGACAGGTTGTGCTGACGTCACTGAAGGGAGCATCGAAAATGTCGTCAGAACTTGTAACGGTACTTCCGTGACAAGTGGAAAGTTCCTCATAAGACGGAACGCAGCCGGGCGAGTTATCTGTTAGTCGAGCCGCGACAATTTCGTCTTCCATGATCATCCACGGAGGCTGACGAAAACACGGAGATGACGGAAACCACTGACACGAAAACGCAGGACCTGAATCCGAGGAACGAAATGAATCAGTGAGCTAACAACAGGATATGGTGCCACTGCGGTACGTGAAAGTAAGAAATGAACAACCCTGGCTGGCCGCGCTCCACAAAAAAATTATAATTCAATTTCGATTTGAACTTTCGTTCGGCGGAGTGTGTTTCACTGCGATAAAGAAGCAGCCGTCGAAAGCCGTGAGAAAGTTGATTTCCTATAGCGTGTTCAAAAGCGAGGGGCAATTGGAATGGAAAGGCCACACTTATCAACAAATTGAAATAATCGAAAACGTGCAAGGTATCTTCGAAACGCGGGAACAGTGCAAAGCACAGACATGAAAATAGCGACATGAAAAAGTGCTCGATCCCAGCTACCTAGGCAGCAGCGCGATCCCAGCTACCTAGGCAGCAGCGCGATTCCTAGGCAGCAGCTACCCAGGCAGCAGCCACCTAGGCAGCAGCGCGATCCCAGCTACCTAGGCAGCAGCGCGATCCCAGCTAGGCAGCAGCGCGACTCCCGCTAGGCAGCAGCCCTTTCCTCGCTAGTAGCAGCGCGATTCCGCCACGTAGCCCGCGACCCAGCCTCTTAGCCCGCGATTCAGCCGCCCAGGCCGCGATCTAGCCGCCCAGCCCGCGATTTAGCCGCCCAGCCCGCGATCTAGCCGCCCAGCCCGTGATCTAGCCGCCTACGCCTCGATCTAGCCGCCTAGCCCGCATTTTAGCCGCTCAGCCAGCGATTTAGCCGCCCCGCCCGCGACCTAGCTGCAAAGCAGCGATCTTGCCGACCAACCGGTGATTTAGCCGCTTAGCCCGCGAACTGCAGGTAGCAGCGCGCAGCTGGGCAGTGGAACCCGCGCCGTAACAGCGAAATCCGCACCGCAGCAGCGAACATCGCGCCGTAGCAGCGAAATCAACGCCGTAGCAGCGAAATTCGCGCCGGGGCAGCGAAATCCCCGTCGTGGCAGCGACATCCACGCCTAGGCAGCAAAACCCACGATGAAGCAGCGACATCCGCGCCGTAGCAGCGAGATCCGCGCCGTAGCAGCGAAATCCGCGCCGTAGCAGCGAAGCCCGCGCCGTAGCGTCTAAGTGCGCGCCGTTGAAGGAATATATTAGAGAGCGTAACGATAGCGAGAGAGTCTCTGCTATGGGAATGATGTTGCGCCAGCAACTTGGTAGAGTTTTGGTAGACTTTGTGAGAATTGAAGTAGCATTTGGGCCAAGTAGAATTGCAATATCAAGTATCAAACACACAAGCAAACACAAACATATATAGGCAAGCAAGAGTTGCATAATTGTTGCGTGGCGCTGCGAGTAACCCAACCCACACGAAAGTGCTGTGCAGGTGGGTGAACACGCCCCGCACATTTCCAACCCAACTCGGCACCGGAATGTCTCACCGTGCACGCTACTCCTGCCAACACAGCAAGTGAGCAGCGTGCCTCACAAGCAAGGCACCTACGACCCCCAAGACTCGTCATTCCTAGCACCGATTCCGCCGAGTTCGCTGCAGTAGCTCACAATCACCCGTAGTCACTAATGACCGCCACCGAACTCGTGCGTCGGTGCCGAGTAGACTCAGTCGTTAGGCGCCGACCTGCCAAGTCAAAGGTCATCGAGGGCCCTTGCTGTCGTAGGGCCCTCTAACACTCCCCTGCCATACTACAGCAAGGCCCTTTATCATCACAGGGCATGCATACACACATACACACCAAAACAAAGGGACACACACAAACGAAACACGCTCAAAGTGTAAACACGCACCGCACCAGCCATGGATAGGCCATGGCACCATCCACATCATGGAGTGTCTAGGTCTCACTCCCCTCGCTCGAGAGCCGCACTTGCCCCACAGCCTCGAAGCAACGACTGAAGGCGGGGAAATGCAATGCCTTCGTGAGGTAGTTAGCAGGCTGCTCGCTCGTAGGGATGTACTGCAACTGCAGCTTCCTGCGCTTGACCATGTGCTGCAGCCACATGTGACGACGCTCCATGTGCTTGAGGCTCCCCTTGAGCCCCATGCCACCTGCCACTGAAATGGCGGAAGAGTTGTCCACAGACAGAGTCGTGGGCTCCTCACTCTTCAGCAGTTGAAACTCTGCCAGCAGGAAGCGCAGCCTGCGCGCCTCCTTCCCAGCCTCCACAGTAGCAACGTACTCAGACTCAGTGGAGGAGAGGGTGGCGCAACGAATCCTCTGACTCGCCCATGAGACAGCAGCACCCCCGAGCACGAAGACATAGCCACCTGTGCTGGTCCTGTTCTGCTTGTCCCCAGCATCATCAGCATCGGCGTAGCCCACCAGCTCCAAGGACTCCGGCCCACCACCAAACTCCAGCGCCACATCCCTGCTCCCCACCAAGTACGTCAAGCACCGGTCCAACTCCTTCCAGTGCTGATCACTCCGCACAGTCTGGCCCGACCCCAGCTTACTGCAGGCGAACGAGATGTCGGGACGGGTGGTACATGCCGCGAACTGCAAGGATCCCACCTTCTGCCTGTACTCCTCCTCCTGGCGAGACTGCCATCCCACATCCTCGAAGGTCTGCACACTGAAAGGGTCAGAGGAAAGAGGGGTGCGAGGCACTCGCAGCGGCTGCTCCCCATCAAAGAAGCGCCTATGGACCTTGTCCACATAGGCCCCCTGGTGCAGCCACAGCCTCCTCGTGGGCCTGTCCCGAATCAGCTGCAACCCCAGATATTTCTCCACAGGGCTAATCTCCCGTAGCTGAAAGGCACTCTGCAGCAGGTCACGCAGCTCCGCTAGCATGCTCTGACTGCGGCTGGCAGCAAGCAGGTCATCCACATACACCAGCAGCCAGCACATCTCCCCCTCAGCATCAGTCTTGAAGTACAGAGCCTCATCCACCTTGCTCTTCTTCCATCCAGCCCCAAGCAGCACCCCATCCAAGGCCTCATACCATAGCATCGGGCTCTGCTTGAGCCCATACAGACTCTTCACCAACTTACAGACACGAGGAGTCCCATCCTCGTAGTAGCTCGGCTGCTCCATGTAAAGGTCTCGGGCCAGCACGCCATGGAGGAATGCGTTCTTCACATGGAGCTGCATCAGGTCCAAATCAAGTGCAGCTGCAATCGCCAGAAGCACACGCGCCGTCACATAGCTTCCCACAGGGGCGTACGTCTCCTCATAGTCCACCCCTGCCACCTGCGTGAACCCCTTCACCACCAGCCTCGCCTTCTCACGCTCCACTATCCCATCAGGTCGGAACTTGGTGTTCAAAATCCAGCGGTTCTTCATCACATTCACCCCTGACGGACGCGGAACCAACTCCCACGTCCCCTGCTCAATCAAGCTCCGCATCTCCTCATCCATCACCTCCTTCACCTTGTCTCCCTTCAAGCAGCCCAAGGCCTCCTTCACTGTCATTTTCGCTATGTCCCACTGCCTCTCAGGAACAGCTGCCATGTCCGGGTCCAGGTTAGTCCACTCCTCGTCCTCCTCCTCGTCATCCAAGCCCGCTGGCTCAACCACTACAGCCCAAGCGAATCGAACAGGCGGGACACCACAAGTGATGCGAGTGGAGCGACGCAATGGTGCAGTGGTCGTCCCAGAAACCAACACACGACCACCGTCTCTAATTCCCCACATCTCCTGCTCCCCTGTCTGCGGCTCCCCTGTCTGCTGCTCCCCAATCTGCTGCTCCCCTGTCTGCTGCTCCCCAATCTGCTGCTCCCCTGTCTGCTGCTCCCCTATCTCCTGCCCCCCACTCTGCTGTACTCCATCCATACTGCTCTCGTCCTGCAGCTGCTCAGTCTCAAGGCGCTGCCCGTCGGTGATCTCCACAGACGGTGGCACCTCCATCCCCCCCTCACCAACGCGCGGCGCCGTGGAAGACGAAGAAGAGGGCGGAGCAGGTGCAGGAGGGATGGAGGGTGGAAGGGGAGATGGAATAACAGGAGGAGGAGGGGAAGCCAAGGGGGGTGAGGAGGAAGAAGGCGAGGCAGGGGGAATAACACGAGGGTAGACTGAAGGCGGAGGTGGGGTGGGGACCGAGGTAGGGACATAGGGCATAGCAGGAGGTGCGACCACCTCCTCCTCCTCCTCCTCCGCCTCCTCGAGAGTGATCGGGAAGAGTGAGGGAAGGGGCTGATAGGGCATCGAACGCCCCCCATGCTCCTGCTGATGCCCAGCCTTCCATCCTGCTAGGGACATGGTCTCATAGAACACAGCTTCCACAGTGGTGATGAGGCGGTTGGACTCCAAGTCCAGCACGGTCCAGCCCTTGCTCGCAGCTGACACACCCAAGTGCAACCCCTAGCGAGCCTTAGGCGCCAGCTTCCCCCCACGCTGCGACTGTGGTACCATGTACTGCAGCATGCAGCCCCAAACACGCACCATACTGACATCAGGTTTGCTTCGGAAGGCGAGCTCGTACGGCGTCACACCAGAGGGTAGTGAGGCGTGCTCCACGCGGTTGCGCACCTAGACGGCCTGCACCAACGCCACGTGCCACCAGTGATGCTGCACACCCATGTGCAGCAACATCGTCCGCACCGCCTCCACAGTGCTGCGCATCTCCCTCTCGGCCATCCCGTTCAGCTCCGGCGTGTACGGGCATGTGAGGTCATGGATGATGCCTTTACCGTCGAGGAAGAGCGTGAAGTCGTGCCCCGGGAACTCGCCACCCCGATCAGTGCGCAGCGCCTGCACCGTGGTCTTGCACTGTCGCTCTGCCATCGGGAGCCACTTCTGGAACGCCACCAGCGCATCACTCTTCTGGGCCAAAGGGTAGGCCCAGACATATCGCGTCTTGCGATCCTTTAGCACCAAGAAGTAGCGGCTGCCGTCCTTAGCTGCTTCACGGAAAGGGCCACACAGGTCAGCATGCACCACCCCGAGCAACTCATCCTCCTCCTCTCCCACAGAAGGAAAGGTATGACGAGTGATCTTTCCCCCAACACAGGAGACACAAGGTATGCCTGACTTGCCCCCCTTCTCCAAATCCAAGCCCTTCACTGACCCGTGAGCCGCTGTGCGCTCGATGGCATCAATACCAACGTGTGCCATACGCGCATGCCACAGGTCCCCCTTAGACCGCACGCCCGTCGCCAAGGTACGAAGTGCTACCGTTTCGCCTTCCTGCTGCTGCGTCGAACACGGCTGGAAGTTCGTGCAGATAACACGCTCCTTGAACTCCGCACGACCAAGGAGCAATCCATCTGGTGCCCGCAGCAAAGTCACATCCTCGGCATCCAGCAGCTGCACACCACTATCACGCAGCTGCCCAGCAAAGAGAAGACTCGCCTGCACTCCTGGTACGTACAGCACGTCCGGCACCAAGACACGCCTGCCCCCCTCTCCAAGAAGAGCAACTGTGCCCCGCCCCTGCTCCTCCTGAAGCACGCCGTTGAAGTCAGTAACCTATTTAATACTGCCGCCGCTGCTCATCTCCACAAAGGCAGAACGATCTCCCATGAGATGGTGGGAGCATCCGCTATCAAGCAGCACGACGCTCGGGTTTGCCTTCACAGCAGCTGCAACAGCCTGTAAGCCCTCCCCGGCGTCAGGCTCCAGCACAACGAGAGGAGTCTGCTCCACAACGGGCTTCACCATCGCACATGATGACTGCTTGCTCCCCTTAGAGCCATCACCCCCTTTTCCGCTGCTACCTCCTGAACTCTCTCCACCAGTGTCTACCTCCTTATCCGCCCGCTGCTGACAGTACTTAGCAACATGCCCTGTCTGTCCACACACATAGCACTTTCCCTTGAAGCCCCCTTTCCCCCCCTTCGGCTAGCCACCCTTAGCCCATTTCCCCTTCTCCCCTCCCTCCCCACCCCCATGCTTAGGCTGTGACTGCTGTGCCGTAGTGGGAGGGGAAGGGGATGAAGTCTGCTGGAAATAGGGCTTACCCTTCTTGGTAAAAACCTGGTTAGCCTGGGGAAGAAACTGGTCCTTCCGTCCCTCTGCCGCCAACGTACACTCCTCCTCGACGATGTAGCTAGCGAGGGTGTCCTCGTCCAACTCCTTGCGCACCTGCGGCAACTTTAGCATCCTGTGTAAGAGGTTGTTCTGCTGCGGCAACCCCTTCACAACGTGAGTGATGTACGACGCCTGCGAGTAATCTACGCCGGCCATCCTCAGGTTCACTAGGATCTGTTGCGCACGGTTGCAATAGGACGTAGCGGACTCGTGCTCTCCCATCTCGAGGTTAGTGAGCGCCTGCTCTAACTGACCGATGTACAGATCGTCCTTCGCCATGTACGTGCGCATAATAAACTGCCATGCCTGATAGCCGGCATCTACCTTCATGCGACACGCCTTAAGGGCGATCTGTACGGTTTGGGAGCAGCATCGGGAAATGGTGGTGAACGTCAGCAGCTGCATAGCGCGGAACTGAGAGAGATGCGCAAGCGCACACGCTGGTGGAATGGGGGTGGTGCCATCTATGAATCGCTTTAGCTGAGCGATCTCAAGTTGCGGCTCGATTGATTCTGTCCACGTCGACAGGTCGTGACGTCCTTCTAACGGCCTAGTGACAACGATCTTGTCTGGAGTGAATCTGAAGTAGCCATAGTTGGGGGCTATTTCCTCGTCCCTCGACATCGATCCAATCGGGGTAACGCCCGGCATAGCCTCACAATCGAACTCTTCCGCAATTCCTCCTCCAGCAACGCTCCGCCGTCCTACATTCGCATGCTCTTGTGACGCTACTGCACGATGAACACGCTCCTGTACACCGCCGACGCTAGCCGTACTAAACCAAGTTGGTCCTCGCAGGATCCCACGCGACATCAACCCATCAAACTCCTCGTCATCGCTATTTTCGCCATCGACAGCCATATCCCACCCACTAGTACCTCCCGCAACTTGCTCAACATTCTCTACACGTGGCGAAGGGTGCTCACGACGCCGACGCGAGCGCAATCCCTCCAACATTAGCTCGTATTCGATATCACTAATCTCACCACGAGAATGATGAGCCACGAGATCCTCCTCTAGGGCGCGCAAATTACCGGCCTCCACGTTCGCCTCCTCTGTACTCATCCTCTACGACGTCTCTATAAGGTACCACAAATTAAAATAAAGTGCCCCTTCCTTAAATCCCTCGTCTCGGGGTCACCTCACAAGGGTCCTCAGACGAGTGGTAATAAATTACCAAACGCCCTATCCTTGGGTCCGAGAACGTAACTGGAGGGAAATCAAGAGAGGTTCAACTTAGATTAATAAGCGCCCTTCACTAACGCCGCACGCCAAGGCGAGTATACGAACGCGAATATCAACGACGACGGAAATCTATGCGTGTTCGTTCCACGCTCACCGCACCATGAAGGAATATATTAGAGAGCGTAACGATAGCGAGAGAGTCTCTGCTATGGGAATGATGTCGCACCAGCAACTTGGTAGAGTTTTGGTAGCATTTGCCTCTAAGGACTTTGTGAGAATTGAAGTAGCATTTGGGCCAAGTAGAATTGCAATATCAAGTATCAAACACACAAGCAAACACAAACATATATAGGCAAGCAAGAGTTGCATAATTGTTGCGTGGCGCTGCGAGTAACCCAACCCACACGAAAGTGCTGTGTAGGTGGGTGAACGCGCCCCGCACATTTCCAACCCAACTCGGCACCGGAATGTCTCACCGTGCACGCTACTCCTGCCAACACAGCAAGTGAGCAGCGTGCCTCACAAGCAAGGCACCTACGACCCCCAAGACTCGTCATTCCTAGCACCGATTCCGCCGAGTCCGCTGCAGTAGCTCACAGTCACCCGTAGTCACTAATGACCGCCACCGAACTCGTGCGTCGGTGCCGAGTAGACTCAGTCGTTAGGCGCCGACCTGCCAAGTCAAAGGTCATCGAGGGCCCTAGCTGTCGTAGGGCCCTCTAACAGCCGTAGCAGCGAAGTGCGCGCCGTAGCAACGAATTGCGCGCCGTAGCAGCGAAATCCGCGCCTTCGCAGCGAAACCCGCGCCGTAGCAGCGAAGTCCGCGCCGTAGTAGCGAAATCCGCCACGTAACAGTGAAACCCGCGCCGTAGCAACGAAATCTGCGCCGCGGCGGAGGGATCAGCGCCCAGGCAGCTATACTCGCGCGTAGGAGCGCCATCGCAGTGAAGCTCGCGCCTAGGCAGCGACTACCGCGTGTAGGGAGGACCACAAAGCGAGACCCGCGCCTAGGTACCAACACCTGCAGGTAGGAGCGTCCAGCGTATAGGGGAGTCTCCGTGCGCCAGCGACGCCCAACACCTTCGACTCACCCGGGCTGCGAGCCTTATATCGAAGGCGGGAGGCGCCCCTCCAGCACCCCCCGCAAACAGCTTACGCCATGACCAACGATCCAGACCCCCCAGACCGGGGGAGGAAGATCATTGCGAGGATTGGCCACAAGAGACCCAGGGAGGCAGCGCCGAGTATGCAATACCCACAACTCTGTCGCCTCCACCACGAGGATGCACTATGCCTTTTTGGCAAGCCCAGCAAGCGACAAAGGTATAGACCCCTCTCGACAGAGGGGGGGACAGAGGAACCACCCAAAGACACTCTCGGCGGCTTCGTAGGCGGCAGCGACACCATCTCCAACCGGGACCTGGACGTGACGGATGAGGGCGAGTGCGGTCATGGGGCGCACAGGCAAGGTACCGGTGATGACGCGGCGATGGCTGCATGGGAGGCACACCGCCGGCAACTGCAGGAGTCTCATGATAGGCGGCGGAGGGCCCTAGGAAATCCTTCGGTACGCCCAGCCCTCACAGCTCCGCGCGGGCCTCGCCTGGCCCAAAGGCAGGAACAGAGACGGAGAGCCCGGGCGGAAGGGCAGCAGTGGAGTCCAGCGGGGACACAGCCATCGAGGCAGGAGGGGGGGCAGCAGAACTGGCTGTTGGGGGAGGCCCGGAAGCCACAGGCAAGGGAGCAGCAGATGCGGCCGGCGGGAGGGGAGCAGGAGCTGCCGGCGAGAGGGGAGCAGGAGCTGCCAGCGAGAGGGGAGCTGGAGCTGCCGGCGAGAGGGCAGCAAGAGCCGCAGGCAAGAGGGCGGCAGGCGCGGTCGGCAGGCGAGCAGCAGGTACTGCCGAAGGGAGAGCAGCAGGAGCGGCTGGCGGGAGGGCAGCTGGAGCTGCCGGCGGGGGGGGAGCAGGAGCTGCAGGCAGGAGGGAAGCGGGAGGTGCCAGCGGGAGGGCAGCAGGAGGTGCCAACGGGAGGGCAGCAGGAGGTGCCAGCGGGAGGGCAGCAGGAGGCACCAATGAGAGGGCAGCAGGAGGTGCCGGCGAGAGGGCAGCAGGAGGTGCCGGCGAGAGGGCAGTTGGAGGTGCCGGCGAGAGGGCAGTTGGAGGTGCCGGCGAGAGGGCAGCAGGAGCTGCCGGCTGGGGGGCAGCAAGTGGTAGAAGTGGAGATGGCCGAGCTACAGCTAGAGGTGCAGCAGGACCAATCGGGGAACCGTGCCCGGCCACACGCAGGAGGGCAGCAGGAGCCGCCCGGGGTAGAGCAGCGTGAGCTGCCAAGGGAAGAGCAGCAGGAGTTGCTGGCAAGGGAGCAGCAAGCGGTAGAAGTGGAGATGGCCGAGCTACAGCCAGAGGCACAGCAGGACCAATCGGGAAACCAGGCCTGGCCACTGGCAGGAGGGCAGCAGGGGCCGTCCGGGGGAGAGCAGCTGGAGCTGCCAAGGGAAGAGCGGCAGAAGCCGCCGGGGGTGGGGCAGCTGCCGGCAAGGGAGCAGCAAGCGGTGGATGTGGAGATGGCCGAGCTAATGCCAGAGGTGCAGCAGGACCAATCAGGGAGCCAAGTCCGGCTGCAGGCAGGAGAGCAGCAGGAGCTGCCAGGGGAGGAGCGGCAGGAGCTGCCAACAGGAGGGCAGCTCGAGCTGTCGGGGGGAGGGCAGCAGGAGCTGTCGGAGGGGGAGCGGCGGGAGCTGCCGGCGCGGGGGCAGCTGGAGGTCGCTAGTGCGGACTCTACAAGCCAAGCGAAGAGAACCCGGGCACGGGGCCGAGGCGGGAGACGACACGCCCGTAAGACGCAAGGGCGAACTGGAAGCGGAGCTGCCGCACAGCAGGCGGAGGGGCAGCCGGGGGCGACTGAGACACCCCCGGGAGCTCCGCGGGTGGGGGGGCAGCCCTGGGTGCCCGGGGCGCCCCAAGGAGAGCAGCAGCCAGGGGAGCTGCCGGGGGTGACCGGAGCACCCCAGGGAGAGCAACAGGCAGGGGGGCAGCCGAGGGTGCCCGGAGCACCAAAGGGAGTGCAGCAGGCAGGGGGGCAGCCGGGGGTGCCCGGGGCACCCCAGGGAGTGCAGCAGGCAGGAGGGCAGCCGAGGGTGCCCGGGGCACCCCAGGGAGTGCAGCAGGCAGGGGGGCAACCGGGGGTGCCCGGGGCACCCCAGGGGGTGCAGCAGGCAGAAGGGCAGCCGAAGGTGTCCGGGGCACCCCAGGGAGTGCAGCAGGCAGGAGGGCAGCCGGGGGTGCCCGGGGCACCCCAGGGAGTGCAGCAGGCAGGGGGGCAGCCGGGGGTGCCCGGGGCACCCCAGGGAGTGCAGCAGACAGGGGGGCAGCCGGGGGTGCCCGGGGCACCCCAGAGAGTGCAGCAGGCAGGAGGGCAGCCGAGGGTGCCCGGGGCACCCCAGGGAGTGCAGCAGGCAGGGGGGCAACCGGGGGTGCCCGGGGCACCCCAGGGGGTGCAGCAGGCAGGAGGGCAGCCGAGGGTGCTCGGGGCACCCAAGGGAGTGCAGCAGGCAGGGGGTCAGCCGGGGGTGCCCGGGGCACCCCAGGGGGTGCAGCAGGCAGGGGGGCAGCCGGGGGTGCCCGGGGCACCCCAGGGAGTGCAGCAGGCAGGGGGGCAACCGGGGGTGCCCGGGGCACCCCGGGGGGTGCAGCAGGCAGGAGGGCAGCCGAGGGTGCCCGGGGCACCCCAGGGAGTGCAGCAGGCAGGGGGTCAGTCGGGGATGCCCGGAGCACCCCAGGGAGTGCAGCAGGCAGGGGGGCAACCAGGGGTGCCCGGGGCACCCCAGGGAGTGCAGCAGGCAGGGGGTCAGCCGGGGGTGCCCGGAGCACCCCAGGGAGTGCAGCAGGCAGGAGGGCAGCAGGGGGTGCCCGGGGCACCCCAGGGAGTGCAGGAGGCAGGGGCGCAACCGGGGGTGCCCGGGGAACCCCAGGGAGTTCAGCAGGCAGGGGGTCAGCCGGGGGTGCCCGGGGCGCCCCAGGGAGTGCAGCAGGCAGGTGGGGAGCCGGGGGTGCCCAGGGTACCCCAGGGAGTGCAGCAGGCAGGAGGGCAGCAGGGGGTGCCCGGAGCACCCCAGGGAGTGCAGCAGGCAGGAGGGCAGCCGAGGGTGCCCGGGGCGCCCCGGGGAGTGCGGCAGGCAGGTGGGCAACCGGGGGTGCCCGGGGCACCTCAGGGAGTGCAGCAGGCAGGAGGGCAGCCGGGGGGGCCCGGGGCACCCCAGGGAGTGCAGCAGGCAGGGGGGCAACCGGGGGTGCCCGGGGCACCCCAGGGAGTGCAGCAGGCAGGGGGTCAGCCGGGGGTGCCCGGAGCACCCCAGGGAGTGCAGCAGGCAGGAGGGCAGCCGAGGGTGCCCGGGGCACCCCAGGGAGTGCAGCAGGTATGAGAGCAGCCGAGGATGCCTGGAGCACCCCAGGGAGAGCAGCAGGCTGGGGGGCAGCCGGGGGCGACCGGAGCACCCCAGGGAGAGCAGCAGCTAGGGGGGCAGCCGGGGGTGACCCGAGCACCCCACGGCGAGCAGCAGGTAGGGGAGCAGCCGGGGGTGACCGGAGCACCCCAGGGAGTGCAGCAGGCAGGAGGGCAGTCGATGGTGCCTGGGGAACCCCAGGGAGTGCAGCAAGGAGGAGGGCAGGGAGTGCAGCAGGCAGGAGGGCAGCTGAGGGTGCTCGAAGCACCCCAGGGGAAGCAGCAGGTAGGGGGGCAGCCGGGGGTGACTGGGGCACCCCAGGGAGTGCAGCAGGCAGGAGGGCAGCCGAGGGTGCCCTGGGCACCCCAAGGAGCACAGCAATCAGGGGGGCGATCGATGGACGACCAGGAGCAACAGCTGGAGGAGTGGTGTCGAATTTTGGAGCTGGATACCCCCATGGCGACTGTGGAGGAGTCAGAGGCGGACGAAGCACCTCCCATGCCGCCTTCCCCATGCCCCCGCTTTCCGTGCGACATGTGTTTCCACACTTTCGCTACGCGGGGGGCCGCCGCGAACCACATGAGGGTATGCCGAGCGGCGGAGGCGGAGAGGCGTGCACAGGCTCTCGGCTCGATTCCGTCTCTGGTGGAGACCGACACGCAGGAGCGATCGACGCCGCGGGAATTTGGGGAGGAGGCATGGGCTGGGGTTACGTCATGGGAATGGGAAACATTTTTCAGCGTGGAGGCGGTTGGAGGGAGGACAGTGCGCCGGATCCCACAGCGGGCCAGGTCGGGGGTTTTAAACGCGCTCTGTTGCATCCTTAAGTGCTTGAAGAGCCAGCCGGGAGATGAAGCCGCTACCCTCCTACTCTTGGCGTTTCCGTGCCTCATCCTAGCCATGCCTCCCAAGCCAGGCATAGGTCAGAAGGCGCTTATCACAGAGCGGTTGGGTGCGTTCTGGGAGGGGAGGTGGCGGGAGCTGTTCGATTCTGCCATGGTGGCGGCGCGGCCAGCAGTTCGCCCACTTTCCTACACTTGCTCTGACCAGGACCCGGATACCATCCGCCTGTCACGGTGCCGATCTCGGTGCAAAGTGGGGGAGTGGAGCCGTGGATTGGCCTGCCTTACAGCAGGGGAGTTGGCTCGACCGTCGGAGGTCATGGTGCAGTCGCTGCGAGAGAAGCACCCGGCTAGCGCTGGCGAGGTACCACAGTGGGTCCGCGATTTCACCATCGATACTGCTCAGCGGCCTTCACTCACGACCGACATCCTGGCCAGAGCTATCCATACAGCCGCTCGAGCTTCAGCAGCAGGGCCATCGGGGTGGGTCACAGAGCATCTGCGCGACACCTTCCTCACTGAACCTTCCTGCGTTTCCCACTTATTGGAAGTGTTCAACCAATGGGTGGCAGGACAGGTCCCCGAGCGGGCTCAGCCGTGGCTCGCCGCATCCAACCTAGTCGGGCTTTCCAAGCCTAACGGCGACGTCCGGCCGGTGGCGATCGGGGAGGTGCTTCCTCGTATCCTTGCTCGAGCTCTCTGCATCTCGCTCCGCCCTGCAATGGTTTCCTACTTCCTGCCGTGCAACCAGCTGGGAGCGGGCACCAAGGTCGGGGCGGAGATTCTTACTCACTCTTTCCGGTCAGCGCTGGCCACTCACCCCGACTGGTGTGCGCTACAGATAGACGTCGCAAACGCCTTCAATTCGTTTCACCGTCATGTGATGTTCGATGGGCTGCGGGAGTCGCCTTTCTCAGGGATGATCCCATTCTTGCGTGTCTTTTATGGGACACCTAGCGACCTGTACCTCCGAGCAGGCCCTTTCGTAGAGAGCCTCGAGTCAGCACGGGGATCGAGGCAGGGGGACCCACTCGGCCCTTTTCTTTTCGCGTTCACTCAGCAACATGTGATGGAGCCGGATACTAGGGAGTTCAAGGACCTGCTTTTCCTCAGCTATGCAGACGATACCTATATTTTGGGGCCAGCAGCTAGGATTTTGGAGGCTTTTGGGGTGCTTCGGGAGCGGTTGGAGTGGGTGGGGCTGGAGGTGCAGGCGCACAAGTGCCGGTTTTGGGAGCGCGAGGGCAAGGAGGTGGAGCGGGCACTGCCATTGGGGATGCAGCGGGTGGATGAGGGTCTTACTGTGGTGGGCGTGCCTATTGGAGAGGAGGTTTGGGAGGTGGTCCGGCTACGGGAGCGGCTTCGACAGTTGCAGGCGCCACTGCCATGGCTCCCCTTGCTCGACCACCCCCAGATGGCTTCACACCTCCTCGCCATTGCACTTTCAGCGCGGCCGATGTACCTCGCCCGGACTATGCCGCCGCGTCCGGAGGTAGTTGAGGCTTTTAGGGATTGGGACAGCTGTTTAGAGGATTGCTTTGAGCAGCTTTTTCCACCTGGCACTTGGGAGCAGGACCCCGACCGGTCTAGGCGCGCACGCATACAGCTGCATCTCCCTGTGCGTCTCGGAGGGTTCGGGATCCGGGCGGCGGCCTCTTTGAGCCCACTGTCCTATGTTTGTGGGTGGGCGCAGGCCGCGCGTGACATTGCACAGTTAGGGGTGGCGGGTGAGGAGGCGATGTTTGCAGAGTACCTCACCACTTCGACAGGGGCAGAGTTTCTTGACCCGTGGTTTGTCAAGGGTTTTGAGCAGCTGCCAGCGACTATCCGCCACGAGATACTGTCAGACTAATATATAATTCTATATATTGTTCTATAACTGCCTGTAGTGTAGAATAGTGTAGTCATATAACTTTCTAGTTGGTGGTGCACCTTGCATGCTCTGTTTGCTATATGTACTCTTGTGCTATAGTGAACACCACTCCCCTCTCAACTTTCTCGACACTTCTCCTTACCCTCGAACTCGATCACTAAGCTACTAAACCTATGGCTCCTAAGCCTACTCATGCTTAGTATCTTAACATGGAATTAGAGCGACTACGCTCTTGGCCTGTGGGCCCCACGTGCTTCCGCTGCTTTTCTGTCTGTCGCGCGCCCCGTGGCGCGCGACACCTTTTTCTTCCCGCCACACCTTTTTGGCAGTTTCATCTTCCAACTTCCTTAGCCAAAAAAAAAAAAAAAAAAAAAAAAAAAAAAAAAAAAAAAAAAAAAAAAAAAAAACCGATCAATGTGTCCAGATCTTAACGATGTTTCTTCCAGTGGCATAGAGAACCAAATTCGTCGGTTGAAAAATAGCGGCAACAACAAGGTATCTCCCTTTCTTTCTTCATTTCCTTTCTTTTTCAACCTTTTTAACTTTCAGACAACAGCATAGATGGTGGTGTTGTTGGCAAAAAAAAAAAACAAGAGGCGACGAAATCGTCTTAGGGTTGCGAAGATATGATTCACTTCGATCGACTGCGCTACACGAGGTGAGCTAAAATCTTGCTAAAAATATAAATTCATCTCACATTGCGCGTGAACTGATCTAGGGTTTCGTTTTCATTTTCCTCTTCCTCCCTTCCTCTCGCGACTGGAGCCTTGCCTCCCGCCACTCAGGTCAGGAAACTAAGATGCATCCTAGAACTTAATTAGCTGATGTTAACATCTAAGTTCTTATTATACCATAGTCATTTACCTACTTCAGCGCATCTCGTGGTAGCATTCAGGTCGTTGATTAGCGTGCATCCCTCTACTCATTTATTCCATTTTCAAGCCTGTTCCCACATAGCAGTATGTCGTTTTGCTTTCATTTGTTTATATCGCTTTCAAGAGCTGCAACCCATTCTGCTACGCTTTTTTGAATGGTTGCAGCTAATTCGATTGAAATGCTAGTAATGCTACGATCCTTTGATCTACTAGCTAGGTTCGTTTTAAGCCGTTGTTGATTAAATTTGATCTAATCTTTTGTAGCTCCCACGATTTGCTTGCAGGAAACGGTCGACCACATTGTTGTCTCACTCCCTCGTCTTATTGACGGTGAGTTAGTGTTTGAAATACATATTGGGAAAGAAAGAGGGGGAGAGCACAAGAGCGCAGAAGCTTAGACTAAAGAGAGCGTGTGAGAGAACGAATACGAACTCTCTGTTTTTTTGTTAGAGCCGCTGGCCATTTCGACCCGTTGACTCAACGATATTCTGACGGTTAAATCAGAATAGATAGTTGTCAGAACATTATATAGGGTACAACCCAATTAGGGTTAGTACTTGTACCCAACTCTTTCATAGTGCATTCATTCTCGTTTCAGTTTTCTCATGGTATCGAGCAGGTTCCCTCGTGGGAACTGTTCCTTGTCAGTAGAGCTACACTGTGAGATCCCCTATCGATCCTAGGGGGGGTTACAGGCGCGTTTGCCTGGGGGGTTATGAGCGCACTCACCCGCTATTGAAACAAGCCCTTTTATCCCAATGGTCTAGTGGTTGGGATTCTGACATGGTATCAGAGCGGTCTCGGGTTCGAATCCCGGTGTATGCACATGTTGGCCGTTGCCACTGTGCTCAGTCCTCCGCCTCCCATTGTGGGGGGGTGTCAGTAGAGCTACAGTGTGACATCCTCGATCGATCCTAGGGGGGGTTATAGGCGCGTTTGCCTGGGGGGTTATGAGCGCACTCACCCGCTACTGAAACAAGCCCTTTTATCCCAATGGTCTAGTGGTTGGGATTCTAACATTCCTAGGGCCCACCGATTCGATTTTTTTTTTCCTGCCCGGAGCACGCTCAGCCCTTGCCCGAGTCGCGCTCCCCCTTTCTCACTGTGTCGCGCCGCCCTAGCGGCTGTGTCGCGCCGCCCTAGCGGCTGTGTCGCGCCGCCCTTGACGGCCCCGATCCGCCGCCCTAGCGGCCCCGTCGCCTACCCCGCGGCCCTCGAGCCGCCCTTCCCGGCCCCGATTCGTCGCCCTTTCGGCCCCGTCGCCACCCCGCGGCCCTTGCGCCGCCCTTCCCGACCCGGCCCCGCCCTTGCTGGCGCCGTCGCCTACCTGCGGCCCCGACGCCTACCTGCGGCCCCGTCGCCTACCTGCGGCCCCGTCGCCTACCTGCGGCCCCGCCGCCTACCTGCGGCCCCGCCGCCTACCTGCGGCCCCGTCGCCTACCTGCGGCCCCGCCGCCTACCTGCGGCCCCGTCGCCTACCTGCGGCCCCGTCGCCTACCTGCGGCCCCGCCGCCTACCTGCGGCCGCGTCGCTGCCCTTCCCGGCTCAGGCGCTGCCCTTTCTCGGCCCCGACGCTGCCCTTCCCGACCCGGCCCAGTCTCTGCTGGCCCCGTCGCCTACCTTACGGCCCCGGCGCCGCCCCTTCCCTGCCCCGGCCCAGCCCCTGCTGGCCCCGTCGCACGCCTTTCCCGGCCCCGACCCCGCCTTCACGCGGCTCCGCCGAGCTACTGCCGAGCCGCCAGCGCCACCCGAGCCGCCGCGCCACCTGAGCCGCCGAGCCGCCTGAGCCGCCCGAGCCGCCCAAGCCGCCCGAGCCGCCGTCCCGCCGAGCCGCCCGAGCCGCCCGAGTCGCCTAAGCCACCCGAGCCGCCCGAGCCGCCCGAGCCGCCCGAGCCGCAGAGTAGCCGAGCCGCCGAGCTGCAGTTCCTGCCGAGCCGCCGAGCTGCGATCCCTGCCGAGCCGCCAAGTTGCAGTTCCTGCCGAGCTGCCGAGCCCCCGAGCCGCCCTGTCCGGTAAGAGTAGCGCCTCTGTCACTGCACTGCCCTTACCCCACTGTTCGCGCTACTAGTCTATTGCTGTCATGGCTACCCCTAGTGTCCTCGCTTTTGACGCTGAGGGTCGGGCCATTGACTTTGATGTCTGGGTAGATGGCCTGCAGCTTTTCCTACAGTGCGATAGGGCAGACGGTCTCTCCCTCTTTGACCTCACCTCTGGTGCCTCTCCTGCCCTCTGTTGCCTCTGCTACTGCGGCCGACCTCGTTGGGCTTGAGTCGGTCGGTGCGGTGTCTACCCCTAGCGGGAGACGCCGCCCTGGCAAGGGGGCAGGGGCGCTGGAGGAGCTAGCGGGGGCGGTGGAGGCGGCGGTGGAGGCGGCGGAGGGAGTGGGGGTGGCGGTGGGGGTGGTGGCGGGGGTGGAGGTGTCGGTGGCGGCAGTGGAGGCGGAGGCGGCGGTGGTGGCGGTGGGAGCGGAGGTGGTGGCGGAGGTGGCGGCGGTGGAGGAGGCGGTAGCGGAGGAGGTGGAGCTGGTCGCGGTGGCGCTGCGCAGAGGGTCGGCTCCGGTGGTGGTCAGCGTCAGCAGCAGCAGCAGCAGCAGCAGCAGTGCACTCGTGACATCCCCTCCCCTCAGGAGCTCGGTGAGTGGTACGCTGCACGCCAGCGGGGTGGGGGTACTGGTCCGTGCACCTACGTCCTACGCACCGGCGACCGCGCGGGTGAGCAGTGCGGGGGTGCGCACTCCACCCAGCGCTGCTTTGGCCGCCTGACGGACGCTTGGCGTCACCAATTCCCGGAGGCCACGGAGATCCCCCGCTGGGGTGAGCTGTCTAGGGCGGGAGTAGCTGTCTTTGACCTTGACTTTGATGGCTATTCTTGCTGCCATGTATGTTGTGACTATAAGTGATGAGGGTGACTGTTACCGGTGTTTTCTGCCCGACCCGGGCATTGAGACTGCCGCTCTAGGTAGTGGTGAGGCTGCTGCTCTAGGTGCTAGCGAGGCTGCTGCTCTAGGTGCTCGTGTGTCTGCTCCCTCAGGTGCTGGTGAGTCTGCTCTCTCAGGTACTGCGTCGGCTTCGGCCTCCCACACCTTCACCCTTGACTCGGGGGCTTCTCGCTCCTTCTTTCGAGACCGCACCACACTCACGCCGCTTGGCCGGCCAGTTGCAGTCTCTCTGGCAAACCCCTCTGGGGGTCCTGTCCTTGCTCACTACTCCACTGTCCTCCCGTGTCCGGCGGCCCCCTCTGGCACCCTGTCTGGTCTGGTGAGTGGTGCTGACCTACAGGATGCGGGGGTTCACCAGTTCACTCCTGCGCGTCAGCGGGTGACCCACTGCACGGACGCTCGGACAGGCCGACACCTGGCCACGTTTACACGGCGGCCGGGGTCGAGCCTGTACACACTGACCACTGCGTCTCCTCCAGTCACTGCGTCTGGTCAGGTAGCTGCGTCGGGTCAGGTGTTTGCTGTAGCGTCCAGGTCTGGTCCTGAGTCTGCCCCCTGCTCATGTCGCCTCCTGTCTCACGAGACTCTCCTCTGGCACCACCGCCTTGGTCACCCCTCCCTGCTTCGTCTCCGAGGCATGGCCTCCCGTCTCCTTCTCTCTGGTCTTCCCCGGTCCCTCCCTCCCCTTCCTCCTGGGCCTGGCCCTACCTGCGTCCCCTGTGTCGAGGGGCGGCAACGGGTTGCCCCTCACTCCTCCCAGTTTCCTCCGACAGAGGCCCCGTTGCAGACGCTTCACATGGACGTGTGGGGCCCAGCCCGCGTCCGTGGACAGGGTCCAAGCGCTACTTCCTGCTGGTGGTTGACGACTACTCGCGTTACACCACAGTCTTCCCCTTGCGCAGCAAGGGTGATGTCACTGCGGTGTTGATCGACTGGATCCGCGCAGCTCGTCTCCAGCTCAGGCAGAGCTTCGGCTCGGACTTTCCTGTTCTGCATCTGCACTCTGACAGAGGCGGAGAGTTCTCCTCTGGCCTTCTGCGAGCCTACTGTCGTGCACGAGGCATCCGCCAGACCTTCACGCTTCCGGACTCTCCACAGCAAAATGGGATTGCTGAGCGCCGCATTGGCATGGTCATGGATGTCGCTCGTACGTCCATGATGCATGCGGCTGCCCCCCATTTTCTGTGGCCGTTTGCGGTTCGGTACGCGGCACATCAGATCAACCTTCACCCCAGGGTCTCCATGCCGGAGACCTCCCCAGCTTTGCTGTGGACGGGGAAGGTTGGCGATGCGTCTGCGTTCCGTGTCTGGGGATCTCGGGCGTTTGTTCGCGACTTCTCTGCGGACATGCTGTCCCCTCGTGCTGCTCCTTGCGTCTTCCTTGGCTTCCCCCCTGACGCGCCAGGGTGGCAGTTCTACCACCCCACCTCTCGCCGTGTTCTGTCCTCCCAGGACGTCACGTTTGACGAGTCGGTCCCCTACTACCGCCTCTTCCCCTACCGCACTCCGTCCCTCCCCCCGCCACCGCTCTTCCTTGTACCAGGTCCCCCCCCGGTAGATCCCCTCCCCCCTCAGGGTCCTGCCCCTTCAGGTGTGTCCCAGGTAGACGCAGTCGAGCCTGTCGAGGTTACTGGTGACTCTGGTGCTGCTGAGGGTGCTGAGCCTGGGGGTGCTGACTCTGGGGGTGCTGAGCGTGTGGGTGCTGCGCCTGGGGGTGCTGAGCCAGCGGGTGCTACTACTGGGGGTGCTGAGCCTGGGGGTGCTGCGACTGGGGGTGCTGAGCCTGGGGGTGCTACGCCTGGGGGTCCTGAGCCTGGGGGTGCTACGCCTGGAGGTGCTGAGCCTGGAGGTGCGGAGCCTGAGGGAGTTGGGCCTACTCGTGTGGCGTCTGGCGGTCCTGGGCATGGAGGTTCTCCGGGTGCTTCGTCTCGACGGGAGCCCCTCTCTCCATAGGAGCTGCGTGAGTGGTTTGCCCGGCGCTGGAGGCGTGCTGCTGGAGCTAGAGGTTCTCCGGCTACTGAGGGTGCTGGCGCCGCGGGTCCCGGCGGTGCACGTGCTGGGAGTACTAGAGCTGCTGGGCCTGCGGGTGCGACTGGAGGTGGAGCTGCTGAGGGTGTTGGCGCTGAGGCTACTGCTGTCGGTCCTGGAGGCGGTCTTGCTGGGGGTACTACTGGTGCTGCTGGAGGTACTGGAGCTAGAGATGCTCCTGGCGCTGGTGCTGCCGCTGGGGGTACTGGTGCTGTCTCTGTTGTGCCTGGAGTCGCCGTGCGGCCTCGGCCGTACTTCGTTCCGCTCCTTCAGCAGGTTCTTGGTCTCCCGCCTTCTACTGGTCCTTCTCCTCCCTTAGAGTGTCCATAGCCTGTCACGTCACAGTTACAGCCGTCCTCCCCACTGCCTGCTCCTTCTCCCTACATTGGTCCTACTGGAGGTCTGCTCGCACTAGTGGTCGTGGTTCGCGTCAGCGTCCTCCTCCTGTCCCTGGCACGCACCGGATGTCTCTGCGTTTGTCCACTGCTCCTTTGCGTGCCCCTTTGCCTTCTCCTCCTGAGTCCTCTCTTCCTACTCTTGCCGACCCGGAGTCGGACTCTCTTCGTGCTGCCAGTCCTACTGTCACGCGTCTCCTTGCTACTGTCGCTAGTGACCCTTCCTTTGAGTCTACTGTTGCGTGCCCTAGTTACTGAGCTCGTCGACTTTGCTGCTCGCCGTCGTCTAGACTATGCTGCTAGTCTTGTCGCTGAGTCTGAGTCTGTCTGTCCTCCGTCCGTCGGGGGTGAGTGTGCCCTTGGCACGGACGTCCTTGAGGACAGGCAGGAGGAGTTCGAGTGTCTGGCTGCTGCTTCACCTCATCTCGTGTCCGTACAGCTTACCCCTGAGGGAGACCCGGATGCACTTGACATCCCGACTCCGCGCTCTTACGCGGAGGCGATAGAGGGTCCCTACTCCTCTCAGTGGCAGGCAGCTATGGATGCAGAGATGGCTTCTTGGAAGTCCACAGGCACCTACGTTGACGAGGTTCCCCCGCCTGGGGCGAACATCGTCAGTGGCATGTGGATTTTCAGGGTGAAGCGGCCGCCAGGTTCTCCGCCTGTCTTCAAGGCGCGTTACATGGCACGTGGCTTCAGTCAGCGGCAGGGAGTTGACTACTTTCAGACCTTCTCTCCCACCCCGAAGATGACCACTCTTTGGGTACTGCTGCACATAGCTGCTCACCGTGACTACGAGCTGCACTCTCTTGACTTCAGCACTGCTTTCTTGCAGCGCAGCCTGCACGAGGAAATCTGGTTGCGTCGCCCACCTGGCTTTACTGGGTCTTTTCCTCCTTGCACCCAGTAGAGCCTCCGGCGGCCAGTCTAAGGTCTCCGCCAGGCACCGCGTGAGTGGCACGACACACTGAGGACTACACTTGCGGCTCTTGGGTTTGCTCCCTCTACTGCCGACCCGTCGCTGTTTCTGCGCACCGAAACTTCTTTGCCGCCGTTCTACATCCTCGTGTACGTCGACGACTTGGTCTTTGCCACTGCTGACACTGCTGGACTCGCCCACGTGAAGTCCGAGCTGCAGAAGAGACACACGTGCACAGACCTGGGTGAGCTGCGCAGCTACCTTGGCTTGTAGATCACCCGGGACAGAGCACGCCGCACCATTACCCTAACTCAGTCACACATGGTGCAGCAGGTCCTCCAGCGCTTCGGCTTCACGTACTCCTCGCCTCAGGCCACTCCTCTGCCTACTCGCCACTCGCTCTCAGCTCTGCCTTCGGATGAGTCCGTAGAGTCGAGTGGCCCGTACCCAGAGCTTGTTGGCTGCCTCATGTACCTGATGACCTGCACTCGACCTGACCTTGCATACCCTCTTAGCATTCTCGCACGCTATGTTGCTCCTAGGAGACACAGACCGGAGCACATGGCTGCAGCGAAGAGGGTGTTGCGCTACTTGTGCAGTACGTCGGGCATGGGGCTTGTGCTTGGAGGGCAGAGTCCAGTGGTCCTCACTGGGCACGCAAACGCTTCTTGGGCTGACGAGTAGGCTACGCAGCGGTCGTCACAGGGTTACACCTTCAGCCTTGGTTCCGGCTCTGTTTCGTGGCGGGCTACCCGCTCGTCTTCTGTTCTCGGCTCCAGTTGTGAGGCTGAGATCTACGCCGGGGCCATGGCTGCTCAGGAGCTTCGCTGGCTCACCTACCTGCTGACTGACCTCGGAGAGCCGCCTCGTTCTCCTCCAGTGCTGTACGTAGACAACAAGGCCATGCTGGCCTTGTGTCGAGAGCACAGACTGGAACACAGAACGAAGCACATTTCTCTTCGCTACTTCCTTGCTCGTGAGTTGCAGCAGCGTGGTCAGCTGCGTCTTGCGTACGTGGCCTCTGAGGCCAACACTGCTGATGTCTTCACCAAGGCACTTGCGCCTTGTGATCATCAGCGCTTCTGTACTCAGCTGGGTCTTGTGCCTGCCTTGCCTCACTTGCTCACCTCTTGACTTTGCTTGTACTGTTACATATATATATACACCTGCTCTTGCTTATCTAGCCTTTTATATATATATGTACTCCTGCATGTGAACTGGCCTTGTGGCCTTGACCTTGTGCTCGGAATGTGTGGTGACTTTGTGATCCACCCTGAGCTTGCTTTGCTTTGCTTTGCTTGACTGGTCTTGTGACCCCTTGTACTCCCCCACTTTGCCTATGGGGGTGTGTCAGAACATTATAGCTTATGCTTTTGTGTAGGCTGTAGTGGGGTAGCCCATATAAGGTACAACCCAATTAGGGTTAGTGTCAAAATCTTAGCTAGGCTAAAGGAGCCATAGCTAGTTGAGTTCGAGTAAGTTGAGTAGAGTCGAGAGAATTGAAAAGAGAAGAAGGGTTTTCATTATAGAGCGAGCAGTACATATAGGCAAGATGAAAGGTGCACCACCAAAACAGAACATTATATAACTACACTAGTCTACACTACAGGCAGTTACAAAACAATATATAGAAATATATATTATTCTTGACACGCCCCCAT